TCCTGATGCCTTCACCACAAGGAAAGAGAAAAAGAAGAAGAAGGCCCTAAAATTGAACTCTGGGGAACTCCCCAAGAAATTCTATTAGATAAAAAAAATGACAATAAAAGTAAATCTTTGTACATTTAAACTGCATGATTAGCACATATTTATGGTTATATGACAAAAGGTTAAAAAAAATCCATGATATTAGTGAGTATCCCATGATACAGGGTGTCCCAAAAACATTGACGTCTTTTCATAGTCTAATAGCCAATTCTCCCTCAAATGATCTCAAATTTTAATAAAATGTTTAATTTTTAATGTTTTTTTTCAGGTTAAAGAATGGCGTTCACTAGAAATGAAAAGCCATTTTGTGTGTTAGAATATGCTCGAACACAGTCAAACAAGAGTGTGCAGCGTGCATTTTCGAGAAAATTCAATAAAAATGCACCAACTGGAAAGCAGATTTGGACATGGCACAAAAAATTCAAAGAGGAAGGCTGTCTGTGCAGGGCAGAGGGATCTGGAGGACCACCAGTATCGGAAGATATCTTCAATCAGGATCGAGAAACACTTGTGCGAAGCCCCAGAAAGTATGTAAGAAGAGCATCTCTTGAAACCCAGATTCCTCGTACGACGCTTTGGCGTGTCGTAAGGAAACGCTTGCGAATGATTCAGTATGCGAATGCACATATTGAACATTTGTGAAGCTTTGTGAAATCAGTTATAAAATCTACATCCCTCTGAATTTCTTGTTCGAATTTTGATAAATAAATCTTGTTCAACATGAAGCCTACTTAATTTCGTTTGCCTAGGTAGTTCCTCAGATATTCACATCTCAAATGATGTCAGTTTTTTTGGGACACCCTGTATATTCTATGTTATCAGAACAGCTTTTGTGTGTCTCTGTTTGTTCTTTTTCTTTTTGGTAATACAATATTCATTTGACTCTATTGCTGTGGGGAATTGCACATTTGTGTTTATTCAAGAAAAAGCTGTGTGTTCTCTTGTGAAGATTGCTTGATTTTTTACTATAGAATTTCTCTAAATGAGCAACATTGCCAGTTAAACTTGTCTGTGAGTGACAGCTCAGGTTGCTGTATATTATTTCTGAACGCCAGTGTTTTGCATAAATGAAAGAGAATTTTCCTTGTCCTACCAGTTTTTACCTTTCAGTTCTGTGTTACGTGTGCTGAACATGACATGTGTACATGATATAAGACATCGCATCCATGAAAAAGGGAGCACAGACGTATAAATTTAAATTCCTGTTAAGCTGCCGTTGAATCTTATTGTTTTTCATTTTGGTTGTCATGGATCATTCGTTTGTTTATATTAGAGGCGACTCTATCAGGAGCTGTAGATCAACCAGACTTGAGGAGCTGACAGACTTATCGACTTTTGTTATCTGTCTCATGTTCTATTTTAGTTAACCAGCGTGCATGTTCATTCTGTTACCTAGTATCGGTGTTAAAAAGAAATTCCATCAATTTCCAAAATTTCAGCATAATTAAACTATAAAGCTGTAGAATCGTAGTGGTTTCATGTGAAATGCCCTGTTGTAGAAAAACTTATCAGGTCAGAATTGTTCACAGTGGTGGTGATAGGAACCAGACTTTGGACAAATTTAATGGCTCCAAAAGCTCCCTCCCAGACAGCACATACACAAATTGGCTATGAATACACTGCCTGAAGCCTGAAATATTGTTTTATGATCGTTTTGATATAAGCTCTTGGTATAAGAATATATTTTGTAGAATATGTTTACTTTGGAGAGGCACATGTGAAGTGTTGTGAGGCAAAATAGTCCCTAAAGAATTTTTTTTCCAGATTTAGCCTTATTTTACCACCATCAGTATTACAAATAAAAACTCAGAAGATGTGTTTTGAAGTAGTTTTGGAAAGTAGTAAAATGTCTGTTTGTGTTGCAGACATGACTTCTGGCTCCTTTCACCACCACTGTAAAGAAAATCCAAGTCAATAAGTTTCTCTACAAAAAACATTTCACATCAAACCACTGTGGAAGACTTTGCTTACATCTCAACATTTGAATTATGGAGACGTATTTAAAAATTCCCCTTCAGTAGAGAAAGGTGACACATCATATGGCTTACCTGCTCAAGTCCATGTGTAGTTTAATCTTGTTAAAGATGGCCCAGTCAGTTCTTCAGCAGATCATCATCTCTTTTTAAAATCCAAAACTTGCTCGGTGTTGTCTCTTTACAGTGTGTACAGTCAAGCTGTAGCATGCTCTTACAAGTGAGATGGGTGACTCCATTGATGCTTCCAGACAATCAAGGCCTTTTAGAGGGGCTGGGCCGGGTCACCCCCTCCTTGGCCCACGCAGGCCGGTGACAACTCGGGACTTGTACGCCTTTTTTCTCCTCAGCTCGACCCTGTGGGCAGATGTGTAGGCTGAAGTCAACATACAGTTACCTACAGTGGCAGCACAATTGACAAAGGTTTCAGTTCTCACTGAAAGTGCGTTCTTGTGTTGAACGTACTTGATTAGAGAGAAAGAAGTCTTGACAGGGTCAAAAAATCTAGACTTCAACATTTTTTAAACAATTTCTGAGCTCAAAACATGCACAATGCCTTTGTCATATTTATTTGAAGAAGGCTTCCAATAAAAGACTGTCCTTATGATGCTTAAAATGAATGACAAGAAACATAATAATACAACCCCAATTCCAAAAAGTTTGGATGCTGTGTAAAATGTAAATAAATGTAAATAAAAACTCATAGACCCATATTTTATTCACAATAGAACATAGAACACATACCAGATGTTGAAAGTGAGACATGGTATGAAAAACCTTTACTCATTTAAAACTTGATGGCAGCAACGCATCTTAAAGTTGGGACAGGGCCGTGTCTACCATTTTGTAGCCTCCCCTCTTCTTTTAACAACAGTCAGTAAACATCGGGGAAGTGCTGGAGTTTTGGGAGAGGAATGCTGACCCATTCTTGTTTGATGTAGGATTTTAGCTGCTCAACAGTTCTGGGTCTTCTTTGCTGGATTTTTTGTTTCATGATGCGCCAAATGTTTTCTATTGGTGAAAGGTTTGGACTGCAGGCAGGCCAGTTCAGCACCCGGACTCTTCTTCTGCGAAGCCATGCTGTTGTGGTGGATGCTAGTGTAGTTTAGCATTGTCTTGCTGAAATATGCAAGGCCTTCCCTGAAAACAACGTTGTCTGGGTGGCAGCATATGTTTATTTTGTTTAGCATTAATGGTGCCTTCACAGACGTGCAAGACACCTATGCTATGTGCACTAATGCTCCCCCATACCATCATAGATGCTGGCTTTTGAACTGTGTATTAATAACAAGCTGGGAGGTGTTTATTATTTCTAAAAAGAATTTCAGATTTTAAATCATTGGACCACAGGACACTTTTCCACTTTGCCTCAGTCTGTCTTAAATGAGCTTTGGCCCAGAGAAGTTGGCAGCGTTTCTGGATCCTGTTTATATATGGTTTCTTCTTTGCATGATACAGCTTTAACTATGTATTTGTGGATTGCACAGTGAACTGTGTTTGCAGACAGTGATTTCTGGAAGTGTTCCTGAGCCCATGCAGTGATTTTCAGTACAGAATCATGCCTGTTTTCAGTGCAGTTCTGCCTGAGGGCCTGAAGATCACGAGCATCCAATATTGACTGTCAGCTTTGTCTCTTGCGTACAGGGATTTCTCCAGATTCTCTGAATCTTTTGATGATGTTATGTACTGTAGATGGTGGAATATCCAAAGTCTTTGCAATTGTACGTTGAGGATCATTTTTCTGGAATTGTTTCACAATTTTTAAGATGCAGTTTTTTTGCAGATTGGTGAACCTCTGCTTCTGAGAGACTCTGCCTCTCTAAAATGCTCTTTTTATACTCAGTCATGTGAGTTAGTTGCAAATTGCTCCTCCAGCTGTTTTTTATTAGTACCACTTACTTTTCCAGCCTTGTGGTGCCTAATAAAAGGAAAAGGGGAAAAAATGAATAAAAATAAAATAATATGGCAAAAAACTATAAAAAGAATTATTTGAGACTGCTGGAAGTTTCTGTTCCCTCCAAACTTACTGTTTCCTTGTTATCCCGCTGAGAAATACAAACAGTGTCTCAGGCCCTTTGGCTCATCAGATGATATCATAACCAGTTCAGGACAAGATAATATGTGCTTCCTTATGTACCATACTGGCACCTGTGAAAGGTAGATGAGCCTTTAGGGTTGCTATGAAAAAAAACAGTGCTCATATGGAGGACAAAGAGGCACAGAAGTGCCATTTAGACCAGAAAAATACAAAAACTAAATCTCATATGCATTAAAGTCACTTTTTCTGTGAATCAGCAGTTTTTGCCTCAGTGTTTGTTTGTTTGTATACATGTCAAAACTGTGGCAAAAACTACAGAATCACAGAGAAAGTGAGTCTTCAGAACATATAACTTCACAGTAGAAGGAATAAACATTTGTAACTTTAAATTTAAGTTAGTGTAACAAGATTTTGTCATTTGGAAGTTATTTTGGATAATTTCTGTTGGTCCATTTATCATTACATTTTGACCCAGTAAAATGCTGGTGTTTTCAAATTATGACAAAACTGAGGAGTATCATTTGTAAGGCTATATGACACACAAGCCTTTTATGACAGCTGACATATACCTACCTTAACATTTCTAAAGGCTTATTCCAACATGTATCAGTTGTCATAAAGGCTGCCTTGGACAATCTCACCACCAAAAATCTTAGGACAACTGATACTTGTTGAAATAAGTCATCATTAATGTTTGTTTAGGTGTAGTCAAGTTGTTGTAAAAGGCTTATACAAATGTAATGGAGCCCTATAAACATTGCCCTAAATTGATACCTAATGTTTTGTTCCAACAGTGACTATATATGCAGGAATCTTTGAAAGTATATGTATACTGTTTATTGTATATATGTGTATTGTATGTATGTTTATTATTGCTCAACTAAGTGTAAGTCAAATTTCTCATTTATGGCTTAAATTATGAATGTTGTTTGTCTGCTCAGGAGGTTGGAAGAATGAAGATTGAGCTGTTTGCTGATGTTGTTCCTAAGACTGCAGAGAACTTTAGGTAAGACGGGGTCTTCAGTCTGTTAATGTTGCTTCACTTGCACACTTATATAGTCGTAAGAGAAAGTTTGAACGTCCCTGGTCAGATTACATGTTGAAAATAAGTTAACACATCCTCTACAGCAGTGGTTAGTGCCTGCAGATTTCAGCTCCAACCCTAGTTGACCCAGTCTGGTCCATCTAATCACTGCATTCTGAAGTCCTTTTTCACATTTCAGAGTTTTACATATTGAGAAAAATAAAACACAAAATATAAAATATAAACTCATGTAAAGGTGCCAGAATTTTTACCATATTTTATATTTTATATTATAATATGTTATGTCAGCATATAAACAGTAATTGTGCATTAAAATATGCAGAAGTGTGTTCTCTGAGGATGTGTTAACTCAATTTTACTTAGAAAATCAGCAAAACATGCCATTTTACTAGGAGCGTCCAAACTTCACAGCTGTATAGTGAAGCTGATGATGGTTTGGTTTGAATATTAGCTGGAAGATTCATATGACTAATGACCGTCTGTAGTGTAAAGATTGTTGATCTGTGTTTGAGCTGTATTGTTGCTCAGTGTCTGTACCCAGATTTGCATGTTGTTTTTGAAATAACATTAGAACTTTCGTGAAGTGCAAATCCACTGGCATCACTGCAGACGCTCGAGGCTGGTAATATGTAAAGCATGTTTGCTGTGTCTGTTTTGTGCTCCTTTCAGTGACACACCCTTGTATTGTCTTACAGGCAGTTCTGCACTGGGGAGTTCAGGTAACCTGGTCTGAGGATTCTAAACTCCGTCTCACGGGGCCAACTTGACACCTCTGTTGTGTTTTACTTATTTATTTCACACCTGACTTTAGGACTTTAGGAACTGTATACAAAATGACAGGTTTTGGTTGGATCACGTTTACACATGTTGAAATCATCTCACCTCAGATATTATAAGACACTTGTAATTCTTTAAAGAACCAAAAGAACTCACAATTTAAATATCACATTCATATTTAAATAAATATGAAATGAACACGAACACTACCACTGTTTACTTTTCAAATTATATCTATGTAAATATGACATGCAAAGATCAAGCAGTGTACACAGCAAAGGTCAAATATGAATGTCTCACTGCAGCAATGTGTACATATCCAGTTAATAGTCCATATCTGGTTATTGGAATTCTTAAAACAAAAGAAAATAATTTCATGTTATAGCAGTAAAAATGGTGAACCCTGATGCTCTTGAGTTTCACCTCGCTTGTCCTTCTCTGTTGGTTTCCTTCCCCATCCAAATTGTTTCCACAGGAAAGACGGTGTTCCGATTGGATACAAGGGTTGCACATTTCACAGGTAAGATTGAAATACGGAAGTTAGGTACACCTACCTTGTATCTACACTCATTGTCCATTTTATCAGCTCCACTTATCATATAGGTGCACTTTGGCGTTCTACAATTACACTGCATGCTTTGTTAGCCCCCTTTCACCCTGTTTCTCAATGGTCAGGACCCCCAAAGGACCACCGCAGAGCAGGTATTATTTGGGCGGCGGATCATTCTTAGCACTGCAGTGACACTGTCGTGGTGGTGGTGTGTTAGCATGTGTTGTGCTGGTACGAGTGGATCAGACAGAGGTTTTTAAACACCTCAGTGTCACTGCTGAACTGAGAGTAGTCCACCAACCAAAAATATCCAGCCAACAGCGTCCTGTGACCACTGATGAAGGACTAAAGGATGACCAACACAAACTGGGCAGCAACAGATGAACTACTGTCTCTGTCTTTACATCTGCAAGCTGTACCAATAATATAGATGACTCTAATAGAGTGGACAGTGAGTGGACACAGCGTTTTAAAAACTCAAGCAGCACTGCTGTGTCTGATCCACTCGCACCAGCACAACACACACCAACACACCACCACCATGTCAGTGTTACTGCAGTGCTGAGAATGATCCACCACCCAATAAAACCCTGCTCTGTGGTGGTCCTGTGGGGGTCCTGACCATAGATGAGCAGGGTTAAGGTGGGCCAACAAAGTATGCAGAGAAACAGATGGACTACAGTCTGTAATTATAGAACTACAAAGTGCACCTATATGGTAAGTGGAGCTGATAAAATGGACAGTGAGTTTAGATACAAGATAGGCGTACCTAATAAAGTGCTCAGTGAGTGTATATAACAGTGTTTTAATTTTGGAGTCGCTGTTCTTAAGTCTATATAATAACTTGTAGTACATTAGTATGCATGTTTAGTGTTACTTCACAGCTTTCAAATAGTTAATAGGACACTTAGAAGCTGTAGATAAAAATGACAAAATGAACGCTGAACAGAGCTATAAATTCTATAATGATTGTATAGCATTTAAATTACATTTCTAATAAAATAATATTCAGAATTCATCATTTTAAAATAGATATCAAGGCAAATAACTTTGCAAAAAAATGAATACATTTGAATAAATATCGTGTGTTATCATTTCATTCACTTCTTGTTCACAGAATTGTGTGTGTGTGTGTGTGTGTGTGTGTGTGTGTGTGTGTGTGTACACATACACAGACATTACAGAATAGTCTACTTTGTGGATCGTTTAGGTATGTGTTTGGTGAAACAAGACTGACTTCAGGTTCTCGTCGCATCCACAACATTGCCAAGTCAGCATAAACAAAAGCATCTTTGTCGAAGGCCTGTCACAATTATTACACAAATGCCTAAACACATTTATTTGAGATGATTGCATTTATTTATGATGATCGCAATTATTTAAGCTTAGCAGAAAAACCACAGTAAATGCATTCATTGAGTAACCTTGGGACTCATCAACGCACAAAAGATCTTCAAACTTGGTACCCTAACATGTTTAGAGGGCAGCATGAGTAATGACTCTTTATTTGTCAGCCATATAGCTAATTCTAATGAATGAATGTTGTTTTTTTGATTCACTCTGCACAGGATTCTATGCAACTGTAGACGTTTGAATAAACAGCAGGAAACAATATGGCAAATCAGTTCGTTTGGCCACTTTAGGCTTGTGTTTTAATAGTTGTGCACAATGCACCAAAAAAGACAATTAAATTGTTAATTGCAATTATTTATGTGACAGTAAATCGTCAGCTAAAATGTCATCATCGTGAAAATGGTCATTGTTCATGATGGTTATATTTGATTCACTCTTTGCTGAAAAAGCAGAAGCATGAAGCCTTTTCATCTCGTTTTTTAGCTGAAGTCACCCAAGGTTTTATTCTGCAAGGATTCACGTCAGGTTAAACAGAAGCCTCAATCAAACATTTTTTTTTGTATTTATTGTGCCTACTCTTTGCCTTTATTGACTTGTTTTCAGTTTTTCAAAGAAATCTGCTGGGATATTTTTCCACACCTCCAAAGTTCAGTCTTAGAAGTTGGTTGCATTTCCTGTTTTTACCAGAGTGGCAGTAGAGTGGACAAATGAAATACTGGTATTGATATTGATTTGACATTATGCTTAGTGTTTGGGTAGTTTCTTGTGAACTACATGAAGAGTTTTGTTAAAAAAAAATTTAATGATATACATTGTTAGGAGTGCTTTACACCTTTTTTCATATTTATCGCTGTGGTCGGAAGAAAACCTTGTATCTCCAAAATGGAAACTTTACAGGAGAAGGAAAAAAACCTACTTTACTTTTAATGTAAGTCAGTGGAGCCAGACTTTTTCCCCCCAAGTCATTTTGGGCCGTTTCTTTGGTCCATTCATCATGAAATTTACAAAATTGAATAAATGAAAGGACGGTCTTATTTATATTCTCTATAAATTCTCATCTGGCAGGACAAGGCCTTAAAAGGAGAGAGTGCACACAATTAGGCCTTTTTCTGGTTATACTTTCTGGTTGCCACTCTTAATGCAGCAAAATAAAACAGTCAAAGGCAGCAAACAGTGCATAGACCCCTTCACTGATGCAGTACTGCCTCAAACAAGCTGGCTATTGTGTTGATTGAAGTACAAGATAAATTTCAGCAATACAGTAGCAGAACACAGTGTGGCCTGCTGGAAAGCACCGACATGAAACAGGTTTGGTAAAAGGGAATCTTTAACTTGGTTATTAACATCTTTAACTTGGTTATTTAAAGAGGCACTCCTTTATTTAATCACGAGTGTCCATGCAGAGTTTCTATGTGAACAGTGACCTAATTGTCAGAATTTTTTTTTTTGTTATTTTGTGCAGTTGTTTCACCTAATATTTGCAGTATTAATTCTGGTACTGTGTTTAATCTAAAGACTAACAGCACAACCAAACATAAAGAAAGGGTTCATAAATGACTGTCACAGTATTAAGCTGACCTGGTTTTGTGTTTTGATATCCAGCAAGCTGTATGATGTGCTATTGTAATGTTGCTCCAATGTAATGTTACACTGTTACACTGTTTTGTTGTATAATTATACTAAAAGATTGAAGCTTCAGTTTTTTCCCTCACAAGTATACCATATACATAAATGCACTTCAAATCACACCACCACCTGTACATGTACTGTGTTTTTTTTGTTTTTGTTTGTTTTGTTTGTTTTTACAATCTTGATTTATGTGTTTTTACATGTAATTCTCACCCTCCAAATCATTTTTTTCTCTTTTAGGGTGATAAAGGACTTCATGATTCAAGGAGGTGACTTTGTTAATGTAAGTTTGAGCTGTTTATCTGAAGAAAGCAGGTCATGTTTTGTATTCGGTGCATGTGGATCACATGAGTGTTTGAGTTTGTGTCCGAAGAGTACACAGGGTGTGTTTAAGCTGGGAATTTGCTTAGGCTCTGGTGTATTTGAACTGTAGGTGCGGTAGTCTATATGAAACATGACATGGAACTGAAGCCACTGACCACATTTACAGTTCCTAAATATTGACCTTTCAGTTGTGCCCATGTGTGTGTGTGTATGTATATGTATGTATATATACATATATATATGTATGTGTGTGTGTGTGTGTGTGTGTGTGTGTATAAAAAACAGAAAGCAATGATCTACAGTTGACATTTATTAAATTGAAATCACTATAAACACAGTATCTTTAATGTTTCAACTAAATAATTGTATTGTTTTGTGTGTATGCATGCTTATTCTTTTGGTGCCTGCACACATGTTCTAAAAAGTTCCGACAGAAGCATGTATACCACAGAGTTACATCACCTTTCCTTTTAACGGCGCTCAGTAATCCTTTGGGAACTAAGCTAAGGACACAAGTTGTTGTAGTTGTGAAAGTAGAATTGTTCCCCATTCTTGTTTGATATAACACTTAAGCTGCGCAGCAGTCCAGGGTCTCCATCGTCATTGTCATGTTTTTAATCGAACACACACTTTCAGTGAGGGACAGATCTGGACTGCAGGCTGGCCAGTCTAGCACACGCTCTTTCTTACCATATAGCCACACTGTTTTAACACTTGCAGAAGGTGTTCTGGCAGTGTCTTGCTGAAACAAGCAGCAACGTCCCTGAAAAAGACGTCATCTAGATGGCAGCATAAGTTGTTCCAAAATGCATATGTACCCCTCAGCATTTATAATACCTTCTCAGATGTAGAAGTTACCCACTATTACACCCTTGTAACGTGACAGATGATGGCTTTTGAATTTTGTGCTGGTGACAGTCAGGATGGTCTTTTTCCTCTTTTCCTCACCCTGGAGAACAATTTGAAAGGCTGACTCGTCAGACCACAGCATGCTTTCCCACTGTGCACCAGTCCATCTCAGATGAGCTTTAGCCCAGAGAAGTCGGAGGTGTTTCTGGATGTTGTTAATAAATGGCTTCCGCTTTGCATAAAAGCGTAGAGTCTTAAATTGGCATTTGCAGATGTAGCAACGAACTGTGCTTACTGACCAGGGTTTTCCCAAGTATTCCTGAGCCCATATGATTATATTCATTACAGAAGCATGTCAGTTTTTAATGCAGTGCCATCTGAGTGATTGAAATTCAGGGTCATTCTACTTTGGTTTTCAGCCTTGCCCTACACACACAGACAATTGTCTGTTATTGCTGACTAGAATTTAGCAAGAAAAACAAAACTGTTTCCTGTCTGAATGATAAGCAATGCACGGAAGTGCATATAGACGGATAGCCAACCAGAATGCTAAACACAAAATCTTGATAATTGTGCCCAGCTTTGTCTGCAGAGAATATCACACACATCGTTTCTATGTGGGTGGAGCATCTGAGACAGAGAATAGGCAGTAAATTCAAAACAGGCTGTTTTTGCAGCTTGGTTTATATGTATGGACTGTACAGACTGTGGAGTGAATGGTACATTTTGAAACTATAAATTCTACATCTTTTATTTAAAAAAAAAAGGTAAGATTTTTTTTCTATGATATGGGTCCTTTAAAGAATAATTCAGTATAGTCAGTAGGGCTGCACGATATTGACATAAAATGCGATGTTCGATAAAGCTGTCCAATAACACAATGACAATATGAGAAGCGATCAAAAGCTGTTAAAATAATGTGTCTCTGGTTGGATTGAATGCAGGTGCAGACATTTTTTGGGATGTGTAAACAGAAATCTAACCTCTCTTTAAACAAATAGCAAAATACAAAATTACAAAAGTGCCGTTTACTATTCTGCAAAATAAAAAGAAGTGAAATACTAACAACTACTTACATCAGAACTTCAAGCGCATTTTTTGTGCACTGAAGGGCTGAGAAACAGTCAGCATTACCTCAAGAAGTTTTTCTGTAAAGACCACAAAACTAAATAAATATTTATTTTTTATAGACACAGAAGAACAAATACATATTCTTGTTTAATTTCAAGTAACGTTCCTGCTTTTGGTTGTAGTTAGGCACAGTGTTCTAAGGTAACAAGCTTCAGTAGCCCAGCTGGCTAGCAGAAAAAACAGTAGAGCCTGAGCTAGCCAGTGTGCTGCATGTTTTTCCCTTTGCTGCACTGGTTTGAGTTGAATTTCCATTAAAGCTGAGTTATGGGCCAACACTTTAAATTTTAGGTGAACAAAAACTACCTAAAGGGGATTTCGGAATTATTTTATTTATTTATTTATTTATACATAATTAAATGGTTAAGATGTAAACAGTGATTCAGAGTGGTTGATGTGAAGTGCTCCATTTCTAGTCAAACTTTAGAGAGTCAGAATTGTTCACAGTGGTGTTGATAGGAACCAGACGTCTGAAGTGTTTCATACCTCTGAAAGCTCCTTCATATAAAGTAAGTATATTAAATGGTTATGATTAATACCACATTGCCATATTTCTGATACTTTTGTGATAAAGCTTTGGCTTAAAATATGTTAATGGTGGAGGGATACTTGCAGGGCTAAGGCAAAATAGTCCCCAAAGAAAACTTATTTTTTCGGATTTACTACTATTTTATAATCATCAACTTTACATATAAAAACTTAGAAGACGTGTAGGTTCACTAGTCATTTTAGGTAGTAAGTGAAATGACTAAGGACATCATGACCTTGAACATCATGAAGAAATCAGTAAGGTAGTCAGTATGTTTCTCTACAATGTACCATTTCATTCACCTTTAAAGTACAAGTACTAAAGTAATTGTAAGTAGTTACCACCCACCTCTGGGTCATGTGATCAGTAAATCTATGAAGATTAGTTATGCAGTGGATACAGTATAAGGCTCTGTAATTCCTGGAGCGCTGGTGTCTGGTGGTTTAGTGATTTCCCTGCTCAAACACGTTCACTTAATTAGGCAAATAACAGTTTAACCAAGTGATTTTGAGCTGTGATGGACACCAGCCCTCCAGGACTGGAACTGAAGACGACTAGTAAAAGAGAACAAAATACAGTTTCTAATTTGCTCACAGAAAAAAGTTATATTTTTATAACTTTTTTTGCAGTTATGATTTTAAACTGTATTAATTCTATGCATCTGTCTTCACTCCAGGCTTCTTATTCTTGTTTACTTAAAGTTAAAAAGCTACAAATATGCCACTTTTCACTACGAAGATAAATGTAGTGTATCTTCAAGAGCTCATTAAGTGCCTAATTAGACAATGCTGTACTTATTGAGGGTACCTTTACATTTTACCCAGTAGGTGCCCTTCTTTCATACAGTGTACAGTCTGGCATTACTACAAAATACCAGTACAAATAGCGCACATCCTCACTCTCACACAAGTAAACACTGAGCCAATTTACTAACAGTTTACAAAAAGTTAAAAGACAAAGTGCAGTACAGCATACGTAAGGTAAGATGCATTATGTAAGGTAAGTAATAGTAACTGTCCCTAGATTACATGAAAGTTAATGCATGGTAAGAGATCTGGAGTCTTCAATCTTAAGGATATAGATAACGTTGACATTTCTCATAACTGAGTATCTCTGTGGGATGGATTTTACAGTGACTGTTCAGATTCTTGTGAAAATCACTGAGCCCCTCTAGTGGCCAGAATCATCACGTACAGCTTTAGTAACCAGTAAGTGGTCGCTGTCATAACAAAACCTAAGAAATCTGGAACTAAACTTTATTCTTTAAACTAAACTAAGCTAAAGCTGATGAGATAACGCTTTTTTGGTTTTTGGAAAAAAAGGAAATTCTTGCCGCCAATATAACTGGTTTTAAATAGTGTGCTAAGGCGCCTAAGACTTGTACAGTACTGTGTGTCTATGTGTACAGATTTCAAATAGAAACTTAACAGAAGTAAAAATATATTCTTAACTTGCAATAGAAGTTAATGTAACAAGATTTTTTTCTCCAGGTGATTTTTGGTTTTTACTGGTATGTTAATCATTGTTCATCATGAAATTTTAACAAATTTAACATTTGCATAGAGTAACCAGATTGGCAACATTTAATATACGAATAGCAGTAAAACTGGAATTGGCCCATTTCTTATTACATTTTAACGTAATAAAAGGACACCTGGCTTGTTCAAATAGTTTAAAGAAAATACGTCGGTAACAGTACTGTGCAAAAGTCTTTGGCAGTCTGGGAAAATATTCAAAGCTGTTTTTCTGAGCATAAAGCAGTTATTTGTTTAAAGAAACAGTAGAAACAGTAGAACAAATTAAAATACATAACTGAATAAATAACAAACTGTAGTTTTATATGTGTGAGTGTGTTAGCTTGCTTTGCTGAATCCATGATTTCCTACAGGGAGACGGTACAGGGATTTGCAGTATCTACAGGGGTCCATTCGCAGATGAAAACTTCAAACTGAAGCATTCTGCTCCTGGCCTGCTGTCTATGGTAAACAGTTCTCTCACTATCCAAATGTGAAGTGTTCTAATTGTTAGTGACACATAGACTGCATACATGTGTGAATGAAAGGACGTTGGTTTGATTGTGCTGGGCTTTAATGGGCGTGTATAATTCCTTTTAGTCACTGACTGCACCATTAACTGTTATGCAGGGTTTTACTAGAGCTGGGTGATTTGGCAAAAATGTGACAAAAAGTGAGCTGATTTGCATATGACAAGATCTGGGTGGGTGGTGAGAGTTAAGGCAAATACTGAAACTTTGTAGAAATTATGTATGTTGTGGCGCTACTACATTCCTTTTTTTCCTTCTCTGTTTCTGGCAACAGTATGTCAAACGTTTGACTTATTACCTCAAAATAACGGTATTATCTTCTTTATTGAAAAAAAATTGATCTTAAATTATGACTAATTGTCTGAAATGTGGACTTAATATCTAAATGACTCACTGCTTGAAATCATGACTTAGTATTTAAAAATAATGATTTTGTTCTAAATGTTTTGACATAGAATCTCAAAATAATGGCATACTATATTGAAATGACATTTCTTTGAATTTTGATTTAGTATCTCAGTATGACTCATTTTGTCAAAATAATGATATATTTCTCAACATTTTGACTTATTGTCTCCAAATAATAATAATATTATTTTTATATTACTCCAAATTAATTGCTTACTGTATCGAAATTTAATGTCATTATTTTGTTATTTTAGTAAGTCAAAATTTTGAGATACTGAGTCAAAATGTTGAGTAAGTCAGTCACTATTCCAACATAGCAAGTCAATATTTTGAGATACCAAATTGAAATTTTAACATACTGGTGCCCAGAACGAAAGGAGAAAAAATATTTTGTTCTCTTCCTGGTAGGAATGTGCTTCCATAACATTCACTGTACTTTCATACATACAACAAAAATTTTCTGTTGCATTGTAATGATGCTTGTGCTGGAGTATTTGAGGGACATTTAACTGATATTTAGTGATTTAAATTTTTTTCCCCACAATTTGGAAATATATTACTGGCTTACCTCTGGTCAGTGCAAAAACAGGACTTTTACCATTATGTGAACTTTGTCTCTTCACAGGCAAATAGTGGTCCAGGAACAAATGGCTGCCAGTTTTTCATCACTTGCACAAAGTGTGACTGGTTAGATGGGAAACACGTAGTATTTGGTGAGTGAAATAAAGTGAGCCATAGGTGGTGGCCTGTGGAACTCCACTGCATGGTGGGAAAGAAGAGCGTGTTTTACACATACACATGTCATCTAAACAGTTTAATATCTGCAAGGCCACATCAGATTCAGTGACACAGTCACACATAACAGAAGATTGTGTTAAAGACATAAAAAGCCTGCTCAGGAACTTCCTCCTGTTAAACTCAGATCATTTTTAGGGGTTACTGTTGGGTCCCAGGTCTGCTTGAAGTAAGGCTGCAGATTTTATCGTTTAGCTAACTGTTTTTTCAGTGCAACTAAGAATACCTTGATGTAACACAGGATGTTAGCTTATCATTTTAAAAGGCGTGTCAGTAATATCGCTAAGACATCTGCATTTTATATCTAAATATCTAAAACTTCTAACCCTATACGATGCTAAGAAATTAGTCCATGCTTTTATATTAGATTTGACTGCTGGTTGCCCTGCTGTTTCTAAATAGGCTTCAGTTAGATCAAAATAGCAGCTTACCAGGAAAAATAAGTCTGAACGTCTAACTCCGGTCAAGTCCGTTTACACTGCATGAGATCTGCATTGACTACAAGGTCATGCATATGACTTTTAAAGCCACTCAAGGTTTGATTCTGGTTTGTCTTCTTGATTTGTTGAAGCATTATGGTGCAGACCACTTCGCTAAGCTGAGGCAGGCTTACTGCAGACTGCTAGGATCACCTACAGCTCAGCTGGTAGAAGATCTTCATATGTAGCTCCTAATCTTTGGAGCGTTAACATGACATTCCAAAGAAACTTTAAGAGTGCAAGCTTGATTAATGTTTTTAAATTCCAGATTTAAAAAAACGTACATGTGCAGGCGAGCATATGCCTAGAGTATTTGGGGCTTGTTTGTGATTGCGCTGTTATTTCATTTATTCTTTATTCTTCTGTTTTCTTTATTTGGATCCCCATTAGCTTCCACAAAGTGGTTGCTAGTCTTCCTGGGTTCCACACAAAAGCAATTACAATGAAAAATAAAATAAACATCTTTACAAACATTCTGTATCATAAACAAGACAAAAACAAACAAAACTCAAGAATAAATCTGATACTCAACAAGATAATCAGTAACCAGTAATAACCTACAATTAAACCAAACATCAACAGTAGCACAATAACATCTGTATGAGGTTCATCAAATATTGTTTTAATAGCTTTTTAAAGGAAAATCTACTTTGATGTCAATAGGGAGCATATTCCAAGATAAACACGTCCTATAAAGAACAGTTCTCTTCATACAATTTGATTGTGGACTTGGCACCACCAGCTGACCAGAACTCACTTGTGTCACACTCATGACAAAAACCTGACAATACTCATTTTTCGCAAAAAAAACTTCGCGTATTCATGTGTAACTTTAGGTGTATTATTCCTAATAACTTTATGCATGATTAGCAGAAGACTAAACTTCAGTTTAGCCTCCACAGTTAGCCATGATAATCGTTTATGCATTTCACCCACATTAACACGGAAAGAACAATGAAGAGCTAATCTGGCAAATATTTCTTAGCAGCACTTGACCATACCACTGGGCAGTACTCCAGGTGTGACAAAACAAGTGATCGTGACTTTTAGGCCGTGATATTGTATCTCCTGAATGTTTTACTTAAATTCCTGTGTAAAACATGTTGAAATTTTCTAACTAGAAGGCAAAGTGTTACATAAGTACTATTATTATTAGTAATATTAGTCTCTAGGTTCCCACATTATTTGTGTGATTTAAATCTAAGTTTGTATTATTTATTTATTTTTTTTTAATCTTCGTTTTAGGTAAAGTGGTGGACGGTTTGCTAGTCATGAGAAAAATTGAGGTAAGCTTCTGATTTCACTGTGAGTGAGTCCACTTTGACAACCAGAACATCTGAATAATCCCATTTTTGTTCACTGTAGTCCAGCCATTCAGACTGCTATTCTTCCCTACAAAGCCGAAGTCCTGTGGGCTTGTAGAAACTCCACTAATTGGACCATTCTAGCTTTAAGTGTCTTTGAGGTCTCCTGAAAAAGAAAGCAACCTTGAATGTATTCTTATCAAGAGCTCAGGTTGTGTTGTGTTTGGTTTGTCAGCTGACTTGGTGAGCTTGGTTATAAACATATGCCATCTACATCCTATGATGTCATTCAGTGACCTACATTCAGTGCAGTCTGTAAATCACTGGACAGTCATTCAGCTTTTGTTGTTTTGGCTCTGTAGTCCTTCACACTGGATTTGAAATGAAATAACGATTGTTTATAGTCCCTCACATTAAAGGACAAAAATGTAATGGGACAAATTAACCCTATGTTTTTTTTTATTTTTATATATATATATATATAGTTTTTGTTTTTGTTTGTTTGTGAATCCTTTGCAGTTGATGGCCAGGCCTTTAATGTAGCTATTTTCAGTTTGCTTTTGGGGCTTTTGATTTTATTCTTCAGTAATTGAGATACATGCCAAATAGAGTTCTAGTAGGGTGATTGATTTGGTCAGTCACAAACCTCCCACTCCTTGGCCTAGAAAACCTCCATAGTTGCTTTAACGGTACGTTTTGGGTCATATTACTGCTGAAAGTACAGTCCATTCCGTTTTTAGAAATTTGGTTAGATTTGAGCAGTTTAAATGCTTCTGTACACTTCAGAACTCATGTTGAAGATCAGTAAAGATGAATGGGCCAGTTCCAACAACAGGCCATCTGCTAAAGTTATTGCCTAACTAGCTAGGCCAAGGTAGCTAACTTAAACATTAACTATTATTAACTTGGCTTGTAAATCATGACAACATAACAACCCATAAATATAAAGGAATAGATTCAAAAATTAAGGTAGAATTAAGTAGATACAGCCATATGCAGAAGTTTGGGTGCCCCTACAGAGAAGACACTTCTGTACATTTTAATAAGCAATTACTGTTTATTTGCTGAATTTAACATACTGTAAAAACCTAAATCTGACCAGTGCAAAGGTTATATGTTTATATTTTGTTTTCCAGAATGTTAAACTCAGCAAATGAATACAAACTGTGCACTTATTTAGGTTCGTTCCCATAGTCTTGAACTATGTCTGGCTCTCTGGGTCTGCAGATGGATGCATCTCAATTCCACAGGCTCATGATGAGGAAGTTTCCAATTCGCAATCTGAAGAACTTTTTTTTAAATTTTGTTTTCTTTTTTAAAGCACCTTTTAACAAACAGAAAACTGACTTTTCAGCTTTTGAGGCCTGCCTATGGTTTGCATCTTGTGGTCAACCCTCTGAGATTATGCTAGCCTATTATTCTCTGTATGGTATGCCATACATCCTGGATAGTGTTTTAACCTCCCTGTCGGTTTCTCTTCATGACTGAAAGTATTTGTTTATTCATCACTGTGGTCTCCTGTGTTGTTATGGTTTCAAATGCAGTCATGTTCTACAGAGCCAAAACAAGTAGTCACTGTCCAGTTACTCATGGACTGCACTGTATGCCTTCACTGTCAGAGAATCATTTTAAAGCATTGCTTATTTTAGTTATCTGTTGGTGAGCTCTGGTCACGGTTTTCAATGCAAATGAAGCCTTTGGTCTTGAAATGAAGTCAAATCAACAGATACTTTGGCTTTTTTTTAATGTAAATAAAAAAAAATGTAAATCATTAGTAATTTTTTCTCTTTACTTCTGTTGCAGAATGTGCCTACCGGACCCAACAACAAACCAAAACTACCCATAGTCATTGCCCAGTGTGGAGAGATGTAAATTTTTTTTATTTTTTTACCTTATTGTAATTACTGTGTATCTGCATGTGTGCAGACTTTTGATATATTTCTTTTGGAATAAAGAAATGAGATCATCTGATTTACTTTCTAATATACCAACAGTTGTCCTCTATCTGACTTTAAACAGCTAAAATCTAGTTCAGTTTCTAACTGACTAACAATGTGTAACTATGGTATCTATATCCTTCTCTAAATTCATAAAGTAGACATATAATAAATACAGTGGAGACAAGCACCTCCTGTTTCTCTAGAGGCATAAGAATACTTTGATTCTCCTATCCTTTGGATCACTTCACAATTATCCATTCACAATGTTGTTTGACTACTTTCTCTGCCAAGTATCCTTGAATAAACACCAGCCAAAGTTTTTGGAAGGAATGGTTGCGTTCCTTTTCTCATAAAGACTTCCATGATTATTAATGCCAGTGACATCTTACTGCAGCATATCTCCTTTGACCTGATATTGAAAAATGAAAATGCACCAATCAAAATGGTCCTGTTGTCACAGTTCTGAGTGCATCCAAACTTCAAAAAGCACCCACTCGAGCCGAAACCAAACTGACCCTTTTATTTTTGCTAGGAGTGTTATTTAATGCCAGTTCCTCACTGTTGAAATTTCTATTGTCTCTACTTCTTACCCTATCCCACATACTAACCTACTCTAAGGCCCACCCCCCGCCTTCTCCTCACCCTTCATGCCTTGGACCCTGTCCCCTCCAAACAAAAGAGCCCTTTCAGCTGAAGTGCAGGAAGAGTTTTGGGCTCGGTGGGAGGTTTCTGGGGTCAATGTTAAAGCCCGTCTTTGTGTGTGCGACAACAGGGCCTGGCCATTAACAACAAGCTCTTCACACATCGTCCAGCTTCTCCGCAACAGTGCCAGCGCACCATTTACATGACAAAAGGGGAGGGGGCGGTGTGGGACTGTCTCACAGTCGGCCAAGGGTCTGTCTCATTGCTGGCCGCAGAGTGCTTCCTTTTAAAATGCAGTGGGCAGAGCCAGTCTGGAGAGGATGTGGCTTTAAAACAGGCTTTGCTTCTATGTGAATTTGAAATTGTGAGTTTGTTTGGTGTATCAGTTACAGGGTTAAAAATAGACATAATATCTGGGCTGATGGTTCATACAATGCCACATTTCAGTGCCCGGTTGCCTTGGAAATGGAGTAGCTGCACTATGGTTTCAAATTGGCTTGTGCGAAAGGAGAGAAGGTCAATGGTTTGGCTGTAAATTCAGTGCATAAAATTAAGGTTTCATATCATTTCATACTAAGCTAATGTGTCAGGTGCATTTGACAGTGTCCACAGCAGCTAGTTAAGAATTTATCAGAGGGGGTTTCCCCTAAACAGAACATTACTAAAGGTTTTTATATATATATATACAGCCTCTGGTCTACTGCTTTTATGGTTTAATGTGCTGTTAACAGGGCCATCTCACGTAGCCTTTAATAACTCACACAAATTTCTCCGAGTTTCTGCATAATTTAGTTGTTGAGATGTAAACAGTCAGAGTGGTTTGATTTGAAACGGTTCACTGTAGAGAAACTTAACAAGTCTTCTTTTTTATCATGGTGGTGAAAAATGTTTTCTTTGGGTGCTTTTTTGCCGTATAAAGCCCTTCATATACCTTTCCACCATGGATGTATTTAAAATGTTTTAGGCCAGAACCTCATCACAAAACTTGTTAAACAGAGTCTCAGGCTTCAGGTAACACATTAATTCATGTAATAACCTTCTGTGAGGCAGCTTTTAGAGGCATTGAACTCTTCAGACGTCTGGTTCCCATCACCACCACTGTGAACAGTTCTGACTCTAAGTTTAAGGGCATTTTATACCAAACCACTCTGAATGACTTTGTTTTAGAATTGCATATTGATATCAGAATCATAGTTGTATCAGCAAATAATTACTAAAAAACAAACAAATAATAGAGTAGACCAATATTTGACTGTTTAATGTACAAATACAACATATTTTTGTACTCTGGAAAAACAGGATGTTTAGGTGATGGTGGGCTACTGTGCTAAAATATCTGCATTTTATTCATTTTTAGCATTTATAACTTTTTTTTTAGTTTGTCTAAAATGCTAATTCAAGTAGATGTAGTCACGCATTCTGTATTTTTTTAATGTTTATGTATCGGCATCTGCAATAGCAGACATGTACATGAAAAATATCGGATATCAGGCATCAGCTTCCGATTCCCATATCGGTGTATATGTACTTGTTTACATCTAAAATGTTTCTTCATGTAGTTTTTTCTTCAATTTATTTCGATTTAATCCAATTTCATAGCAAATTAGCTGTTTTATTGCAAATACATATGTCTCTTAAATAGCCAGGTGCTACATTAGAACTGTATGTGGGGGACTGGTTCAGCTGTCTCCATCATACCGATGCTTTCGCCGCTTTCGGAACGAACCAATCACAGGTGCGATGCGTAAAGATACGACATAACTGACAACGAAAGGACCCAATAAGCTTGAGAGAACAGATCTACGTCCTCCAAAAAAAGAGTATGCCAACCAATCAGAAGAGAGAGTGGGAGGGCCGCTCAAAGATATCCTCCAGTGTCGTTTCTGATTCCGTCCAGTTCGATCGGCAACGGGAGCGGAGAAAGGAAAGCTGAGAGCCCGAAGGCAGTAGCCCCCACCACCGCCGGCCCAAGTTACCATCTAGCACCGGGAAAATACACTAGAGAGCCACCGCCGGCTTTACCAACAAGGAACCACCATGAGCAGCGAGGCCGAAACACAGCAGCCGCCGCAGCCTGCCGCCGACGCGGAGAGCCCGTCCAACCCGGCAGCTGCAGCTACCGCGGGGGATAAGAAGGTCATCGGTAAGGCAGCTAGCGTTAGTCGTAACTTGCCTACAATCGCTCGTTAGCTGCTGTGCTTGTAGATCAGGGCTGGAAAGCTCGTGTATTGCTGAGACTGGTGTTGGTTTCTCAGCAGTCATAATGACTATTCTTGTTAACGTTAATTGAAGAAACACGTTAACAAATCGTTACCGATTTTCTGTCTAGTATAGTCGCTCAGTCGAAACGGCTAACGTGGCTATGTAAAACATTTTTTCTCATTTTACCAGCTAGCCAGCAACGTCTCTGTCGCAATGTGTCTCTGCTGATGACCACAACACTCGTCAAATGGTGAACTTTTAGAAGTAATGCTGGCCTCATTAACGGCAGTTAACTTCAGCTGGTCAAACGTAAAAATGTGACGGTTCATTTTGTTGGCGGTTCGGGGTTTTTAACCGAATAACGTTCTACATTCTGTCCGCGCGCCGCGCTGGTTCAAAAATCGCCGCTTGGTCGAGCGGATAGCTTACTAGCTAACTCTGCTAACACGAGGCCTGTGAGTGTGACCACACCGGCCGGCTACTCGGCAAGCTAGGTTAGCTACACTAGCCAGCTTCCGAGAACGGTGGCTTGGTTTGGACCGACTTCTGTCTCCAGAATTACACTAGTTTATACGACTAGTTATGTGGCTTATTTGTAGAATGGCTAAAATGTCGCATTCGACTTGAGTCCAGCGATGAGGAGTTGGTGTAAATTGCTGTCCAGCGTTTTCGTCGCTATTAGCCAGCTAGGTGCGTTTGGCCTTGATCGTGACCCCCTTCTACCTCCGCGTTACGGAGATCACCAGGCTAGCTAATTAGCTACCTAACGAGCAGCCAGGGACCCCGAGCTACTCACTGTCGGATAAAAAGGAATAATGTGCTATTAAAATATTAATTGTTTGATCATTAATGCCGTATTAGTAGCCGTTGGCGAAATGATTGGCCAAACGTACTACGCTATTCACGAAACTGAATTTGGCTCCTTGTTCGAATTTTCCCATTCCACCTTAAATAGTGAAGCAGTTACATTCTGGTGGCTCAGGCACCATTTAAGGTGGAACAGGAAAACTCAAACTAGAGTTTGGCTAATAGGAAGCCGATTTCAGCCTCATAAGCTAACTGTACTCTTTGTTTGCCTGCTGGCCTTCGTCTGAACCTGGCCGAGCTAGCCAAGTTAACTCATTCCCAGCGAAACAAAAACATAGCTAACGTGAGACGACCGTCCAAATCACTCATGTCTTTTAAAACTGCGACCGTTTACCGAATTTTAGTCAGCCAGGACTCCAGCTCGATAAGGTGAAGCTACGTTAACTTAGCTTTCCCAGTTTACCGTTCCCAAAATGTCCGCCGCGCTGCTCAGATGATGGGGATTTCTTTTGTCTAAGCGTCGAGCGCACACGGTTCGGGCTCAGCCCGGCGAGCTAAATTGAGGCGCGTCGCTCCGCGATAAAACGATGAACGTGAAAACACGACAGTCGTTTGTAACTCGTCTAGCTGTGGGTCTAACACAGAAAGAAAATGTGTTTTTTTTTCTAACTGGCGCTTGTCCAACCACATGGTTGAGGCTAGTGGCTAACTGGCTACTATGCTGAACGTAGCATCCTAAAGCGCAGCAGCAGTGTTGCTAGCTAGTTAGCAAGCCAGCTAACGCTATTTAGTATCTTAGCTCGCAAACTTCGATTTTTTTTAACACCTGAGATGTTGGAGTTGTTTTGTCACCTTACTTAAATTCTTACTCGATACAAGAGACTTTACTCAGTTCGTGTGTTTTGTGAGGTAAAGTCAGATCCGCCTCGGAACAGGAACGTGTTACACCACGTGTAACTTGAAGAATGTCTTCCTTATTTCACTCTGTCTCGTTTCCTTGATCTAATGAGTCAATGCGACCCAGCTCGGTGATGGTAGCTAGAGCAGTTTATGAGGAGTATTAACCTGGACCTAGAGCGACTGGTTTAAAGGATCTATATCATAACACATTTTCCTCACTGTATTAAAATAACATTAATCTTCCTTCATTTACGTTGAAGTTATAAGTAGTGTTTCTCTCTGAATTGCCTTGTGAATGAGGCACAATTCAGAACAGAGACTGAATAGATTGTTTCTTTAAAGCACAATAAATAAGTGTCTTTTAATCTTAAGATTTAAAGAGGTGTTGAAAATGGACTCTTTTTGGGACCATATAACCACACAAGTGGACCTCAAATAAAATGTAGAGTATTGGTTTCAAGACTGCGCTCACAGTTTAATTTTGACTACACGCTCATAGCAGACCCATGTAGGATCTGTTCTTCAGAAATGGCCAAGCAAGTTATTTTCTGAAGAAAGTCTCTTGATATGAGCAGCTGGCCATGCAGAGCAGTGGTTTTACATCAGAGTCTATAAACAGCACGACAGTTGGAGGTTATAAATAGATTCCCTCTAAATGTCTTCTTAGATTTTGGCAATGGTTCTGGGTTCCTTTTCTTCATAGCTGTGCCGTTTGCGTTTTCACATGAGGCACAGACTCTCTCCTGTTCACCGTTTATATAAACATTCCAAAGGTGTTTGCTAATTTTTCAATTTTTACTCCCTTTTTAGCAACAAAGGTCCTGGGGACAGTGAAATGGTTCAACGTAAGGAATGGCTATGGTTTCATCAACAGGTAAACGGCTTGCAACCCTCAGACACCAGCTATTATGTGTGTGTCAGGGAACATCCTCAATCCTATTAGAGCTTTGAAATGCTTATAGCCAGAATGCTGACTACTCTGGCAGGAGCACACTACTGTTTACTTGAGTCTTAATCACTGTCTAAAGCCAGTTGGTTCATGTTTATCTCAATTAACTGTGTCTTGTGTCTCTATTGCTAATATAATCAGTGTCTGTCTTCCTCTATTAATTTTTTGTTTGTTTATTTATTTATTTATTTATTTAAAGGAATGATACAAAAGAAGATGTCTTTGTACACCAGGTAAATAGTTGCCACATCTTTTCTGGCTTTGCATATATCACTATAAAGAACAAAGTAGATGGTTTGGTATAATGCCTCATACTTGGTTTTTGCTTGTCCCCAGACTGCCATAAAGAAGAATAACCCAAGGAAATACCTTCGCAGTGTTGGGGATGGAGAGACTGTGGAGTTTGATGTGGTTGAAGGGGAAAAGGTGGGGTTCGTTTCTTGCTTTTGACTATGTTAAAGTTCCATCTCAAACTTAAGGGAGTTAATTTAGTAGAGCATTTATGTATTCAATAAACTAAATTGTATTTCTCAGTTGTCCCAGTTATAGAAGCTGCGGTGTCTGTTACACAGTTTTGGGAGCACCTATACATTAATTAGGCTATGATATCTGCTCAAAGTGTGTGCTGCTAAACCATTCAAAACACATTTTATGGAGAGCAAACATAATTACTTGATCTCCCAACTTTACCAATATGGCTCAGTATAATTGGGCAACTTAACATTAACCTTCACCGTGGTTAGGTTTGCATTGCAAGCCTTATTGCTCATTTCAATTTATTAGCATCTGGTATTGCTGTTTTGCTTTTTCATATTTGTTTGTGGCTCATCTATGATTGAACACGTGACCCAAAAGAACCTGGATGCACATTTTCACATTTTGTCAAATTAACCACAGCCAACACTGGTTGACATTAATTTTGGAGAGTGATAAATTGTAGATGTTAATTCCTATTTAAATGAAAGCAGCTATGTTGAGCACATTGAATGTCTAACATGCAAAATAATGGATTTGGATCTTCTCTGTAATATGAACATAGCCAATGACTATCACAGCAATATTACATCAATATTAAAACTTTTCTCCAGGGTGCTGAGGCAGCCAACGTTACCGGGCCTGGTGGTGTCCCCGTTCAAGGGAGCAAATATGCGGCCGACAGAAACCGGTACAGGCGGTACCCACGCAGGAGAGGGCCCCCTCGTGACTACCAGGAGAACTACCAGAGCGACGGGGAGGGAGAGGTGCGTGAGAAGAGGGAGGGCGGAGAGAGTGCACCTGAGGGCGACCAGCAGCAGCGAAAGCCCTCCTTCCCCGGCAGGCGACGCTATCCCCCATACTACGTCAGAAGGCGCTATGGGCGCAGGCCCCCCTATACCAACGCACCCCCCAGGGGAGAAATGACCGAGGTATGCTGGCAGCAGAGCAACTGAGATGAGGATGGATAAAAGCTATTAAAAGTTTGTTTTAGATGCCGTTTTAGAACATTGATTCCCAATCGTGGCCCTAGAGCATTTTGGTGTTTCCCTTACTCTAACATACTTTTTTTAACTAATTAACAAGCACTTTGAATTAAAGTGTCTCTTGGAGCAGAGATTATGCTTAAAAATGAAAAAGGAGTTCTCCAGTACCAGCACTAGAACCGTTAAGTCTGAAGGATATTATTTGTGACTAATTGTACCTGTAGTCATAAGTTCCTTGGCAAATGCCATTACTTCTGGACTTACAAAACGAATATTGTGGAAAATATATTTAATTGATTGCACTGTTATTGTTGGTAACTGCCAGCAGTGGGAAAAGGAAGATCTGCTGTGATTTGTATGTGTAATTTTCTTTTCGTCATGTGTTTTTTTTTTAGAGTGGGGAAGGTGATGAGAACCAGGGTGGACCAGACCAGGGCAACAAACCAGTGAGGCAGAACTACTACAGAGGCTTCCGACCAAGGTTCAGACCAAGGTTTGCATGTTGTGTTTGCTGCAATGAGGCTGCAGCCCTGAGATGATGACATTTGGCTGACCTAAACTTGGCAGTCATGGTTTGGCCTCTGATAAAACTGATCACTGACGCTGATCATTAATGGTATGTGGGCTGTCACTGCCATACATGCCTGAGAACCCATAAGCACAACTGGATGGATGGCTTACTTCCTTTCATTCTGCTGATGCCGAATGTGGCTGCCTGTTAGGTCCTCTGTACAAAATGGGTCCTTTAGTATTGTTCAGCTATGTGTGATCAACAGCTTGAAAAGATGCCATCAGTAACACATAGGAAGTATGGTAGCCCTGACCTAGATGATGTCTAGGAATTGGAAGTGACTAACTGCCACACCAAGTCAATTAAGTGTATACAGTTTTCATGATTTTTAAATGACTTTTTTTAAAACGTCCCCATATCTAGTGGTACCATAGAACATGAAGTAGCTGTCTTCTTAAATTCATGTGATGGGTAAGTGACATGGTGGTTCGTGTGTCTGCGGCAGGGGTCCACCCCGTCCCCGGCCGGCGCGGGAAGGGGAAGAGGACAAGGAGAACCAGGGTGAGGGCGGCCAAAATCAGGAGCCCCGCCAGCGCCGCTATCGCCGCAACTTCAACTACCGCCGCAGACGGGCCCAGACCACCAAGCCTCAGGACGGCAAGGACAGCAAGGCAGCCGAAGCATCCGCTGACAAATCAGCCGCTCCCGAAGCCGAACAAGGCGGGGCCGAGTAAAACATCCGCTGCCGGCTTCACCATCTTGCACCATCCTGCCGGGTTGGTTTCACAGTTTTCTTCTGCTTTTATAGACCAGGTTCGGTGATCCCACCAGTTATCAGTCGCTTTCTGAACTCAAACTGGAAAATGTATAGTGGAACGGTGGGCAACCCAAAATGCATAGAAGAAGGTTCTAGTAGAACCAAATCGCAGGATTCTTAAAATGAATTGGTGAACACCCTAACCGTTGACAAATTGCTATGCTATGACTACACTGATTTCAGCCCTTGGCGCAGATATTTTTAGATCATGCGACTGTTGGTAAGGTGGTGCTTACTGCTGGGGCCTTGTTGAATGTGTTGCAGATCTAAGAATGTGAGGGGTCCCGTTGGCTTTATGTATTAAAATGACTTTCCTCAGAAAATGCAGTCCCATTTAGGAAGTGCCAAGAGAAACAAGGCCACCCCCTTGACTAACCCATAATTGTTAGTGAGACAAAAAGACTTGCATTGAAATGTTTTTTCAGAAGTCTGAGGTGTTTGTACTACTCAAATGACAGTCCACAGCTTATTCTGGATCTCATTTTCTAAAATCATTCTAATAATATTCTGGCAGCTGTTCTGCATTGATTATACATTCAATATATTGACAGCAACATGAACATGAATTGTGTTTTATATAATGCACAATAACAATCAGGTAATGTGGAGACTAACAAGAAAATTGTAGCAGCAGCCAGACCCAGTACTCTGGCTTCATAAAGGCATGCTCTAGACTTTTAATTCAAATATTTAAGGCATTTGAGAATGTATATGCCATCACTGCTTGTTAAAACCATCCCAACTGCCTGAATGTAATTGTCAGATGTTTAACATCATGTCCATGTATAATGCTCTGGTTTAACTGCTTTCACTGGAAAGGGAAGGGCAAATGCCACAAGGGATGGCATCTTGGTATATTGCCCAGCTCAGTTAAACTCTGATTGCCCTGGAGCAGTGCTTCAGTTTGCACTTTCCATTGACACAAGGCTGGATCAGCCTGTTCAGTGACGGCATGAGCTAATGCCGCGGATCTGATAAAGCAAACTAAATGCCTGGCCCAAGCACACTCTATTGTGCTGTTGGCATTGCCATCACTGGGCAACATTTTCTCTGCCTGGTAGTTTCAAATTGAGCACTAGTTGCAAAGACAGTGCCCTACAGTAGCTTTGCAGACTTGGCATTGTTGACTTTAGTTGAAGCTGAATGTTAACGCTTTGTTTTGCTTTGTATTCTAGTTTTTGTCAACAAGAAGAAGAAGAAACATCCAAGATCTGAGCAATAAGAACCAGATTTGACCTGACGATCGTCTAAGCTTGCAACATGCGTTTGACCAGATTACCACCGATTGCCTGCAGAATCTATGCAGACCTGTTTTTTTTTTTCCATTCTTTTTATGTGACAGCTAAAAGTTTTGGGGAAACAGCAGATGTTTTTCTAAATCGGTCTTAAGTTTTTACACCAAATGGTTTTTAAAAGAAGTAATTTGATATCTGGTCAGTTTGACATTTTTAAATAACTTTTTATGTATCCAAACATGAATTTTAACAAAAGGCAAGCTCAAAATAAAAGACAAAGACGAAGTTTCTCCATGAGTTTCTCTTTGGTGTTTGGTCTCTATTTGGAATTCATTTAGTTGTGCAGAGAACTGGGTAATTCATTCATGCTATAAAGTCACAAACCCACTATAAAATCTCCACCCTTTCTGAAGTAGCTGACACATGCAGTCCTTTGGTGGGAAAGTAACATGTAGTTTCAAAGTCTTATCAAACATTGGTCTCTTTGCGAAGTCGCTCCATGCGCTGAATGTTGGACTCCAGAGCAGTACGGTTGGTGATCTGTGTGGCACAGCTGGCTGGAAACCAGCCTCTTTCACCATCCCTCATCCGTTCCCCGTAACACCAACCTGGAAAACAGTGGAGTTCAGTTAAAGCTGCAGACAAAGCTTCTCACAGTACTGGAAGTCAGATGTCTGCCAGTATGGTTGCTGATGCAGTACACAGAGTGTTGTGGACATATTTAGATGTATATTATAAGCAGGGAAAAGCTTCAGGTTTTTAGCCTTTTGAACAAATGGTGGAGTGAGTGGACTACTGCTACTCAGTCCTTAGGCTGTTGGTAATACCTACAGAACACTGCAGGGTAAACTCAAATTAAAAGATCACATGACCAAATAAAGCCAGAAATGGAATATTTCAGGCAGCATTTCATTATAATTACTAAAATTAGTATTTCTGAATGAGCTATTGCTTTGATTATAATTTGCACCCACCATCACTAAGTGTTTTTCCTGTTTTGCAATATGTCCCTGTATGCGTCCACATAAAACTAAGGCACTATTTTAACATTTCATTGAAATTTATGGGCTCATACAAATCAAAATAAGCCTTGTTGAATTTTTACAATTCCATTTTACCTTAATAGGACCTTTTTAAATAATCACACAGGTAAACTTGGTCAGTTCACTGAACCATACTGTCGCTGTCCAAAAAAAAAAGTATATGCATTTTCATATTTTTGATTTCCAATTTTCTATTCATTATTTGAACACAGCAGCTGTCCTTTACATTGTGTGGAAAACGTAATGAATTCACCAAAAGTACTTTGAATAAAATCCTTTCACATTAACTTGACAACTTTCTGCTGTCTCTTGTGAAGTTACTATTTTAAAAACCTTTAAAATAGTAACTTATGTAACGATATGTAACATCTGATGACTCTGCTCTGTTGTGCTGCATCATGAAGTTTATAGGTGCAGGTTACTGGCTTGCACTTAAAAATGGACTTATTCCATTCTGCACTTCCCCTGGTCTCAAGACTATAATACTCACAATGTAACTATATGATTAGTAACAAGAAACCATGATGCAGATGTGTTTACCAGACAGGACGCTGTTGTTAGGTGGAGGAACACGTCACCTAAATAAAAAGGGTTTCAGTTGCCGATAATGAATTAAAGCTATGCACATTACATCATGCCAGCTGCTTCCCACCAGTTTCAATTCACCATCAACCGTAGCAGTGATGTTAGTGGTTAAATGTTCCTTCAGCATCACATTATTGCTCTTGTCATCTTTGCAAGACCCAACCCACTTGAGTGGTCAGATAATGTCTTTAGGTATGACAATGCCTTCTCACCATCCACTTCCTGCAGGACGATGACCACTTCAGCCTGCTGGAGACTCAGCTCGTCTGGCTCTTTGGGCATATAGGCTTTGGTGGCCTCGTATTGAGGCAGATCTGAAATAGATGAGCACAAATAAGCATGAAAAACATTTGCTGTCAATAATATAACTGAGCTGCTAAAGTTGGCTTAATTTTAATGCAGGAATAAAAGGAAAATTCTAGAGAGAATCTGAGATACAGTTTTTTCCTTTTGAAACAATTAAGAAAAAAGAAAACTATAAAACTGATCAATGAAGCCTTAATGGAATTTTGAATCAAGCGTTATAATAATTACCATTATTTACTATTGTCTTACTGATGTACCTCTATATTTTCTGTATCTAATCTCAGACTTACCATCTTTGTTAAAGATACTCTCCGCTTCCTTGTGCCTGCGCAGAGCCCTGACCCAGCGAGCTCTGTCCAGCCTGCAAACACAGTCATTCACATTTACATCTCTTCTTAAAAAATACAAATATACAAAAATACAAAAATACAAGTACTTTAATAATTGTTAATTGTTCTCCAGAGTCACTGACGTCTTGCAAGCTGCCAAATGCTGTTTGATGGGTGATAATTGTTCACATCTGTGCCAGCAGATGGAGCTAGACACAACACTATTATGGCCACTTACTTGTTTTCAGCCACTAATGCCATCTGTTCACAGCGCCCCTCACTGTTGGGCTTCATGGCCAGCCGCAGGTAGAGCTTAGAGTCGACCTGCTCTTCCTCTACCTCCACATTCTCCAGAGTGGCGTAATCACATACCACGTAGCTCTCCTCACTGTATAATTAAACACAGATTCAAATTACAAATACACAAACACACTGGGACAAAACTAGGTTATAGGGATGGGCACTGTACTGATTTTTATTTTTATTGTGATAAGCCACAAAATGCTTTTCTGAATGTTCTGAATAGTGTAAGTACTTTAAGAACACAAACTGCGTGTTTCATTACAAAGAGACATTAGTCCTGGTTAAGTGGATTCAGAACACAGTATGCTGAATAAAAATAGTTTTTATGTTTTTAAATGTGGCACTACTGGTTCTTTTTGCCCCTGCCAACTCATAAATCCTCAGAAAAACAAAGTACTGTAATATTACCTTTTAGTTCATGATATAATGTTTTGTATCTATAAAAAAGAATCCACTGTGTTGCATTTATTTGGTATAAGCACAGTAAATGCTGAGGAAACTGTACAAGGTGATTGAAGAAATAACTCAGCAGTTCTGACCACACAATCTAATTGGTTGAAAATCAATCTACCGATAACAGCACATTTTTTTCACCATATTTTATCATTTCACTAACAACAACAACAACAACAACAGCTGCTAGAACTACTTTTTAGGCGGAAGAAATCGGCCATATGAAACAGTGAGTGCATTTATTGGAGTCATGGAGTAACAAGTTTGGGAAGAGGAACATGTCTGAGACAAAATTCTCACAATGCCCCTATGCACTAGGCTTCAACGCGTTTGGCCACACCCTTCGTATTTTACCTCAGCAGTCTCGTTTCATCTGTCGCAGCAACTACATATTCCAACACCTCTGGCTCCAAATCTCATTCTCCTCACGTCTGACACTTCCCCATACTTCTGGATACCATCGCTTCTCAGCTATTCCCTGCATAGCCCTGCAAAGCTAGTCTGCCTTTCCCCTTTTTTCTCCAGTCCCAATCCTTATCCCCTGGGTCACCATACCTTCCCCCCCCCTCCCACTTTCCCTCGGACCGAACTAACATTGGTGCATTTTTGAAGATGCTGCCTGTGCCCCTGGAGACCTGCTGCTCTCCTGGTCAATTCCTCCGCTCTTCTGTGACTGCTGATTTTGGCTTCCCTCATGTCATTGACTTTGCTCTCTCATCCCGTCCAACCCTCAGTACCTGGGAACCATGTCCTTTCACCATCACTGGCCTTTTGGGGGCTTGAATTCGAAGTGATTCTCATCCACTGTCATAACTGAACAACCATTCTGTTGCTAACAGGATGATCCATTGCAGACTACCTCCTGCAGTGACCAAAACATCATCCAGCTGCTTCTGCCTATCATTACGCCCATCAACTCCCATACCCAGTTTTCCCCCACCTTCTAACGGTCATTCCTGCTCCATATTCATTCCATCCAGGAGGTTGTGTTCTGCTTTAGTCTTGTCTAACCCTTTACCCGCCACGTTTATCACAATTTTCACAATCTGGTGTCAACCTGGTAAGGATGGGTTCCTCTCAAGGATTCTTCCTCGCATCACTGGGAGTTTTTCCTTGCCACTGTTGCCTTCTGCTTTCTCGTCAGGGGTTCAGATCCAGATGTCTGTTAAGCAGCTCGCAACCGTGTCATCACCAAGACCACTGAATCACATTCACCTGCTCAATCTTTCCATCCTTCAACCTCAGTAACAACACTTACACACTCCGAGTGCCATACATGGGCCAACTTAAACAGACCTCTTTTCTGCCTAGGCTAAACTCCTCCACTAAACCATGTGAAGTGTAGCACACTACCCCTAACCAAGATACCTAAATGCTAGACCATCTGACCAACCAGCTCCCCCATATTACTCTGGCATACACTCATACTAGGTTATTTTCCTAAGCAGCTACAGTGTGTCACCACATCAGAATCAGCTCTTACATGACAGACATTTCTAGTCCAGTAATCTTTCTGATTATGTCAAGGTCCCTCTAACATACTGTCCATACACCTTACTCAGTTCTAGACCCAAACAGTTTCTGAGTCCATCCTTGAGTTCTTTTTGGGGGTCCGGCATAGTATGGTCTGAACTTGTAAAATGGAGTAATAAAATAATTGAAGTTTGGGAGGAGAAACATGCCTGAAACCTCTCCTCCTTCCAATCTAACGCTCTATAAATTCATATCACTTTTCGTCTCCTGTGGCGAAGTTCTCGCAGTCCCCAACACCACCCCATTTCCTCCCTGTTCCTGAGTCTTAACTCACTTAAAGGGGGGTCTGGCCTTCTAGCGACTTCTAGCTGCTTTGCAACCCACCAGTAAGCTCACAGAAGGATGTGACATAAAATTCAACCCTCGTGCTGCAGCTTTTTTCACTTTACCAGCTAATATGAATATGCATTATCTAGAACAGGGTTGTCAAACTCAACCACTAAAAGAGCCGTATTAAAAAATCTCAGAGTTTTTACTACATTTTTACTTAATATTTTGTCATGACACAAACAGGCCATTGTTTATTCAAAATATGCCGAAAGTGCAACAGCAAAATAGGCACTGAATACTTATTCAAAAATAATTCTAAATAAAACTAAATTGTTATTTTTTAAAACTGTCTATCTGCTTGAACTAGACACCAGGCATCTTTTCTTTTTGTTGTAAGGGGAGGGTGTCGGAACACACACTATATTGCAGTGCATGCTGGGGACTGTAGTTCATCTCAGGGTGAAACAGGCTAATAACAATTGAAAATTAAAATAATTTCATGGGCCGAACAGGACTGTGCCATGGGCCTGACTTGTGTGTGACACATGGGATCTAGAAAAAAAAGAATCTTTTGTGCACTATTGCTTTAAGAAGCGGCCTGGAAAGCATTACAAAAACAGTGACTTACAGGCAAAGCTCCAGTTATGAGAATGGCATCCCACTCAGATATGACAGATATGAGACTAAACTGCAGTCCAGCCACACTTCTTGAGCTTCCTATCTTTGCTGAGATGTGAGCAGTGGCTCGAGTCAGGGATGTGACTCAATTGCAGAGGTAAAGGAATCTAATGTTAGGAGTCATGCAGGAATGTCAGGCATGTTACGCTACAGCAGCCATCTAAACCCCCCCCTACTGAGAGCTGGTCCTGAGGCACTCTGCCTGTACACTCTAAAAGACCTCCTGCCCACTGACCTCCTGCCCAAGATCTAAACTAAAACAAAACATTTGGAAAAGGCTCAAAATTGTTTTTCATTTATTAGTGGGAAGGTTTCGGGAGGTCCTAATTGTGGTCCTGGAGGGCCAGTCCAGTGTCCAGCACAGTTCGGTAATTCTCCTGCTCTAACACACTACTACTAAGCTTGGTAGTTAAAAGATGAGTTGAAACGGTTGTGTATGAGATAAGAAATCACCCAAACTGCGCTGGGCCCTCCAGGACCGGAACAGAATACCCCGGTTTATAAATCTTCATTAGACTTTTGAAGATTGTTTCACATCAAACCACTCTGAAAGACTTTAAGTACTTGCTGAGTACTTTGAGTTCTTGATGTCATCACGTCTGCATTCTGTTTTACTGCATACTACAATGTACAGTTTTATCAGTTTTACATATAAACCATTAAAAAGGATGGTGGACCTGCCTTTTTTTCCTAGTGACGATAAGCACGTCGTTGAAGACAAACAGGTAATAGCTCTTGTGGCTGAAAGCCTTCCAGAAGATGCCCAGCTCCTCCAGGCACATGGCCAGCTCACCTCTCTTCCGCAGCCAGCGAGAGGATGAGACCAATGGGAACGGCTACACACAAAAACAGAGTGGAAGAGGAGGTAAGTCTCTGAGGGAGTATAACAGACTTAAAAGTGCTCTGTTCCAGAGCTTAAAGCCTATAATCAACATAGTTTTTTCCCACCCAATCTGCAAGCCTACATAAGCAAGTCTATCTTCTCCCAATTCAGTCAATGTCCAGCCCTTAGTTAGGTCACCCCTGATCACACAATGCTACTGAGCTGACCACCAAGGTAAAGGCTGGCACATGCTTCCTCTGAGATACATGAAGCTTCACCACACCACAAAGATACTGATGGATTTGTTCTCTTGAGTATTTTCAATATATTGCTATGACTTCTACTCAAGTATATTAGTAAGTAAAGAAATCAGCTTTTTACTCTGTTACATTCTAGCTGTTCATATTTAGTTATTAATTTCTTTTTTGTGTTTGACTGAAATATGTTTTGTTGGTGACTCATAACATCTGTACTGCTTTGAAATTGGTCATGCCTCTAATTTCGGAACATTACCATTTTATTTGAGACAAAAAGAATCCCAAAAAGAGAAGAATCAAGCCTAACAAACTTCAGCTCCTATGCTGATAGATGCTGGATTTATTAAGAACTTAAGTTGCTTAAGTTACTCAGAACTTAAGTAGTTTTTGGTATTTCTACTCAAGTTGTTTTTAGGAAGGCACTTTTACTTTCACTTTAGTCATTATTTTACCCAATTATTAATACTCTGAGTGTGGGTTTACGCTACTCCACCCATGTCTGAACAACATCACTGCATGCTTGGATGAGAACACTAACTGCCATGTCTGTTGTGTCAGCCTGGGGGGGGGATGCCCTCACAGAGAGAGCGAGGCCATCAAACAGGGCCAGCGATTAGAAGGTTGCACCACTCAGTAGCCTTTTACGCTGGAGCTACAAAGCTAATGTAGCTAACAAGTAATGGAGCTTCTAGCCAGCAGTTTAGCAGGCAGAAAGTCATAGCTTACCTCAAACTGTACTGAGCTATGAGTTAATCTCATATATTGTTGCTTATGTGGTTTGTGGCACTGAATGACAGTGTTATCTATACAAATGGAAAAACGCTTCATGATAGCTGCTATTACATGTTTTAGTTGATGACATACGTCTGTCCATTTTTATAGTCAGCAGTGTCCAATGAGCTGTCGGAAACCACATAAGCAAGTCTATTTGCAATTACTTTATAAACTGACATAGTTAACATAGAACATGAAGAGTTGGCGTGCAGTTTCCACAGTGCTAACTGGTTGGGTATAAGCTATTTGTTATCTACCTTAGCCTCATTGCTCCTGTACAGATCTGAAGTAGCAAACGTCAGAAAGCCAAACTGAATGGTCTATCTGAACTGACCAGTTACAGCTGGGCTAGAGTTAAAATATGTGTAAGTTATTTTTTTTTTTTGCCAACGATTAATGTTAAAAAATATTCCACTGCAATTCCAATTAAGATGTTGCTCATTTCTTCACTCTTGGATGGTTTTATGTTTATGTACATACATTTACAAAGCATGTCAGTATAGGATTAGTAATGTACAATCTGTTTTGGTGACTGTAATTGGCATTAAAGGGCAGGGCATTGTGTATGGCTCAGAGATGATTGCAGTGCTGCAGTAGAGACCTTGATCTTCCCAAACTCCATCTGTTTCTGGATGGTGTACATCTGCTCAGTGCGCTCCATCCTTCGGGCTCCATCATTACAGCTTTTCACCAGCTGACCAACAAATAAACAAAACAAATAAGACCTTGTAAAACAGCCTTGAGCTTTTACAGGCGTGCAGTATCACTAACAACAGATGAAGCAGTCAACACAAGCAGAAAGCACTTATGTTAACATGACATCATCATCATACCACTCAGCTGTTGTTTAAATGCCTTTAGTGGCAGAGTTTAACCTATTAAACTAAGGAAAGTTCCTTACAGTTTGAATGGAAGACTTTCGTTTCTAACTCTCACACTACATTACTTACAGATGAGCTTCATAGTAAATACTGTAAATACTGTGCAATTCATAGTGACATGAGTTACTGAATAATTCATAGTGGTTACTGAGTTATTAATATGAAATATAATACATTTAATTATTCAAATTTGCCATCAAAGTAGTTGGGCTGTGTGCATATTCACGCTGGGCAGTAAAACGCCTCAACATGTGGAAGGTGCTACCATGTTTTCTATCACTATATAAAACATGCACTAGGTTGCCTTTACTGTCTCATTCAGGGTGCAATTCAGGTCAGCAATTATTTTTCTGTATTTATTTTTTTGTTTAAATCAGAGTAACAATAAAACCAGACTGAGGTATGACTTATATTCCTCTTAATATGCAATTTATTGTTTAACATGAAAGTTTCTACCATGACTGACTACAGAGCCTGTAGAAACTGTCAGAATAGGCCTGAGTTTGTGCTATAGGGGATCTGAATGCAGTGTACCTTGCTGATGGCCTTCAGCGCCCAGCGAGCTGCATAGTATTCAGGCGTCTGTTTGGTGGTCTTCTGACAGATGGTCTGCATGAATGTACAGAGAGGGGGCAGCTTAAGATGCATAACTGAATAACAGAATACTACTTTTTTATTTTATGCACAGGGAAATCCAACTAAAAGCATTGGGGGCAGGAGGTTCCTTACATCCATCAGCAGAGGCAGGCGGGTGACCCTCTGCATGGGCAGAATGAGGAAAGAGATCATGGGTAATCCGCCACATTCAGGACTGCACTCAATCTGCTTCAGCACCTCCTTAAAGGCTGTGTTGCTCACTCTGCAACACACACACACACACATCACAGGGCATTAAAGCTGCAAAATATATCCTTTATTGTTATTGTGATATCAGCTTTGCAATACTAATAGCGCAAAAGGCTGCAATACACAAATGACCAGTCAAATTGTACTTTACTGTGTGCTGTGCGCAGTGAGTATGTCGACCAATTACATATCTGTGTTTTGATGAATTTAGGTATGAAATCCACCAAAAGCAAATAGTTTTGTTCAAAATAATGCTGGCCAATCTTTAACCATACCACATTATTAATTCACTGGTGGATTATAAAGGGGAGTTTCACTGTTTCTTAAACATTAAGTTAATTAAACTGTTAAGGTGTGTTCATTCAGGGTAGTCTGTTGTGAAGTGCTTCGTTCTAGTGAAAACTGAAAGTCAGAATTGTTCACGGTGGTGGTGATAGGAGCCAGATGTCTAAAGAGTTGAATGCCTCTCAAAGCTACACTGCCATTCAGAAGTTTGTTTTCATTAATATAAAACCAAATGAAGACAAATATACAGAATGATTATATTATGATACAACTTTGAAGTTTCAACTAATTTGTTGAAGGAATGCTGTGAGTTTAAAAGGACGCCGATGCATCTAGCATAATGAACAGAGCTGTACATGATTCCATAATGACTGGAAAAGCTGCAAAACACTGAGAATAAAGTTATAGTAAAACATCTACAATGCCTTGTATTTATAAAAAAAAAAAACAGTAGAGATTAAATCTCAGGCAGATAACTTATCAATAAATTATTATATTTTTTATCATTTAATAACCACTTGGTGTTCCCTAAAACCTGAAAAACTTAAAATACTTAAAAAAGGTGTGACATGAAATAGTTATGAACACACTGCCTCATGCCTGAGATGTTGTTCTACAAAAATTTTGAGAAAGGTTTTTGGAAATGTATGTACCCAAAGAAAACTTTTTTTTTTTTAGATCTATTGGAGTTTTACCTTTGTGAACAAATAAAAAGTCTCGTAGGTTCACTGGATGTTTTGGAAAGTTAATAAAATGGCTATATTTGCACTGGAAACATCACAACTCCTGGTTTCTATCACCACCACTGTAAAAAAAAATCTAGGCTGGTACTTTTTTCTACGATGCAACATTTCACATAAAAACCCTCTGAATGACTTAAATCTCAATTAATAAATTATGCAAAATTTTGAAAAATCAGTGAAATCCCCTATAACATATTACCAGGTGTTTTGCAATATATTTGCAATATGTAGCAATACTAGAGTTTTCAGTTTGCAAATAGGATGTACGTTTGTATAGTACTGCAGCCACACAAACAGCACCTGGGCCAAAAGCTGACCCTTCAATCTGCCATTTTACCATTCCTTCACTGCCATTACCTGTGTCCACATGGCTGCCCCCACCATTATATGACAACTAATCATTTAGTTTCTTTAGGCTGTGCTTTATACATGTTTTTTGATATATGCCATCTGTAGTATCATTTCATATGGACTGGCTGTCAGTATTCAGCTATATTCAGCTATATTTCACAAAACTGGTGATTTATTATTACATATTCAAGCCTGATTGTCTCTGAGTGCTTACAGTAGTTTCTGCAGCGTCCTCTGCTGGAAGGTTTCATTAGAGCAATAGACAATATATGGCTCAAAGTGGTTGGTAGCGTGATCCTGTACAATGTCGCTGATGTCCTGAATGACAGGGTTTAATTGGTGACGCCTCTCAAGATCCTCAAAAAACCTGAAGAGAAAGCCAGAAAGAGAGATGAGTTCTGAGTGGAAAAGCTTTAAAACACATGCTGAGGCACATCATTTAACATTTCTATATCCCTAATTGCATTTAAACCTTGTCATAAATGTCTCTTTTCACCTTTTTAGGGATGCAGACTTTACGTTTAATGGTATTGAAAAGTAGAAACTGAAAGTGACTGAAAATACTATGTGAGATACTTTGCTATGATTTGCATATGAAGTTACTGAAGTTTTGCTGTTTGGAAAGAAATAATCATTTATATATGTTTGTCAAGTTGGAAGTGCTGACTTGAAGCTGGAAATACATAATATAAATCTAATGCACATTTACTGTTCGTATTTTATTATTTAACTACCTATGTAATTGTGTAATTACGCAGTAATAATATGTACTGAACAGCAAAACTTCAATACCTCTAGACCTTCTAAGGTGTTAAAAGTTTAAAGAATGCTGCTTTTGTAACGATTCTGTAGGCACTGCATTTAACAAAGTGCTGTATGCACAGTGGCCACCCTATTAAGGCTTTCTTTAAGTTTACCCTGCCTCTTTGGCAACTCCCACGCTGTGAAAAACAGCCGAGAGTCCCTCCCGTGTCCCTACACACAGCCTAATCTCAAACACCCTGCCCAGCTGCAAATGGCATACTTGACAAACCAGTTATGCATAACTTGGCTCAGCTTGGAACTGTGCCGTATCTTTTGGCAGTATAACACAACTTCCAGGTATCTGACCCAAGTCTAGGTCAGATTCAGTCATTCTGAGTAAAGTCCATTTCAAAGTGGAGAGTGACCCTGCTTTAGAGAAACATGACTCCTACCATAGCTGGGCTGATAAACCAGTTTGGCTGGCAGGTCTCGACATATCCTCTGCTGCGGAGAACACCGCGAGTGTCGGAATAAAACATGTTAGAACACAGGCATGACACACTTGGAAAACTTCTGAAGAAGGCAGTTCCAACTGTAGGATTTTGACGTATTAATGTTTGGTTGTTGTGATAGGAAGAAAACCTTGTAACTCCATTTTTATCAGCTGCTTTCTACACTGTACGAACATTTTAATGATGAATAATACACATTCACATACATTAAAGTTAAGAATGTTGTTTCCTTCTCCTATAAAGCTACTGTTCAGAGGTGTGAAGTTTTCTTACAATAGACACAGTTTGCTTTTCCTCACTGGCTGATGATGACTGCTAGCATCTTTGCTCTTTTATGCTGCTTTACAGTGTATCACAGGCATTAGAGAGCACTAAAGAGGTCCTGTTTTAACAGCATGCACTGACTGATGGGAGAAGTAAACAATTAGTTATTCTACTATTGAGAGATACTGCTTGTGCCGAAGGGTGGCTGTCTGCCTGAAGCTGGTTTGGCAAATGTGGTGTTTGCTAAGAGATCTAAATGCTCTTTTCTATGTACAGAGGTGGAAAATACTTGAGTAATTAAACTTTGTTACTATACCTCAAATCAAGTTCACACATTTGGAATCACTTGTGATTAATAATTACCGTTGTATTATTTGATAATTACTCATACAGTGTGGGCTGAAATACTACAGGCTAGTCACTGCAGGTTTCCGAAGATGCTACTCTACTGAAGAGTAGTGTGAGGTTTTGACATGAGATCATTAAGAACATCAATACAGAATGCTGGTCAATTGAGCAGTATGGAAGAGAATGGCTATGAAAAGGAAATGTAAGGCACATAAAACATTTTCTTTGGTCTGCATCCATTCTTGGAATGTAGAGGTTATAAGCACTATAATATTCCCCCTCTAATAAAACAGACCGCAGTACCTAGGCCTACTTTAACATGTTTGTGAAATTTAGAAACTGGCAGTGTGTTGTGTTTCAGTGATGTACCGTTTGCTGACTTGCTGGATGACGGAGATGTTGGAGAACAGGTGATGGTGCTCAGTCGTGGTCAAGGTCTTCCTCAAGGCCTCGCTGGCTTTAAAATGCCGCACCAGGATGCTCAAGCTGTGCTGATAGGAGTACTCAGATGTCATAATCTCAAAGATGGCCTGCATAAACACACAGAAAGAAGATATCAGAGTAAAACATCTATACAGCTATGAGCATAATTTTACACTGCATACAATGAGTTGCCAGTTCAGTAGATATACCCACCAATTTGTGAGCAGAACATCATCTACAATATGTTTATGTATCTTGAAAGTGGTTGGGATGTAAACAAAGTCATTCACAGTGATTTGATTGTGAAATGTTTAACTGACCTACTCCACTGACTTCTTTACAGTGGTGATGATAGGAACCAGGGGTCACACATGTCCACAGCATGAAAATATGCCCATTTTATTTACTATACAAAATGACCAGTGAACCTACATGTCTTTAAGTTTTTTTTTATCTGTAATGCTAATGATAAAGGTAAAGTAAAAGAGGTTTAGAGGAAGACCAGCAACAAGGATGGAAACAATCAGAGGAATTATAACCAAGTCCTTAAGCAGGCTATAGTCCCAAACAGAGGACAAGTATAATAATAATAATAATAATAATAATAATAATAACAACAACAACAACAACAACAACAACAATTCTGCTCAACACATTCAGCACCTTATATAATTCATACCCAAGCAAATTCATGCAAGGTCAAAAGAGGCCAATTTTGCTACTAATTAACTTGCAACTCATTGTACAGTAATACTGAGCTTTCCTTTAAAAAGTCTTTCTTTCTTCTGGATTCTTCTATTATTTTGTCCACAGTCAATTAAGCAGGCTGATTCATTTGAATTCAGGCATTACATTTCAGCCTAGAGTTCTGCCCGACTTAGTAACTTCTAAAACATCACCAGCAATATAATGCCCTACACAATCAAACACATGATAAAACACAGGAAGCAGGCAGTCAGGCTACATCGAAACTGCTTAACATCATAATCTCTGATGATGCAACAGATTTACCACCATGAGGAAAGAATCTGAGTAATAACAATATAAAACAGGTAGGCACAGACAACAACTCAGGTGACACACATGAGTAATGAGGTTTTTATTTAAAATTACTCTGAGATTTGAGATGCGAGTGCTGATGATAATCTCAGTATAACGATGATATCAGTACCAACACAATAGCTTTAAAAAGCCCTTTTCCTTATCTTTATCTTTATCTCTCAGAATAGAACAGGCTGTTTTTGTTACTGCGCCAATAAGGCTGATACAGTCATATGCAAAAGTCTGGACGTCAATAGTCATATGACACTGTTGATTTTTAAAGAGGAAACGTACACATTCTCTACAGAGAACACACGTCTGCACACGCTGTTCATGTGCTGAATTTAACATACTGTACATAAAATGTGGCCTGTGCAAAATTTCATATTTTGATTTTGGGCTTTTATTTTTTCCCCCCAATATATTAAACCCAGCAAAAAAAAAAACAAACAGAAACTTTACACTGAAATACTAAAAAATCAACAAAACATATAATTTGACCAGGGGTGTTCAAACAACTGTACATGTAAATGACTTCTGCTCTGATTGGCTGTCCTGTATTGAACCTCATTCAAAAAGTAGTCCAGGTTGAAACGCTCCTTATAACTTCATTGTGAATGGGGGGAGCCAAACTGCTGTAAGCTGCAGGTAGATATATGTGAATGTGCTGGTTTTCAAGATGAAAATGACTTCAAAATGTGTTCTCTTATTTTGGACGTATCACGAGAAGAACTAATTCAATGAACAAAGAGTTATGCTTGGAAAAAGCAGAAGGTAAAAAAGAGGCTGTAAGGTAGATTTATACTATTAGAGGAATCATAACTGAGCCATTAAGAAGCCTGAAGACCCAAACAGAAGACAGGATATTCCGCTAAACATATGGCTAAACTAATACAAGTATAAATATATATGAATATGTAAATGTGTTGGTCTTCATGACATCACAAAAACAATGAATTTAAAATGGGCTGTTTTTGCAGCTAAGTTTCTATATACAGACTGTATATACCAGATGTTAAGAAGAGCCATTTTATCCTTTCAACAAAAATCTAACCACCTTGGGAGTCACAACATTTCATGTCCATTTTACCATCTTGACTGTAAATATATCTCAGTATATGCACATAGAGATGCAGACTTTGCTCTGCTTTTAGCTTTAGCTCAGCTACAGTTGCTTTTCTCACATCTCGAGCAGGAAACTTTTCTGCAAAAGTAGAACAGTCTTTTGTAAAATGCCTCTCAACGTTTGATTTTTTATGAGGCTAAAGTCAGTTTCTCATTTGCCAGCTTATTGTTCGAATTTTTCTGTTCCACCTTAAATGGTGCCTCAGGCGGCAGAATGTAACGGCTGCACAATTTAAGGTGGAACGGGAGAATTCGAATGAGAATCTGTTGAACAAGAAGCTGAATTCAGGTTCATAACTTTTTAGTGATGGTCCTATTATCTCTAAATGATCAATGTTCGTCTTAAATCTCTCTCATTGCCTTATTGTTAGCTACTAGAGAGGCAAGACTGTTGTTGTTGATACAGTGGCCAGCAGTCTGTGCACCAATCTTCAGGGTTAAAGGGTGAATTAGCAGTTATATAGTAACTCCAGCATTTAAAACAGTTTATTGTTAAAACTGTGTTAGAACGATCAGCAGAGCTTTATTTTACTGCCAAGCAGGATTATTTAATTTTTTCCTAAAAATCTAATTCTGCTGTGGAGCCACAACAGGGCAGTAAAAGAGCCGCATGGCTACGGAGCAACATGTTGCCGACCCCTGGTATAGACTGTACGGACTGGCACGTTTTGAAACTTAAACAATGTTTACATACTAAATTAAACTCTTTTACTTTCACATGACATGGGCCCTTTAAAAAACAGCCATGTTTAATTTTGTTACCAACATTACATAATGTGGAGCGCGAGTTAATGGTTTTACACCCTGGCACTTACAGCAGATAATGGGTAGTTAGGCTGTCAGCCAAAGTGAAGTAAGAGAATAATAAAAGAATTAAGGTATATTAACATCCAGCCCTACAACTACGTGAACCACCTGCCTACGAAATTTAAGGCAACACTGACCTCTGACCCCATACGTAATCCTGATTAGAGAAAAGGGAAAAGCCAAGAATAGGATAACAGGGTGTGGCCGTGTTGTGTGTACAAGGTAGACCTTGATATTTACACAGCACTCAGACACAAGAACCAGACACTTCATAGTCACAAAGGCAGACAGGGTGCAGTCTGAACTCTCTGCCAGTCTCACAGTCCCATTAACATGAAACTGAAAAGAAGATCAGCATTACTGGAACTGGTAAAGCTAAGTAGAGGTGTAAATCACTCACACCACAATTTAATCATGTCACGGTTCAACACAGGTGCAGAATGCAGACAATAAATAAGGATGAACAACAATATCATATTGTTGTTATATCATCGGTATCATGATAATATCATCGGTATCATATTGGTTTCGGCGCTGAATGACCTTCCAGTGTCCAACCGGTGTTTTATGTTAATACATACTCAAAAGTAAGACTCACCTCTTGCCTCTTACGCTCTTCAGGAGTGATTGTCTCCAGAATGCCCCTCTCCTGCACCTGAGGGCAAAATTATACATAATTGTATAAGACAAATAATGTTACTGATAGTTAGATGCAGACATTGTGGTCACTGTAACTTAGCGCTGCACTTTTAACCTTACTTTAATCTGCACGTGGACCCATGGGTTGATGATAGAAGATTTAGAGTCTAACCTATTCAATTAAAACTGCTCCATCCTCTAGCACTCCTGCTCATTTTCAGCAACTGCTTAAATGTTCCGCTTCTAACTAAACACTTCACTGTCGGCCTCTCGACTCTCTCACCCGAGGGAGCTGGCTCCAGGTCATGTATGCCGCTTTGTAGTTCTTCACCACGATTCCTTGGTCCTCCTCTGGCATTTGGGTGAAGTCATCATCATCTGTGCCTAGAGCGTTGGACTGCAGGCCTCGCTCTTTAATCTCCTGGTAGAACCTCGGATCTGTGAAAACATCACTGTGATAATGGCGTGTGCTTTCATCACTACTCATAACTGCACAATCGGCTTGTCCACTCTTAGTCAGCTAATCAGTTGCAGTGCTCTTAGCTGACCAAGATTCAGTCAATCCACTAACTGCATTTGTTTATTTCTCTGTTAATGTATTTACTTCTGTAAAACTTCAGTAAAGAAAAACCTGTTCTGTTTATATTGTGTGCATTACAGTTAAAGCTGTAGATATTTCTGCAAATGCAAGTGTGGACCATGCAGCTAGTGAGTCTCCGCGTAAGCGTATTTTCCTGAATACACTGTTCACATGCAGCACGCAGGTACTGAAGATTATCTTATTATCTTATTATCTGATCGTTTTATCTTATTTTTTGTATGTATATATCTTCCAATGTCAATATATAAATGTTTATAAAATGTGCTGATATTTCAACACAGTAACCCAGCATCACCTAAACTTTCTGCTTTCCCAGATTACAATAGACACATCACCAAATACTGGACTGAAATATCATTCAAATCTAAATATCTGTGTGATGAAGCCATTTTTTTGAGCAAATATCTGTCGACACTGATATGGACCTGATATCATCAGGCATCCCTAGATGCAACACCGAAACAGAACGCTGAAAAATCCTTTTTAAGTTGATTCCAATAAGGTGGGGGTGGAGTGATTAGACTACGTTCACATTATCAGGTTGAAGTGGCACAAATCCAATCTTTTTGCCTTGTTGCAACATGGATCTGAGCTGTGTGAACACAAAAAATTGGTTCTTTTCAAATCAGGTTGTACTTTCGTACACTGTCCTAAATCAGATACACATCCATGCGACCCAAATGATAGTCATATTAATGTGTTTTTTCTCTGTATATGCACTTTTTACTGTCATCATTTAATGTTGGCAGAGTTGCAACGATGGTAAGCTCGAAGCTAGTGCTGGTAATAGCTCCAAAACATTGCAACCGACCATTTTCCCACCTTCTCATCCCCAGTTATGAACAGCTGATGAGCTCTTCAGATCAAATGATTGTTGCGATGAAGGCGTGGGAAGGATGAAACTGCTAGTTTATTCATTTGTTGTTGTTCATGATGCACATGATGTTATTGATTTGGATGTATGCTTGCTGGTCATTTCAAGTTAGAAGTAAGCTCTGAAACATGCTTACTCAACAACTGGTGAACAACAGCATGTTTAAAATGTGGGATTTGGGTGTAAATCATTTCTTGCATATGGTTAGACCCCATACCATCTTTAAAGGATCCTCCGTGTTTCTGGTTCCTCTTCCTCCCCAAGGTTCTCTGAAGGAGAGAGAGTGCGAGAGAGAGAGAGAGAGTGCGAGAGAGAGAGAGAGAGAGAGAGAGAGAGAGAGAGAGAGATATATATGGGGTGAAATCTGATCTTACCCCTGTGGAATGTGAGGGGCTAACATGGTGTTAGAATTCACTGGAAATTACGATGTGTTTGTTACAGCAGTCATCAAAATACATTTAAACTTTGAATGCACAATAACAATGTACTGTGTATTAAATACAGCATTTCATTCAAGAGTTCAGCTGGTGCATCAAAGTCAAGCATTCCTTCTTCTAATCGTGCTCATCTCTAATGAAGTGACGGAACGCTACGCCGCAGAAACTTTCCACAACGCGCTGTGGGCACGCTGATCAATCTCACATGTTTTCATAGGCTCTTCTGTGAATAACAAGTTTCCCCTCTTTGCAAGTCACATACTAATATCAAATTATGTCAGACCATAAGTCATAATGCAATTGCAATTTTTAGCATTCTTAACCAGTTTATACAGACAGGGATTAGTATTGAAATTCAGTATTTCTTGTAGTACCAACCTGAATTACCAGTACCTCAATACTAAGTAGCAAAAAATAAATTCTATATCAAACATCAATAACTAAGGAGTCGGTCTCATCAGCTTAATAAGCCAATTAGTGTGCTTGTTCTAAAGTCTACACTGCTGATTGGCTATACACATTTTGTACGCAGGTTATTAACCTCAGCAGTTTTTGATTACTCGACAATCCATTGAGGACAGTAAACACACTCACTTCCACCAACTCATGCTCATTTTTGATTAGAGCCACACCCACTGTCAGTCTACTGGCATTGGTAGTTTAAATATATTAGTAAAGTGGTATCAAACACTGGATGATACCAGTTCCTATACAGAGGTACAACAAAGCATACACTCAGTCAGTCAATTAAGCTAGGATTAGATTTCCTACAAATGCAACCATATGCAACTATATCAATCCACCCAATATCACAGCCAATCGAATATCCATCCATCCATCCATCATCTAAACCGCTTATCCTTCTGGGTTGCGATGGGGTGCTGGAGCCTATCCCAGCTGTCATTGGGCGGAAGGCAGGATACACCCTGGACAGGTCGCCAGTCCATCGCAGGGGCCAATCTAATAATAATAGTATAATAATTGTCAGTTATCACAGACAATCTGATGAAATCTGATGACAAATCCAATGAAAAATTACTGTTTTGTGTACTTGTTTTAAACTTTTAGCCAGCCAAGTTTGATGTCTCTGAGGTAACTAGATGCTACATTATTACTGAATTTCAATAAAACCACAAAAAAGAACGCTTTTTCTGTGTACTAAACTCTCTGCTCTGCGCCGCTCTTCACGCTGCATGCAGACACTTTGCTTGGATACAGACAGAAGCAGCTGGAGCTGGAAAACAAACAAAACTGAAAGTTTTAAACTCTAAAACGAGTAATAACAAAGACAACTTTATTTATTCTGTCACCTGTTGTGCTTGTATGACACGATAAGTAATCATTTATTTCAGGTATTGTGATGAATTGTGCTGCCTTGTCGAAATGTCCTACCATAGCGCATATTTAGAGATAGAGCTCTACGTAAAACTGTAGGTAAGAAATTTTGATCACACAAAGCAGAAGTCAGCTTCTTATTTGCCAGCTTCTTGTTCAAAGTTTTCACCTTAAATGGTGCAGCAGTTACATTCTCGTGCCTCAGGCCACTGAGGCAGTCAGGCACCATTTAAGGTGGAACTCCTTATCAAAAAATGTTACTAGCATCCAAACAATAATAATGTTACTGAGAGCTGTAGCTTACTGTTTATATTACATTGTTCACAAATTTGTTGATAGAACATCATTAATTGTAGTTAATCTTTGGCTATCTACTGCTGTATTTTTAGCTATTTTCATTATTATGTAACAGTTTTAGGCTTTATATTTAGAGTTACATTTTACAAAATATAACATGATATAATGTATTAGTATATATTATGTATAAGCAAGAACAAGAAATGCACAATTAACTACAAACATTTTTTTTTTCATCTTAATCTGGTCTCAGTCTTGACTCGGACTCGGACCTAGCGGTCTTGACAACAACAATAATCAAGGTACTTCAAGACATTTTCCCGATACACAATAGGAATCACACTTAAACAGGACTGAATATGCTGTCTTTGTTATGAAACATGCAGTTGTTTAATGTTCTTTAAGACCTGATGATGTTCGCAATATGCTCAAAAAAGCATATTGTGATGCAATACATCATAACAATATCATCATATTGTGCCCTTTGACATTTCAACAAACCGCAAAATTCAGAAGTGCAGAATTAAACAACTTGGTACAGAATGTACATGTAAACATCATTCACTACATAACTATGCAATTAATTAAGTAAATAACTCTAGACTTCCTAGAGTTAAATCAGTTTTTTTTAAAAGTAATAACTATATAATAACTGTATAATAGTATAACAAGTGTCGTTTAATGTGTACCCAAAAATAAATCATTAGCTGTGCATACTTTAGAAATATCAGATGCTATAATCTTATCATCCTACATCTCAACACTCCTCACTGACAATGGGTCTAACAAGAGGCGATTCATGAGCATATTTCAGTCCCCTTTCACATTACAACGTACACAGACCTCTGAGTCTCCTCAGTATTCAACTACTTTAATGACCCAACAGAAGCATCATCTTTCTTTATGCAGGTGTACATCACTTTATAAAGCACATGCAATGTTCGTGAACTAATTCTGCATTATCCCTCTTTCTGGACACTCCTAACTACGACCATTAAAGGCAATCCTTTGGCATTTAAATCCAAAGGATCAGCTGTCCAGAACAGCTCATTACCTTCGCACAGATACACTGCAAGTTCAATAGCATTACCAGAGATCTTTAAAGAGATAGTTTGGAGAAAAAATTTAATTAATACCATTTTCCCTTGAGCCTAAATGTGATCGATCAGTCAAGGCATGTTTGGCCTCTATAGTTTTGTTCTGGAGCTGTCAGGGCTAGTGTAATAAAAAAACATAGTAAGTAATGGAGGCTTAGGTACACCAATTAGCCTTGTAAAAACTGCATTTCTAAATTATAACACTCTGATCAAACTCAGTTCATCTCAGATAAACTTGCTTATGTGGTTTCTGACAAAGTATGAATCCTATTATGTGTAGAAATAGACAAATGCAAATCACATAACTTAAAGTAGTAACTGCCACCTTGAAGTCTGAATTCTGCCCTTCTTTTGTCCACTTGTAAAGATAACAATATGTAAGGCAATGTCAGACAACACGTAAGTCTGAGATTACTTCTATTGGAGATAACTACTTAAAGAAAATGTGTATTGGTTTAGGTCTACAGTCATAATTGATGGTCATAAATTTCCATTACTTGTTATCTACATTAGTCTCCAGCATACAGTCAAATGAGCAAACTTTGGACACCAAACACGTCTTGGCTCACTGACTACATTTAGGCTCAAGAGGAAATATGTCACTGTCGGAGCTCACCTTGCGTCCTGGGCTGGAAGCTGGCTTTGGGCTGGGTGCCCTTTCCTCAGCGACTGGCTGCAGTAGGTCCTGTTTGCAGGAGACGTCACTGACGAGGCTGGTGACCGCAGCTCTGTACGATTTGTTCCTCCGGTTCCTGCGCATGGAGAAGCCATCACCTCCATCACTGTCGTAGTCCTCCCAGGAGATGTCTGGGTTGTGGGAAAAGCGCTGGGTGTTCTTCTGGGCCTCCAGAACGACCGGCATGGTGACTACTGTGGTGTGGTGACGGTTCTTGGGGCGGCTGCTCACTGCCAGGTTCTTGGGGATGAGTTGCTGGGTGCCCCTCTTCCAAGCCGCTTCGCTCTGAGTGCTGAGCACAACGGGGGTCCGTTTGGCCTCCTCGGGCTGGGAAAGGTCTGTGTTTGAAGAAGATCGTCTAGATTGCTGGTCCACACGAAGTTGAGAAGAAAACATGTTCTCCAATAGGAGGGGAGACTGGTCCCCCATGGATCCCTGGGATTGCCTGTGAGACATGGTGGGCCTGTTGAAGTTTTGCTCTGGAAAGGAAGTACTGAGGGGCTTTCTGTCACACAGGGAACATCTGTTTGCGGCTGTCAGTGGACCATTGTTGCAATCTGTGTGTTGAAACAGAGATGGGTGGGGTGTCATCTGGAGCGGTTAGCATTACAATATAGAAGTCAAATGAAATTCAGCAGCTCTAGTTTCATAATAACAATTCTATATGGCTGCTGGTCCCTGCTTTGACAGCAAAACTGAGGCTTGCGTTTTGCTGAACCCTCCGTGACATGGCAAATTCATTTTCAAAATTCATGAGTAAGTTAAAAGGTTAAAGAAAGGGTTCACAGATTTCGCAAACATTCTTTCTCCAAACTTCTCTTTTGTTGCCTCTTATAAATTCTGCACATTTTACAATTTTGCCTAATAGATGTATGTGATTTGCACAGCTGTCTTTCTGCAATTCTTTCATGGCTTAAAAAAGTTTCTATCTAGTTACAATACTGCGCAAAGGTCAGATCACCTTTTATTTATTTGGTTTCCAGTCAAACTGGCCATAAAATACAAGTTATTCATTTCTCAGGATATATTTCTGAGGAGATATAAGAGCACAAAGACGGGAAAAATCAAAGAGAAATAAATGAAAAATCAAGAATTTCTATAACTGGAGAAAATCAAGCTCCACTTTTGCTTCAGATCTGAGAAAATCCACAGGTGTTTCTGTCCATCCTTCTACTGTGAGAAGACAACTCAATACTATGAGTCTGAAAGAATGTGTAGCTGTCAATAAACCGTACTATTTGCACTAGAACACTGAAAAACTGGACATTCGAGATGTTTTATGGACTCTCATGGACATGTCTAAATTTGTTATTGGGATTACCTGGATTGTGAGAAGCAGACAAAGCATCCAACTTCTAAGACTGAACTTTGTAGGTGTGCAAAAATATCCCTGAATGCAAGTCTAATAACTAAATATGTGTATGTGTGTGTGTGTGTGTGTGTGTGTGTGTGTGTGTGTTATTTCCTGCTTTTTTCTCCTGACACTGGAAAATGAATAACTTGGAAGTTAAAGAAATGAAGTGTAGTCTCTGACTTTTGCACATTACTGTATAGATTTATGCAGAGTTTCTCTGTGGAAATGAAGACACATTGCATTTTGGACAAATGTAATGATTAGAAGCCTGAATCACAGGGTACAAAGCTCCAGTGATATTATTACACACACCCACAGACTAAAGTGAAAGTAAACATGCAAAAAAATGTGATCCTCCTCTTTAAAGGAGAGCAATGAACATCATTGCTGAGAGCCGTGTGAATAAAATGTCCAGACTTCATTAGTGAACACTGTACCCGGGAAAAACTGACCCCTTGAGATCAGGGTAGTCTTAGAAGTGAATGTGCTTTAATTAGATAGATATAGTAGAAAGAAATAATGTCTTTGCTGTATTTGTTATAATGTGCAACTTTAAAAGTGATTAAGAGTATCTTCTTAAATCTTTTACCTTACACTATTAAACCATAATTAATGGAAATGGGCTAGTTCACTAGCGCAATTTGATTTGACTTTATCTGATTTTTGTATTGAGGGGCCCACCAAACGTACACCACACGTACGATTCAATCAACTTCTCACTACTGAAATATATTTTATATACATGCCAAAACATAAAGGACTCAGAGTGTGTTCATTCTTTTTTAAAATTCTGCTTACTTTGAGCTATATAATGAGCTATATAAATGTTCATAGAGTCATGAAAGTAAGTAGCCTTTGTCAACCAGCCTTTGTTAACTTTGTTAACCACCTTTAGCATAATAATAACTTCCAGCTTTGCAACAATGTGTTAGCACCAAGCCAGAGGTAAACTATACTCACATTTTGGTTCCTTTTTTTTTAAGCTGTGTAAATATGGCCATTCAAAACTTGTGGCAAGCATTCACACTACACATTCTTTCATTTGTATTTAGAAACCTAAACTTAAAGCTTTTCTCTGAATATTACTGGAGGAGCCTGTTAGCCAGTTAGCCATCTGCTGAGCTGCCCAGCCAACTAGTAAGAACTTTTTAATGCTAAATATAATTGTCAATCATTTGTACAATAAAGCTGTCAATGCCATATATAAGATAAATGTAACAAAAAAAACTTAAGGCTTTATGATATTTACGGCTTTACAGTAATCCACAGTATTCTTTGCTTTAGTGCTCCTCACTCCTGTCAGTGCATGTATATACTGATCAATTTCTACTTCCTTAACTATTTCCAACAAATTAGGGATAAACCAAGTCTATTATTAATATTTTCATTGTTCAAAATCCTTTTAAGTCCACTCTCTACTGAAGACAGCATAAACTCCAGTCACAAAGAAACTGTTAATAGCATCCAAAACATTACGAAAAAGCTCTTCGGACAAGTCGCCATTAGAAAATACTCATGTGTGATTGACTCATAATTAAGCAATCATCAGGACCGTGAATGCTGATCATCACATAGAGCTAACAGACTGGATAACAGTGCACTGTTAGAGAAAATGGGGGATAATGAAATTATACTATAATAAAAATGAAACTGCTGACACAGAATGCCTCAACGTAGTATATATATTTTTTAATTTATTTAATTTTATTTTGAAATGATTTAATTTTCATTATTATGACCACTTTTTTATTTTTTTGATAAATGGTTTTTCTACATCTAGGGGTTCTCTTCAAGTAAACATCCACCTTCCCCTATAGCAATTTACTCTACCTACTGGTTCTTCAACGATTCTTTAGTCAAGGCAATGGTTCTATTTAGAACTATTTAGTGGCTCTACAGAGCAGCAGAAAGGGTTCTTCTATTGTGACAATGTCACACTTGTAACAACAGAAGAACCTTTTTCGGTGCCATTTTGAAAAAGGTTCTAAATAGAAGCATATATCATACATTCTCCATCCATCTGAAGAACCATTCCACCATGCAAAGAACCATTCAAGCATGACATGGTTCTAAACAGAGGCACTGCCTTTACTAATGAACCCTTGAAGACGTGTACTGGACTCTGTCTCTGAGGAAATGTGCATTATTCATGGTTCAGTTTCAATCATAAGAAGAATCCTAATGTCCACCAAGCACACTAAAGCAGCTGCTGTTCTAGAAAATCACTTCCTAAAATATGTGGGAAGGTATTTCCTTCAAGCTGGACGGCCAAGAAGAAACGTTTTCAGTTTTCTATCCACTCATTGCGTTACATCCTACAGCAATTTATCAATGAATCGATTAGTCAGGGCCATTCAGTACAGATCTGATAACCAGCTGCAACCGGGTCCTACATATGTCCGGTTAGCATTTGTATTTGGAGCTTGTCGTGCTATATGAGAAGCATTGAATACAGCAAGAAAATGGCTGTATTGCTGAAAAACCATGACAGAAAAACAGAAAAACTTTCTTTTTAGCATAAAGGTAATACTTAAGCTCCTAGCTTTCCTCAGGCAGCCTGTCTGAGACTGCCAACCGGAACAAAACATGTCTCCACAGCTTTTACACGGTTTGTAACTGAATACTTGTACGAGTCCGTCTGTTTTAGGTTTGTTTTTGTAAATTTACAAAGTACTTTACCTCTAAACCGCAGTCACACGAGCAGTTGTATATTCAGAAGTACGTTCAGACGGAAAAACTTGCCTTTCATGCACTTTCGGCGAGTTGTTTTGTAGTTAGCTCCTCAGAAGTGCTGCTCCGTCTCTCCTGCTACAATCTCTCCCTCTTTTTCTTCTCTCTGCGTCACTCCAGGTGAGAGTGAACCAAGCCCTCAGCCTCTGTTGGGCTATAGAGCACACACAGGTGGTTTCAGCAAGTCTGGACTCTCTGGTTAATGTCCTTTACAACAACTGTGGAACAAATTTCAGTGCGGTGAGTATTTTTTTTTAATTGTTTACATTATTGCTTAGAGCTGTGTCCTGATGTGCAAGGTTTCAATCCGTGCTTTCCAGTCCTCGTACTAGGCCTGGGTAAAATATATCCAGTTTTTATTCGTTTTATCGCTGTCTCCCCGCTTCAAAACACCTGGTTCCTCTATTCAGGCAATTTTAAAACCCTTTATGAGGTCAGTCATGTGTTAGAGAAGGAAAAGCTAACGCGTGCAGTGCATGGCATCAGTCAGACAGTGAGAACTATTTATTGGGTTCAATGTGAATAAGGTCGCACTGCGCCATCTGCTGTTCAAATGGAGGTATGACCACCTTACTGCCCTGTATGTACCCGGTCTGTCGCAGGGGTAACCAAGTCTTGATGGCCAAAGTGCACTGTTTGTGGTGGACTGAGGGCTAAAAACACAAAACAGTTTACAAATAAAGGTAGAGACCACGCTATATTTCATTTTTCTCAACAAATAATGTGTTTTTTAGAAGTGTGTCCACTCTTTGTCTTTATTACAGCTTCCATTCTTTTCAGGACTCTTGCTTTCAGTTTTTCGAAGAAACCTGCAGGGATATTTTTCCACACCTCCAAAGATCAGTCTTAGAAGTTGGTCGCATTTTCTGATTCTCACGATCAAATGAATCCCAATCTGATTCGGGGATGCTGAGGTCTGGACTCTGGGGTGGTCAGTCCGTTGTTCTGAGAACACCAGCAGCTTCTTTGATTTAAGTGTTCTTCTTGTTTGTCTATGTTCTTTTCTCAGTAAGGGACTTTTAACAGATACACATCCTTTCAGACTCAGTGTTCAGTTGTCTTCTCACAGTAGAAGGATGGACAGAAACACCTGTGGATTTTCTCAGATCTGAAGTGAGAGTGGAGCTTTTTCTTCTCATCAAAGATGAAAGTACTGTTTATCTTATGACATTTTGGTGGTCTACCAGGTCTTGCATGGCTGTTAGGAGTCTCATTTTCTGTTTTTTATCATTTTTAGAACTCCAGTTTTGAAAACTCACTTATTTTCCTTTGATGGTTTCCTTCGTCATACAAGTGAATTATTTTCTATCTACTCAGAAGTATCTCTTGAAAAATGAATAGCTTTTACTTAGTTGCCTTGTTGACTGGAAATTAAATAAATGAAGGGTGGTCTTTGACTCTGACTGCAGTGTATAGTATTAAAATGTATTTTTTGTCTTATTGGATGAGGGAGTGCGGTCAGGGTCGATTTCTGCATTTTGGACAGCCCTGGTCTGTCATGTTAGTGTGATAAAATCCAAACATTCAGAAGCTCAAATGTTGTAATTTTGATTTTTATTCAATTTGACAGTCGGAAAAGGAAGGTTTACATTGATAAACCAATGCAAGCAAAGGCTGAGAAAGGGAAAAAAAAATGTTTTGGACCACAATGTAACAATATAAGGGCAATAAGAGTATTTCAGTATTACTATATACATTATGCATGAATAGAAAATCTTCTAATGGCAATGATGTTCACATATATCTTTGTTTTAATATGGCATCAAATGAATTTTAGTTGAATATTCCCAAACAATTACTCAACGATGACCATGCAGTACACATATATTTGTATAATATTCAGATGTTTTTTTTACAGTTCCAAAAAAATGTACACTCAAAATACATCAAGTTTATCTATCACACATTTCATGTCACTGGACAGACACCACATATATACACGCACATTCAGAAGACACATCCGGCACTTTTCCAAGGTCCAGGTACCCTAAGTGGACTAAGCTACAGTTTGCTGTTAAGAAGAGAAAATGAGCCAAAAAAGACATTTCTTATAATAAAGATGTACATCACCATCATCATCATGTATTATTTATTTTACATGACGACACTGGCTGTTTACATGTACATTTTAAAGAACCAATGTAGGTGTACAACAGGAATACAACAATAAAACCTGTCTATGCGTTAAATCAAACAACCATTAGTTTTCGTCCTCTGTAATCCTCCTGTTTCTGTAAATCTCAGTGAGGAGTCACAGCATGTGTTAGATTGTAGGACAGAATGCTTGGAATTGATATATTACTCAGTACAGTATTTAAGACATTGGCTTCTCCCACCCCTATCAGGTTAGTCATAGCACAGACCTATTGCATTCTTGTAAATTTTATTTGAAAACATTGTAAAAATGTCTGTTTTATTTGTATAACATCTACCTTAATATAACATTGCAACAGCTTTTCATAACTGTAATGTAACAGTGACTCTTTAGTTGAGCTTGGAACAGAACTCTGCTGCCATCTTCTGGTGTTCTGGGAAACTGTCACTTGGTTGAGAAGACAACTGGTCAGCTGGGAATAATGTCACAGTTTCATGACAGGGTGAAAAAAAACAATAAACAATAAATATTAATTAAGAATTCTATTATTAAGAATGATGGCCTTGGCTTGCTTTGCTAACTATTTTCATTAACTAAGCACCTGGAATTCCTGGACTGGAAAAGAAATAGGATGAACGTTTTATAAATTTAAGAGTACTTTAAGAGGAGAAGTCAGGGTATAATATGAACATTTTATTGTCCACATCTTTGTTTAAAATATAGTTGGTAGAACATTTTTTGCAAGAAATCTATCAGTGTACTAATATGCAGTTCCTTATCAAACATCTGTTTACTATTAGGCTTTTGTTTAAACTGCTTTCATAATGATTAGGACTGGTTAAAAAATATGTGCACAGAATAAATTCTATATATTTTTTTTTATTTCTAATCATATATTACTATATATGAAAATACTTTAAAAGATTTGAAGTAGAAATGTGAGAAAACAGCAGTTGGTAAGCATGTATGGCTAAGAAGCGTTTGCTAAATGTGCATTAGCTGTATTCAGATAATATCCATATAGTGTCTTTGTTGGGATGCTGTGAATGTTTTTCTTTTAAAAATAATCTACAGATGCACAAGGGACGACAAATAAATCATAGGCTTTTGGCCCTTGTGCAATCACGCATATTACGTACGTCAGTGCACTATGAATGTTATTAACCATGAACTCTATAAAGCCATCTCATAGCTAACCACTTTATGAGTTCTGCGGTGAACCACTGTGTGCACGTGATGGACCTGGAGGATTGTGGGTAACAAAGTGTCCTACAGGGAGTGGGAGCAGACAGAGGTGTGCGATACAGAATGGAGACAAATTGCAGGCGTATCGGGCTCTACTGTTTCGCTATGTCGCCTTTCTTTAGAATGATCTGCCGTTGCCACGGCGCCAACTTAGTCTCGTCGTAGCCAAGAGTCCGTAGTCGCTCCAGTTCCATCTTCTCTTCGTTCTCCTTCTCAATCTTCAGCCGCTCCTCCTCTTTTCTGCCAGGTCACAGAAAAATCACACACAAACATGTTCAGTACAAACAGGAGATTGTAATAAAAATGTAACTCTGCATGTACACTACCATTCAAAGTTTGGAATCAACATTTTCAAAAATATAAACAAAATTGTTTGCAGATCAGCGTATAGTGTGATTTATCATATACTGGTCCTGTACAACTACACAGGTTTCAAGCCTTAAAAAATTAAGCAGTTTTAGATTTGTCCACAATGGTGAACAAACCTGAAGAGGATTCTAAAATGACTGAGAACACTGAACAACATCAAGAAGTAAAATTAAAAATAAATCTATTTTCCTCCAGAATTTTCATATTTCCTCAATAACCACATATTTAAAAAAATGACAATAATAAAAAATGTAAAGCAATCACTACTGTATATAATTCATTATTTAATGATCTTAAATACCCTTTGATGTGTAGGAAATAACAAAAATGATTAATATAAGAAGTCACTGCAAACTTGAATGGCAGTGTGAAGCATAACCGCTTAATCTTTAAGAAATTAAACACTACGCAGTGACAAACATAAATACTGTGCTGTGTAGAAGTCCGAGACCACCTTTCATTTAATTTATTTCCAGTCAAAACAGCCATTAGGTACAAGTTTATTTTTTAGGAAACATTTCTGAGGAGATTAGATGCAAGATAATCCACTTGCATTAAGGAAAGAGAACGTCAAAGGAAAATAAGTGAAAAAACTGGAGTTAAAAAAAAAGATTGAAATATAGAGAGAAAATGGAAGTCCTCACAACTGTGCCAAAGCTGTTAGACCACCAAAACTGTCACCATCAGATAAACAGTACCTACAGCTTTCATCTTTGAGAGATAGATAATCAAGCTCTACTCTTGCTTCAGATCTGAAAAACATTTACAGGTGTTTCTGTCCATCCTTCCACTGTGAAAATCAATGCTATGGTTCGAAAAGGATACGTAGCGAAAACAGACAAAAGAAAATTTGTGCTAGAACACCAAAACTGTACATCTGAGATGTGGAGTAATGTGTTATGGACTGACGAGCCTACATTTGAAATTGAGATTACTTGGGATTTTGAGAAGCAGGAAATGCAACCAACTTCAAAGACTGAACTTTGACGGTGTGGAAAATTATCCCTGTAGATTTCTTTGAAAAACTGAAAGCAGAACTCCTGAAAAGAACTGAGATAATAAAGGCTAAATACTAAATACTGTGTATTTTCTGTTAAATATGCTTTCTCTTTTTTTTCTTCTTGCTTACTGACCATTTTGACTGGAAATTAAATAAATAAAAAAGACTTTTGCACAGCACTGTGAATTATTTAAATACTGCAAGCACATAAATGCACATCATAAATGATAATAAATGAAAAAATACAGTTGGAAGTGTTAATGTAGTATCAAAATCATAGCAATCAGAACTGTTTTGTACTGTTTCAAGTGTTGTGTCATGTTAAAGTTTTGAGTGCAATGAAGACCAGTGTCTTTTTTGGTTTTTAAATGAAAATGAAAAATGACCTACATAGCACTCTTTTTTTGTATAGGATATATCTACCAGAATTTGTACATTCAGTACATTCAGTACTACGGTACTAGGTAATTTGGGCCACAACACTTGCCAATTTCTCAAATGACCAGAGATCATTACCACCCAAGTAAACTACAAGCACTTTTACTACTTTATCTACATCTACTGAATGTCTTACCTTTTCTGTTCCCTGCCCGTCCAGGTGTAGATAAGAGACATTAGAAGATTATACGTATATGAATTGCAGTGCATGCACTAACCTATGTGGGAAACACTACACAGAGATACTTTAGGACACACTGAAAGACAAGCAGAGAAATAATGTTTACTACATTTACATCTAGGGCACAAACTAGTCTATACAATCCAATTCTAACACTACTACTACTGTCACTAAAGATATAAACTGATTGGGTTCAAACAAAAACAAATCCCAAAAGGAAAAAGCTATACTAGCCTCCATTTCAACATAATGCTTTGCTCAAAAATGCTATCATGGCTAATAGTGAATGAAGCCAGTCGATACTATTTAGCATGATTTCTTTTGAACAATATGTTCATTCTCTTTTAGCAACATCAGTATTTTTGAGTGAAGTATTTGTTTAAACGCCAGTGCATATGGTATTTAATACTATTTGCCCACAGCCAGAATGTTAAAGGAGCAATCAGAAGCATTTTCATGGTTTTGACAAAACAGAACTTGATGTATTTGTGTAGAAACTTTTCCTGGACCTCAGGCCGGTGTGACTTTTACAGCCATAAATGATGTGCACATTGCAGATTGTTATGTATGCATGTAAATTACTTACATACATACGTAACAATCTGCATTATGCACATCATTTATTTTATGACATTGTCATGAAATCTTAAGGGAGCGTCACAATAATTGCTCCTTTAAATGAGTGTGGATCTCTTTAGACTAAGCAAATAAAAAAAATGAAACATGCCAGGGAAGACAAACCTTCCCTGCTTGACAATTTTTTTAACTCACTTCTCTTCATCCAGTTTCTTCTTCATGATATCTCTTCGCCAGGCAGGCATGGAAGCGAGGCGGGCGGCCTCCTCTTCAGCCTATCAGAAAGACAAAGAGAGAGCGCAGTCAAGTGAAACTTCAGCTGCTATTTACTAGCATATGCTACATCTGTGAGGTGCTGTAACAGAAGTGTGTGGTTTGTAAAGCAGGCTTCCTTGATTCATAATGGATTCAGGTTATCAATCAGGTCTTATTTGTTACTTCAGCATAACCACAGAGTGATTTCCTGTTTGCATAATTAATATTAACCTGTCATTTTCTGTATACGTGGTCGCGCAAATGACAAAGTGCTTCTTGTAGCTGTTATGTAAATGTAACTTTATTAGTGTAATATGTTTGGAATAAAATGAGAATGGATGGCAAATACCTAGAAAGCTGCACGGTATCATATTGGTTAATCTTCAGCAAACATTCGTCAACAGCTTACTTTCAAGAAAATAAACAGTTGTATGAAGTTGTATGAAATTTAATTGTTAGACATTACCATTCAGAAAATCAGAGTCAGAAAATACAGATTTTAATATTAATTAAAGTTGACATATTTTCAGTTTTGTAAGTCAAACAACCCTCTTGGTTCATTTTCTGAATGTATGTGACAGGCCCAGGCTCGAAGGTTCCTCAAAGGAATTATGGGAGAAAATGGAAGAAGAAAAGAGTTTTTAAAAATAATTCAGGTGAGCTCTGCAGTTCTATCAGCTGCTCTCTCTGCTTGGACGCAGGTGTCTTCAAACAGAAACGCTATCCCCTGCAGCCGTGCAGACTGTAACGAGAGGCCAGCACAGAAGGTAGCCATTTTGAACGTCTCATTTTCCCCTTGAAGTGGATTGATTACTCTAACTATGCTCCCACGGAGCCATTTCACTGGCAGAGTCCCCAGTATCCAGGTAAGCTAATCTACACCTTAATAATGAATTACTCCCCTGGGAATTTTAGACAAAGAAAAAAAAATAAGACCAAAAGAGAACAAATTAAGATGCTTGATTGATGAATACCCGGAGAAAGTGAATTCACCAGTTTATGTTACAGTCTCGACATTAAATTTATATACCTGGAAGGAACCTAACTGTTACGAAGCCTTGAATAGATGTGCCCTATCTATAAATAAGTAATTATGTTTGTTTACTTTATGGGAAGGCATGGGAAAACCCATGCACTGGACATTTTGTTGGCCCTACAGTTTGTGAGTCACATCAGGTATATGGTGCCCAAGACTGGGGCTGTGAACCAATGTTCTGCCCAACCTGAAAAAATATGTATACATGGCTATTTGAAAAACTAAAACATTAATAGTTCACTGTGTCATACTTGCTTTCTGATAATGTAAACATTATAGACCTGCACCACCAGAATTTGAGGAAGAGACAAACTAGCCAAAAAAATGTGACCAAAGAGAACAAAGCTGGCTTTTTCCAAAATTCAAATGCATTCTGAGAGGTCTATAGCATGAGTTTGAAAATTGCAGTGGCATGGATCATGACTGATAGCAATAATGCCCTACTTAATTGGTCCTACAAAAGAAATTCATCATTTTGCTGCTATTTCTATGCCCAGTACAGGAGCAACATAGCATCGCCAGCAGCGCGGTGCTGCCTGGGGCAGTAGAGAGTTAAGTGCCTTACTCAAGGGCACAACCAGGAACACGCTATCAGTTCTGGGATTTGAACCCAGAATCTTCCGGTTTGCTGTCTCATCTCTCCTACAATTAGGCTAACAACCATCACAGTTCTGATTTAAGTTCCTAAAGTCCTGAAGTCCTGAAGTTTTTGGTGTAGTTTCTCTTCTGAGATTTTCATTGCAGACATTACAGATTGCAATCTTGATGTTCTCTTCCACACTTTCCAAACAGCTGACATTTTGGCACGGTATAGCCGCATCATTCAAATGCAGCTTGTGTTTACCTAGCTGGCCAAAATAAATAAACAATTAAATAATAATCTGCCCGACTGCTAATAGCGTATTATGGCTTGAAGTAAATATTAACCAATTCCGATTGTGCACCCCTACTAAAACCCTGTGAAAACACATTTGTGTGCTATGTGACTGCCTGACTAACTGCTGCCAAGACAGTCTTTGCACGAGGCAACCTCCTTATGATGGTGCTAAGCTGAGGCAGCAGGTGACCATAAGAGGTTTATTTCAGCAAGCCCAGTGAGTTATTTTTACTGTCAGGTGACTACATTCAAACTGTAATTAGACTGTCCAGTATCCTCGATGACATTAGTGTGCAGATTTATCAAGCTCTTTTATCTATCTGGCTAATCAAAGTCATGTAATAGCGAAACTGGATTAGTTCTGTATTTTACATCTTACATTACATATGTTTTGTATGATATGCAAAAAATGAATTCACAAATGTTGAAATCTTGTTAAGTATTTAATGTGCTGAATTGTTAAATAAAAACAAAAAACACCTCTATGTGTGTTTTATTTATTATTGAAAAAAGAAACACTTCAAACAAACTGCTAAGCAAAATGAAACTTCACCTGCATGTTTCAAAAACAATTACCGTTGACAAAAAGCTGATTAAATGCCATCCAACTAAACAGTAAAAATATGTGAAATATCGCTAATCCTTAAACAATGACAGTAATTATTTGATTCAGTAAGGGATAGCTTATGCCCAGAAAGAGCTTATGTGCCCTTTGGTAACCCAAACACACAGCAAGAACACTTGAGGGTTCTGTGACAAGCATCAAATATCAACCAATGAGTATTAAGTGTGCATGTCGTAACTTATTTACTCTTTAGGAACAGTCCTTACCATGATCCCAATATAAGACTGAAATATTGCTGTTATAATATCACCTTAGTGGGCTATGCTTGCTTCTCATTTATATTGACAGTGCAGGTTATGCTTTTCTGTACCGAAAAGAAAGTTACTAACACATCAATTGCTGAAAATATAGTAAGATGCTCTTTAGCAAATTCTAGCAAATACTCATTACTCATTTGGGATGATGGGAAGTCATGTTCTGACATTGAAAAATGTGATATTCCAATTCACTTATATAAAAACAGTGACTTAAAAATAGAGCATTTAGAAAACCAGAAAACAAAATCTAAAATACACCCAAATTACTCAAATACATCCATGGATGACAAAGTAAGATATTGAGGTTTTCACCTTAGGTAACTCAATACACTTTCATGAATATAATTCACCACTATGGATTAATGTTAACATTACACTTTCTGTTTGTTTATCTTGCATCAAATATACTGATTACTGATACCGATCTGCATTTCTATCAAGTACTGCTCTAAATCATTGGGAAAAGACAGATTACTATATAATTCTATCTTTGAGACTCATGCATTTCACAATTCATTTAGTATTTTATCAGTCAAACATGAAATATCAACTGGAATTTTACTCATATTTGCCCAAACCTTGATAAGAGTATGATACTTTATCCAGTCAGCCTTTAAGTATTTAAGTATTTGAAATCAGGGAAGACGTTTTATTCTTTATCAGTATCAGGTTCAATTGAGTCACCTCAAACCTTCATCACATAACCTTACTTGGATGCTGGTTTTACAGTTTGCAGCAATATTCTGTATCTGCACAATTCTTATGCAATGAGAGGATCTTTTGATGAGATGCTGTTTCTCTCTAACTGAAACAGATTTTTCTTCCTCTGAAATGCCTTAATTCAGAACTTTTTTTTGCCCTATACAATTTTTAGTTAGCAGTCAGATATCAAACAACTCCGCTTCTTTTTCCTTCCAGAAGGCAAAGCTTCGCTCAATATATCTGATAATTTCCTCATTGCTGAACTCTTTAAGCTCATAAATAAGCTTTATGGAATCCTCATTTGGCTCTTCTGTAAATTTTGCTGGGTTCGGCTGTTCAGCATGAGAGCTGTTGGATTCACATGGGGGGCTTTCAACTGTCACTTGTACGGCTGCCTGTGCCTCATCCTGTGGCTGTGCTGCACTCGGTGCAGTTAAGTCTTGATTCAGTACCTGAATATCAGTACAGTCCTGTATGACAGACTCACTGGTCTGCTGTGCAATGTCCGTTGATATTTCCTCAAGGATATTCTCTGCTGTGTCCTTTACAGGCTCTTGTGTTAACTGTTGCTCAGAGTTCTCGACCAAGCTCTGTGAGGAAGCCTGTACCACATCAGATGAAGGAGCCTGTCCTGCATCTTGCTCTGTCTTTTCAAAAGTGTCTTGTTCTGATGAGGAAGGCATCACAGGTGCTGTCTCAGGTGCTTGTGGATCAGATGGAGTGCTCTGGACAGGTTGTATGACCTCCTGAAGTATTTCAGGAGGCAGAATCATCTTAGCTGCCTCCAGCAACCCTCCCCCCTCGGCAGTGTCACCAAAGTAGTTCAGTCTGATATCCTCAAAGCCATCTGACCAATCACGGTTCCCTCTCTCAATGCTTTCCATCACCTCACGGTGGAACTGGCGAATCACTTCCCAAGGGTGGGTGCCAAGTCGATCAAACATCTCGTAGCAAAGCAAGTGCCGAAACTTCCGTTCACTGCGAGACATGTTCATCTCAAGAAGCTGGAAGTAGCCAAGCATGAAAAGATCAAGGGTCAGGCTATCGTAATGGACCGGAGCTCCATTTATGTGGGGGAGGAAGTGCTCAGGCCAGTAGATCATCTGAGCACGGCTAAGACGACGAATCTGTCGTGAGGGTACCTGGCTCATAATGGTCCTCCAGTGGCCAAGGAGGTTCCCTACCACCTGCCTTTGTTTCATGAATAGCAGGAGGTCATCCTCGGTTTGCAAACTGTCATCCAACTCAAACTGATTATTGTTATACTGGGAGTGATTTTCCATGCCTGCGCCTAGACTCCTTTCTTTGGTTGAGTACTTGGGTCTGTAGGACTCAGTCATGGTGTACTTCCTCCAGTGCTCCAAAAAGAGGAACACAATCCTCTCCTTTCGCATCTCGATGGACTCCTGAACATAGCTCAGATCTGTCTGTACCTCCAGACTGCGTGTGAGGTGGTCTGCTTTTAGTGCAGGACCACTAGACAGAGGATGTGAAAGATTATCTATGCCTGTTTGTTGAACACCATTGGGCCCAGTGTATGTCAAAGATGCACATGATGCTGTTATAACCGGTTCATCCACTAATGCCAAGTTTGAGTCCTGCTCTAGCAGTAAACCTTCAGAAGCTTGAGAGTGGACTTCACAGGGAGTGAAGAGTAGCTCATCTTCCAAAATTGGCTCAGGGGAAAAACTACCCTCACTCACCACTGGAAGGGACCTTTTCCGTTTGTATACTCTGTTCATTTTTTCATCTTCATACTTTGACTGGCTCTGAATCTCATAATTGGCCTTCAGATTTTTCACTGACACACCAAACTGTTTGATCTCCTTCTCCACCTCCTCTCGGGTTGTAAAAGACTGTGACCGTCCAATATTGCCTGAGATAACAGACGCTGTCTGGACCTTTCCACCTTTCAGACCTTCATATGTATATCCTTGATTAATCATATCCAGGATGTCAATCTCCTTTCCACCTAAGGTAGCAAGGAGGATGGCCATGTTCTTGAGAAGTGTTGAGATTTTACTACACCAGGCAGGAAGGTCCTCTGCTTGCCCATGAACCTGTTTAGGGTTGACTGAGAAGTGCTCATGGTTCAGAGCGGCAGACACAGGAAGAAGTTGCTGTAACTCTTTCTCAAGCTGCTCCAACTCTTTCTCTACTTCTGTCACTTTGTGCATGACTTGCAGGTTCTCAATCTGTCTTTCAATGCGAATGAGATCACCCTCAGTCATCAGTTCACCAAACGGGCCCAGTATAGCATTGTGCACATGGGAGTAATGCCAGTCTTGGGCCTGGTAATATCCACTGGCAGCAAACTAAAGCAGGGTCAGAGGAGGAGACAGAGAGGGACAAAAACAGGGATGGATTGTTCTTCAGCCTGCAGGCCCAAGGCTTCTCACACATGCTTTTCTCTTCACCCCAAACTTTTCAAACCTTACATGGATTTAGTGGTGCAATGGTAACTGCATTATGAGTGGTCAGTGACTGAGATGAGAAGACGAGCTGTGACCTTTAGCAAACTGCACTTACTAAGGATGTTAATACAGCATGTTTAGTTTGAAAAATTAAGTGGAAAGCTTCCAATTTAAAATTCTTGAGAACTCGTCCTAGTTTACTTGTTTTGAATATTTTTGTCTTAATTAAGAACCTTAAGAGTCTTTAAGTCTAAGTATCTGTCATTCCACATGATTTCTCTATTTCACCAGCAGATCACTTGATACGAGTATTCTTGACAGTCAAGTGTCCCTGAATGCAAATATAAAAATTTGTGGAATGGAAGGTGATTCTAAATGGCAATGTAGGCATGAAGTGAATTGTGGAAAAGTACAAAAAAGGGAGAAAAGTACAAAGATGTAACTGCATTCCAAGACATCAGCTGCAGTGTGAGGGGGCCTTGCATCACACCACTGAATCCCCATGTAAAAACTTAGAGCTGCCATGCACCATCACCAATATCTATGTCTTACAACCACTTCAAAAATATCACAATTCTGCCTTGGGATGGTCACAGCAGCCCCAAAGTGCACACTGCATCACACTGTCAAAACCCAGCCAAATGAAGAAAAAACATGCACAAGACAGGAAAAAAATCATATTCATCTGTACTGCTTTAGTAATATTTGGATCTCAACCAGCAAACCACTCAGACCATTTAAACAGGTAAAGACTAGACCCTCTTGGTACTCATATTTGATGCTAATTACACAGATGAGGCATTATATTATGGTTGGAAATAACCACAGGTGGTTAGTTTACTCTATATTCAAGATAATTTGAAAGCAGCATTTTAAAACCTCTCACTTCTAAGCCCAAAGGAACAAATTAAAGCACGCATGGACAGCTGAAGTGGCTCATGTACCATACATGTCAAACATTAGGCCAATTTGTCATCAATTTGTCACCAGACAGTGACAGGTGTGTTTACTCAATATTTACAAAGAACAATCTGTCCTTGAGATCGTAGACCAAGTAAACACCACAAAGACACAGCTCTAGAGATGGCACAGTACCACTTTTTCTTTTCCGATACTGAAACTAAACGTTTAGTGTTGTCTGATATCAATACAGTCCAATATTTTTCCTTTAAAAACTACAAAGCTTTAAAATGAGGTATTTTTAATTGAAGCACAAGGCAATAGGCTAACGTTCAAACTACTCATAGACTTTACTAGCCCACAGGAAGAAATACACAGCTAACAACCTGACATCACACAGTGTGACTGAATGCTATGTTAGTCTAGGCTTGTTGCTCCAATATATGATGCAGCATTTTCTGCTGACATCAGCCTGATATCGATATGCCATCTCCAGCATAGGCCTCAGAATGGATGATCACAACATGCTCTTCTACTAAAACCGATCTGATCATGTTACCCACAAGCAAGGGTCAAAGCGTTGTTCAGTCACAATTTTAATTGCATTTCTTATATTAAGCTCCCCTTGAGCCTATGATCAGTCTTGCAATAGAGGTTAACAGCAATGGTATACTGTAATACTGTAATGTATACTCTAATGTAATTTTCTTTTCTTCTTAATACCAGCTTTAATGTGAGCTTCTCTCCTCTTACATGATCCATTATTTAAGTATGCCACATCACAGTTCTTAAATACTGAACCTTTTTCAGATATTAAACAAGCAAGCATATTTTTACTTCACAACACCAGAAGTTACTAACTTCACACAAGTGAAGCTTAATCATGAACGAGAAGAGAACTAGTGTAACACAAAATGATGTCTTTGCAGCAAAGATATCATTTAGTGAGAAAAATGCACACTAAATAATCACAGCAAAATATCAAATACACTATCCTCCATGCAGTTATTAGAGTTGGGATCGCTGATATGATCTAGATTGACAGATCATGATTTTGATATGTTATATAAGGATTTCTTCAAAGCAAATTAGCAAAATTCAGTACATGAACATCTGAAATGTGCCATGGAACCACAGGAGGATAGCTACCATTAAGCTGACAATGTGACTTCCTTAGCAACTGTATCCACTGATACTTAAGCAAAGAATGATCAGAGGATACAAATGAAATAATAATAATCTTTACTATAAACTGAGATTGTTTATTCAAAGAAAAAGGTAATTATGCCATATGTTGTTATCCTTAAGCATTGAAAGGGGCTTTTATCTTTGATATAAGTGTTGCTAAGGTACAAAGACACATTTTTATCTCACAAAAATGTATAAAATGATTAGCCAATTTACTCACCTTTTTCTTGTTCTCCTCTTCCTCTTGCATCTTCACTTGCAACTTTCTCACCATCACCTGCCTCTTCCACTCAGGGATGGCTCTGCCCTGTTCATCATGGGTGGGCACAAGGGCCTCTATATCCACCAGGCTAGATTTGCGCATCTGAGCTGATGCACCATTGCCATTGACGACTGTGGGTAGCAGATCGCAGCTCTGTGATGTGGACAGGTTCCGAGGGGAACCACCACGGGCCGTGGGAGAAATGGACGTGGGTGGCGGGGATGTGGGCTTTGGTGATTGGACTGCATTGGGCTGAGGCTGGGGTTGAGGCTGGGGTTGAGGCTGGGGTTGAGGCTGGGGCTGGGGCTGAGACTGAGGTTGGGGCTGAGATGCGGGCTGAGATTGGGGCTGGGATTGATTTTGAGGCGGTGACATTGGGCGTTCTCCCTAGAAATGTAAATGGAATCAGTGGAATTAGAAAACTGAATATGGATCACAGATAAATGGAGTAATTCAAAATATTTCAGTTGTCGAAATATAGAATTTAATAAAAATTATTACTGCTAGAAATGACTTCATATTGTTTATAACAGTATACAGTGATATTGATACAGGTGATATTTCAAGACAGTGACAGACCATCACATAATGCCCATTAAACAGCAATGTCTCTACTGTGATCAGCCCTTTTAGTCATTTACTGGGTGTTTCAGATTGTTTAAAAAAAGTTCACCATACATAAAAGTAAATAACTATTAAGTTCTAAAATAAAAAGTAATAAAAAGTAAGTAAGGTAATACGAAGCAATAGTCAACAGTCATTTCTGGAAATGTGGCTTCTGTTTGGTTAACATTTACAATACTTTGGTGTGATTTTAAAAGAAAAAAAAAAACAATACAAAATGTCCAGTCAAAACCAGCTATTTAGGTTTGTAGGTAAGTCTTTTAGCATATAGTAGCAGTACACAGGAAGCATAGGTTCATTAACCTTATTAATGCAAACTTAAATACCATTCAAATACTGTGAAACATTTGTAAAGTATTGTGATACTGAATTTTATAAATACTGCCAAGCCCTATTTCATGGTCTATAACAAAACATATATAACTTAATGATTTGTTGACTTTCCTTTTTGTTTTCACATTTTTAGATGTAGGGCAAACAAGAAATAGAGAAGTAATCTGTACAGTTTACTGTTTTCATTGTGTTCACAGTTAATAAATCAAGCAATCAAGCATTCATGATGGTAAAAAGCGAACTGTTATCTACTCAACAGCATGATTGTGTTGTTCTGGACAAAGGACTAGTTGACAGGTCATAAATTTGTCTTCTATATTGGTCTCTCATTAGCTAGACAGTGATAAAATCATGCTTGGCAAGATCTGTTCATTGTGTATCCAGATCTTCTTTGAATGTTGAGCAACTAGCACTTTTTCCAGTGCCAAAAATTCTAAGTACAGCATACGAATATATCCTTAAATTACATGCATAAAAGTGCAATGATGTAAACAGGATTACTTATATACATTTCAGACAACTTTTAGAAATATTATACGTATTTATTATTCAAGTTTTATACTGCAATATATATGTATATGTACTGCATTTGTAAATGGGAATTTTAATGTCATCTTTGGACACCAATTGGATATTTGTCTGGTTGGTCTTTTGTTACTAAGAATGCACATAATGTTACTAACCCAAACAGCATGCATAACTAACATAATCTTATTTACTCAAACAAGAAAACCAATGCCTATACTTAATATGTGTGCATATGGTACACAGTAGGTGTGTCAAAATGGTGTACCAGATAGTCACATCAGTGCACAGTTCAGGGTTTTCCCCTTTTCTAATGCACCATATGCAACACATAATGGGTTGGATAACTAACGAATGAGGTTAGAGATATATACCTCTCTTAAATATTTTCTTATTTCCCCCTTAAAATCCCAGGCTTATTATGTACTAAGACTTACTATTCCGCAATGCAAACTGGTGGAGCTATTCTTAGATCATAGAATTGTGTAATAAAACCTTGGGCCTATCATAGTGTAATAGTAGTGGAATAGTGTAATAAAACCTTGGGCCTATCAGTGGTTTTTCAGGGGTTAAACCTTATTAAATCTTACCTGTTCAATGTAAGTTATCTGTATTATTGCTATTAAATTAAAGGGAAATCTTTGCTTTTGATTCATTATTGGATGTTACAAATGCCTTTTCATCCTCAAATTAACTGAGCAATGCAAATTAACAGAAGATCAGCACCACACGTGTAGAAATTGTGTAGTAATTGGTCAACACCTACGTTGTTCCCTGCAGTGCCACTGTTGGAGAAGACAGTTGTGTAGCCTTTACTGTGAGGTGTGGGCTTCAGACTCTTCCCAGCTTTAATTTCGGCCAGAAGCTCAGAGTTATCTCCAGTGGGGGACATCATGTTGAAGGATTTAGTGCCTAAGACAAAGACAGAGGGAATGTGAGACAGATAAGAGCAGAAGAGAGAGAGTGCAAGCGAGAGTGTCCCAGACAATAATCGCCTAAAAAAAACACTCAATAAGTTGAAAATACAAGGACAACAATAAGATACAAACTGAATGAAGAATTATTCAAATTAATCTAACTTTTAAATAAAGCATTTAAAAAAAGCACAGTAGTTTACAGCTGTAATTCAACTTTAGATTGTCTCAGAACTGTAAAGAGGTGCCTCTCTATTATTGTTCAAACACACTGAGAAATGGTTCTGAAAACTGGTAGAGAAAAAAGGATGTTTGGAAGACATGTATAAGCTCTAATCGTTGTATGTGCTTTGCATATGCCAAATTGCATGACATAAAAGTGGATAGCTGAGTTGAACTGATTTTTCTGTTTACAAGAAAAAACTATAAGTAATATAAATTTATTTAAATCAAACAAACATAAGAATGTTAAATCACTGTGCAAATGATAAAGAATACGCTTTTCTCTAAAGGGTCAAATTAATCTTGATTCAATGCAAGATTAAATCATAATCTGCTTGCGAAAGTGCATTCAATTCCGCAAGTTTTAATCACATTATTCAATTCCAAGTCTGGAACAAAGAACACTTGTCTACGCCTGCACTGTACTCGGAACCTAAAATCCTAAAACAATGTACAACTGTGCTACACATTCATTTTGCAGTTTACATTGTTCTTTATGTGTAAAGAGAATTATAATATGACTACAAAAAAGTTAAAGGTTCTCAAAATTAAAGTTTCAGTAAAGGACTGAGCATATGTGTCCCATAAAAACAAGCAAAAATCAATATGCCAAAAGCAAAGGAATCAATTTAAACTAAAACTTAATGTTATTTGATTCTTCACACACTAGCATTTTATGAGGACATCAAACTCTAAAACTTAATTTTACACAATTCCATCTGTTCTCACGCAAGAAAATAAAAGCTCTGATATTATGAACCAAAAACTGTACATCACCTGTAGATTCTGACTGAGCTCCTCTGTGACTTCTTGAAGGTGCGCACTATCTGTCTTTCATAACGAACGCTAGAATAAACTAAAATGTTTAGCTGTAAAGCTTTGCCTCCACTTCCAGCTCAAACCAGCAACTGCCTGTTTTGGTGCGTCTCGCCGTCTCTCTGCCTCTGCCTCTGCCTCGCTCCCTCTCCCTCTTTCTGAAAAAAGCGAGCCTGGTCAGTGCAGGCCCACTGCAGTCGGGGAAACTCTAAAGAGATCAGCGCTAATCGACTTGGACAGTGAACTACTGCCAAATTGGAAGTGGATTTTAAGTCTACTCTCTAACCCCAGACTCCCCTCTTCTACATTCTCACTGGCTTCCCCCCCCATCACACCCCTCTTTCACTCATCCTCTCATCACCTCTTTTCACCTCATCTCTGTTCCACTTTCCCTTCACCACTACCATCCCTACAGTAACCCCCTCCTCACTTAACAAAGCACACTAAGTAGCTACACTGAGGGGGATTAGTAGAAAAGACCTCAAGCATAGTGTCAAACCGTGCCATGGAGAAAAGTCGGATACACACGCACACACACCTCTTACACACACAAATACGCCCACATACATGCTCAAATAAGAGTCGGACAATCAGCTTGACCAAGCATGCAACATACACGTATACATTTACGTCCACATAGAATTTTTAAAAGTACATTTCAAACACATCCACACGCCAGTCACAATACACAATACCTTCAGCCTTGACATCCTGATAAATCTTCATGGTATAACTTAAACAGGGCCTAACAGAAGTGGTGCCCAGGATCCTCACGACAGATGTGTGTGATGTGGTATGATCTGAAGTGACTGACTGTAGAGGGCGTGGTGGAAACCCGACCGATGAAGTCAGGGTTCAGTCACCAAGGTTGTCTATGACGACAAACTCTCTGACACTGTTTGCAGACCATTATACTAGCGCCCGACTGATGCAACGATTTTGCCATCAATAATACCGATTTAAAGGCACAATAGTAGTGATAACAGATAATGGCTATTATAGGCTGAACTGTTGTGCCTTTACTGACAATGCGTTGCAATGACACTGGTTGATGTAAATATCAAATACAAGATACAAGATCAAATATCAAAGTTCAGGACTGTCAGTTCTTGACAAGTGTCAAGTCATATGAACAGCATAAACTCACAAAGTATTACAAAATACTATACAAATCCAGAACAAGCCACAAGCCACTTATAAATAACCTTAAAAGGTCACTGGCACGCTCTACATTTTTGGTGCCCAAACCTATTATATTCCTTAATAATAATAATTATAACAATTTATTCTACAACACATTTTCAGTGCTTGAAAATAAAATTCATTTTAGCTGTTCATGTCTTCCAAAGTCTACACATGTCAGGTGGTGCAACTGTACAACCATTTATGCAGATTTAGTATACCAAAAAAAGGAGTAATTAAGTCTAAATTCTAAATTCTAAATTAATTAGCTTGGCTTGGTTTTATGTTTGAAGCCTTTAAAATCACAACATGTGGCAAAATAGGATCATTTCAAAGTATAACTCTTTTTTGTCCACAAATTCTGATTTCCTCAAAGGTCACATGGTACAACTGTTAACAAACAACTTTTATGCTGACATGATTTCAAGTAAGAGTGGGCGTATATATTACTATATATTTAAATTTATAAAAATCAAATCTGTTTTTCTTGTATAAAATAAGAAACATTATCAGCAGGATTTAAGCCAACTATAAATTTGCAGTCTCTTATATTGACTTTTTTGTTTATAAGCCGAAACAATGTATCGGTTGGGCCAGCTTTATACCTTAATATGCTGTGACTTATTTGGCATCTTTGTGAAAAAAGAGTTTGAGGAAACAACAGTAAGACTATGTAAATAATGTTAGCTAAGCTGAAATGTAAGTTAGAATTATCACTATAAATTTAGTTCACAAGTATCACATCATTAAAGGTGACAAACTAAAGATGCGGAATAAGCATACTGCAACAGGTCTTAGTGATCGTAACCACACCAGCTATAGTGAGGATCCCGTAGTGTTGTATGGAAGAAAATGTATGGCATTGACCTATATCAGAAATAGTTTGTGTCTCACAATTAAACCACATACAATAACTAAACCAAACAGATAAGTACTTTCAATGTGCAAGAGATCCACTCTGAACAGAGAAAATATATTACAAAATCATGCTTATGGCTTCCCAAATGAAGTGAAAGTAGAAAGCTCATGTCATCCAAATGTCAAGTTTATAGCAAGATTCGTGGAGCCTATATTATATTGAGGTGGCAGTAATTCAACAGGAAGGACACACACATAAATACACACACAAACACACACATGGGAGAGAAGTGTGGTCTGGTGGGACATAAATACTCACTCTTCCTCTGCCGGAGTGATTCTGGAGCAGGAGTGACAGAAGCGGAGGAGAGATTCTCTCCTTTAGAGCGATTGCATAGAGAAAAAGAGGAAGGAAAGTGGACAGAGTATGGGCAAAAGAGAGATCAGCAGGAAAACCAAATTAAAGAAGTCCAAGTTTAAGGAATCAAAAGATGGAATGTAATGAGCGGTGGAGGAAAAGAAGGAGAGACACAGGTACCCCAGTAAATACGTGTTGTATGAGAAATGTCAGGAGGAGGGTGGGTGAACGGAAGGTGGGGTATGAGAACAGAGGAGTCAACACAAAAAAGGCAAAAAACAAACAAAATAACTAATTAGTGAATGAAACAAATTCTGTAAAATGTATTTAGGCAAAAATATATGTTTGGCGATGTACAGTTTGCTGGAGATGAAATTTTCTGTAAGCTGCACATGCCGTTTTAATAAAAGGGATTTGGCACTGAAACTCTGAAATGTCATGAATAGAGGTAAAGTTCTGATTCTTTAGGAAATTATTCCAATTTCCAAACTTCACTACTACTTTGTTATTTTCATACAATTTAAAACTAGTTCAATTTTATTGTGGACAAAAATCTGAGGATATTAAGTATCATTATAATCAATCATAGTCAACTATAATATTCCAAAATTGATGCATTAGTATCAGTATCTTCAGATCGATGATGCATTTCTACATCCCTGTTAAAGCATCATGCACCATTACATTTCTTCTTTCGTATTTTAAAGTCCACAATCTCAAAAAGAAGTTACTTTAATATTCACCATTACTTTGTCACAAAATGCATCTTGTCTATTATTTCTGAGTGGTTATTTATTGGTGTTTGATCACAGAGTTTCTTATATTGCTCAGGTCCCACCTTAGTCCAATACATTACATCCAAGTGTAATGAATTGTCTGTTTGTAACAATGCCCTTTTGCTCATACATGCCTCCTAACCACTAAGTAGACTTTGTTGGCTGTCAGTCCGCTGTATACATCCTGCTCAGGTTCTCACTGCACAGCCCAGCCACAACAGATTTGTCTAAGGCAGGGGTGTCCAATCTTACCCGTAAAGGGCCGGTGTGGCTGCTGGTTTTCATTCCAACAAAGCAGGAGCACATCTGATCAGCTTTTGAAGACTGAGGCCAACTGATTAAACAAGTGGAATCAGGTGTGTTCCTGCTTGTTTGGAATGAAAACCTGCAGCCACACCGGCCCTGTGTGGATAAGATTTGATACCCCTGATCTAAAGCAAAGGTTTCCTGGCACACAAATGGATAGTGTAACGCCACAGTAATGCAGGCAATACAAAGCAGTGTATTTTGTTGACATAATCCTGACTTGAAGTACTCACTAAGAATGTTACCCACAGCCAGAGACATGTCAGATGTCTTTTGGAAGTGGAGCAATTAAGTAAATGGCAGAACACTAAACCCGATTTCCAGGTAACGGTAGACCCTGTGCATTAATTTGTAAAGAGATATCTGAAAAGAGCAACCTGGGTGCTCTCATGTTAACAGAGTGAATCTTTAAAAGATTTACACCGTGTGTCTACTGGAGTTTACGTCAAATACTTTACACGCTGTGGATGATTTCACTGAATTCAAACTATACGACCATCACTAGATTGCTTCATATTCATAAACAGATAGCTGGCAATCAGAACTTGGAAGAGCTGGCCCTGAGTTAAGCACAGCTGACCACTTGTTGACCCATGGAAGTCATCATTATAGCTAGCAGTAATTTTGTAATTTTTATCACTTGCCGCTCATTGAAATTAGTGACAAAAATGGATTCTAAACTTTAACAATAACACATTTGTGTCAATAAATTTTAATTTGATGAAAAAGTATAGTTGTGTGTACTAGGCCTGGGCAATAGGACGATGTAATTGAATATCGTTGATGAAGGACACGTAACCTGATGGTGATGTGTAAAAGGCAATGATTGCCATTTTGGTAAAAGAACGGAGAGAGATTTAGAGAGAACTAATTTGCTGTTGAAAGCTTGAAAAATATGTTGGAAAACTGGGTTCTTGTTCAAGAAGTGTGCAGGCTCAGGCACCAGTAGACAGTTTCACAGAGAGAGAGAGGTAATTGAGATTTTTTATTTTAAAAATATTGTGGTAATTATTTTAAGATACCGCCCAGGCCTAGTGTGTACAGTCTTGTTTTGTGGAAACATCCTTTACAATTTTGCCATAATTTTGTCATTGACTAGCAAGTGCAGACTCGAACAGAATTCTCTCTAAGCTAGGTGTAACTGACAAACTATATAGAGTATGTCAGCATTCACAGTGTTACCACTTTGCTTTACAGTATAAATCTTGAGCACAGACACTCAACACTTAACGATGCTATGGAATCCCTGTAAATCTGTAGAATGTGCACCACCACACCGTGATTGCCTTAACTAAGTTTTTACTTAATAAGGCCATACTGAGAGCTTTACTTCAATTTAATGTGGTACTAATAGACTCCTAAGAGTAATAGATTCTCAGCAGCTTACACAACATGACTGCAGCCATATACTCAATGTTCAGCAATAGATTTTGATGTGACTTATCCTCAAAACACCCAACTGTTACCAATTCCTAGCATAAAATGCTCCAGCTATATTGTTAGTTGTAAAAAGGTATAGTATGAAAATGGAAAAAAACAAAAAACAAAACATATATATATATATATATATATATATATATATATATATATATATATATGAAATATAGTCAACATATTTTAATAATTCCTGAACAGCTTTGTTTGACACTGCGGGCCCTAATAAGCCCATTAAACCCATTTCTATGGCATTTGTCAATACAGATTGAATGGAAGCCTAAAGTCTACAAGAAATTACAGACTATCTTCTCCTGGGTATGCTATTCACAATGTAAACACAAAATATGACAGAAATCCGGTTCACTATTTATGTGTTATTTTTATTACACTTATTGAGCAAGACCTCTCGTATGCTTACATTTTTTAAAAGTAATAGGCCTACATCATATCTGAATTACTGTAAGTAAAACAGTTTGCAGAGTTTACAATCCATCTTCTTAGAAACATATTCACAAATTTATGTGTGCCCACATTTCTTTTTCATGTGGTGTCCTCGCTGCTCTTTAGTGCCCAGTGCACGACTGATGCACGCACTGAAACTGAGATTTTTACTCCCAAAAGTTTCTTATTTGTTCATTTTCATTTGAAAAGATTTCACCACTGAGTAATGAAAAGGTTTGTGACTAAATCTGATGCTCAATGTTCAATGAAGCCTGGTGCCCAACTACACCACTACTGATTCTTTGAGTGGAGAAACCACTTCAAAATGGTGTGTTCATCTTCCACCTGTCTGATGACACATCCATGCGTCCCCTTTGCTAACTATTTCACCCCTGCCCTTGCTTCAAATATTAAAGAGAAAGAAACAGAGTGGGAGAGGGAATTAAGAAGAGTAAAGCACTAAAATTGTGAGAGAATAGGCTGTAAGTACAGCAACTGTACATTTATAAAAGGAAAACACCAAACAGTGACTCGAGGGAAGAGCTGAGGTGGGTGGTTGATGTAGAAGAGTCAGAGAGTACTCACTGCTTGAAGAGGAGGAGAGGCGACGATGGCTGGAGGCTCCTGAAGCAGTGGTATTGTTCTGGGGAGGTGTGGGGATCTCCGAGGGGAGAGGAGGTGGAGGAGGTGGAGCTGGGATGGGGTTTGTGTTGCTGCTGGGTAGAGGAGGAGGAGGAGGTGGTATGGGCAGCTCCTCGGTGGCTCCTGTTCCATTCTCAGGAGCAGGAGTAGCATCTGCAGGCTCCTCCAACAGCACAGAACCCTGCAGGAGGGATGCCTTCATTTTACTCCCAAATCATGCCAAATGAAACAGAGCTGAGCTGGACAGTCTTTATTCATAACTTCTAACACGGCTAGTAGTGAATGGCAGCTAGCGAGGGCCAATTACTATTAAGCAACTCAGTTTCGGTTAATGTTAAAATGACCTAAACAAGATTTAAAACAAATCATCGGTGTCAAAAAACAATGTCTTCATTTTTTTCAATTTTGACATTTCAGCATCACAGTAGCTGTTTTTTGTGTTGTATGAAAATGTCATGATGAACAGACCAGTAGAAATGCACCAAAATGACTTAGATTAAAATTTTTTTTTATATTAACTTAATTTAAAAGTTACCATTTTGGAGAAGTTTTTTTAACACCAACAAAATGACTAAGGATGCATGTTAATAAATTAATAATATACACAATTTATTCTGAGAAAAACTCCCAACTCTCAAATGGTCATGTGAGCTTTTAATAAGGCATAATGAGAACTACACTTCAAATTCTGCAGGAGCTCTTTAATTAGAGCAATCTTGAATGAATGAATGAATATTCAGTTAAATAAATTAACAGTGGCTAATATAATATTTATATAATCAATTTTTAATTATTATATATGATTACAAAATTAATAATTTATAATTGTAGTTTTTAATGTTTTTGACATTAAAACTATTTTTAACAATATGTTTTTTTTCAAAAGTAAGTGATGATTTAACCATTTAATGACCTCTCAGCAGGTAATTAAATACTTCTCCTCTTCCTCCACAATAGATGACGACACAAAAGAGCCCACAGTTGGCTTTAAACATCTCAGAGGGGTTCAATAGCTAAATGAAGATGATCCAGTGGCTCAAAGGAATGAGGAGACATCTGTTGCTGCTAAGCCCCACAATCCTCCACACTCCCAGTCTCAGGAGACTATCATTTACCCTGAGTTCTCCCAACTGTCACAGAGTTAATGAGGTGAGGCCTCTCCCCCTGTGACATGTACCCCCACACCCCACACCCTCTTACGCGTGCCAAACGTGTGCTTGACGCATGCTTGTTATTCCCTCCCCTGCAATAACCCCCCGCCCCCTGGCCATCTCCCTCCATATGGTCCATTTCATGTTTTATGTCACGATGCATGTCACTGCTAATGGGTCTTTACCCAAGGGACACATGAAGCGCCATCTGGTCCACTGGAGTAGGCAGACTACCTACTGGGTGTCTAATTGGCTCAGTGAAGATTACACCCAATAGCAGGGGAGTAGAAAGGTTGGGGGGTGCACGCACTACTGACGCTCTATGGTTCCTGTTTTGGACTTTAATTATTGCTTGCTTGTAGCTCACTGAAACAATCTGGATTCATTCCATCTTTCATTCATTCAGTCTTGAAACATTTAATTGATACTACCTTTGTGTTTGTAGGTGAAGAGGGGATTTTTTATATGAAAAGGAGATTTTGTTATGCTTTAAAGTTGCTGAAAAGTTATTGCTGCGTGTACAGTCTGATTTTGCAAAATGAAAAACCACCACGCTATGAAACAAAAATCACCTAGATTCTTAGATTACCTACTGGCTCCCAGTCAAAGTCAATTTTGAAGTGCTTTTACTTGTTTACAAAGCTTTCAATGATTTTGCCCCTAAATACATTTCCAAACTGCTCACTATGTATAAACCAATGAGAATTCTCAGGTCATCAGGCACTAGTATTTTAGTAATTCCCAGAGTCAGACCCAAAATGACTGAGTTTTGAGTTTTTATGTTTAGCAGTTATCGTTTGGCTCTGTGGAACAATGCCGAATGACCTACGATTTGAAGCCACTGTATTTTCTTTTAAAAGCAAACTTTACAAACCTTCCTAGTTTTATCTAGTTTATTATTTATTTTTACTAATGCCACGTCTTATATTAACCCTCTTTATTTTTACTTTGTCTTCTTTTAATTGTATGTTTTATTTCTAAAATACACTTTGCCCTGCATAAATAAAGTTTTATATAATAATAATATTATTATTATTATTATTAATAATAATAGCAATAATAATGTAATTAAATAATTTTCAAATGCAATTCAAGTACATTGCAAAATGACAGCAATAACTCTACATTTGTAACGGTAAACAATAAAAATGTGGTAAACAATATTTTTAATTCAGGTTCTAGCATCAAATAAAACTGAGATAACATCATGAGAAAAGCTAATGCATACTGTGGTGGATACTAATCCATTTTCAGTTTAATACTACACCTGCACAAAGGGCAGAGGCCTCACACTGTACTAAGGCCAGTGGGGTGTAGTTCCTGTTTGATGACAAACACAAAAGCTCAAGGCCTCAACTGTCATTGTTACGTAACATGATAAAAGAGCTAAGCAAACACCCTCCACTGTTTATTGAACAGTGCAATAGACGTGCACATTAAAAGCTAGGTTATGTCAGCGTTGGGCCACACCTTGCACGGATTTGTGTTGTAATGTGGCAGGTGAGAGAAAGGAGCTAGGCTGATTTGGACCAAAGACAGCTGGCAGCTATGTCCACACGCACAAGAAACAGTCATGTGACCACCACTTTGCCACCATATTTTTATTGTTTTCTATTGCTTTGTCTTGGAATTAGCATGAATTAGCATTGATTATATTTCAGCAATAATTAGCAGTAATTAATTAAAGTTTAAATAAAAGTGCCATGTGAAGACTCCCATCTTAAAGAGTATTAAATAGTATTAATGGTATTAATGTACTTATTATCTGCCTAATATATTAATTATTTTCTTTTTGCCCATATGGCAGTTGTACTTGGCCAAGCTGGACCTTCTTTTTGAGCATGTATGTGTGAAATTAGTACATAAAGACATATGACATGGTCCAAAAAACTCAAAATTCAGAAATAAAATTCCGCAAAATTTGAACCAACTTTGAAATGATAATTTCAAGCTTTGCAGGGTGACTCTGAACCGTCATATTTTAACGTGTTTTTCTCCTGACTCAGTCATACTTATTTTTTTAATTTTAACAAAAAATTTAATACTGCGGCTTTAATGTCTCGCTTCATTCTAAATTTAGAAACAAATGACAATATTAACCAGACCTAATAGGCATTTATTTGAGAGGCCACTACTGACATGATCAAAGCCAAAGTAAGTGTACTTGGCAAAAGCTTTAGGAGCCAGGCTGATAATCGGATCTGATCTTCAGCATTTTGATGATCATCTGTTTGTTTTCTTGTTGATAAAAGGCTCTAATGTGAGTTAAGCGCATCTCTATTACAACCACAGCTGAGAGAAACACTTCTGGCTCAATGTCCCACCTTACTGGACTGGTAAAAATAAGTGGCACAAGTCAAGTACAACCAATCAAAACTTCAGTAGCTTATCTCAATGTCCTGCCCACAGCGTTATGGACTAGTTGAAACATGGACCATGTGTTGAGTAAAACCCATCTAACACTCTTCGCTGTCCATTTCTAGGGGCAGTATTTAAAAAATAATAAAACAAAAAACAAAACAGCTGTGCTTGTATTTTCTTCTACACCAAGTCGAGTGGTTTGGCAAAAAGCACAGCTCACAGCTAATATTACTTCACTCCTTCACTCTCGCTCACACAGCTTCATCAATAGATTTTAAAGTCTTAACAGTTTTTGTTGCAATGCTCAAATCTACTGTAGCCAAACAAACTTTACCCGTGCATGCAGCTCAGAACGTGCCTGAAACGTCTTGTGTCATTGCTGAGAGTAAGCTTACTTTGAATGGGAGAAAACATTGTGCAGACTCAAGCTTCTTTTTCTTAGTTTGGTCACTTCCTGGAATCTGTAAAGTGATTTTGCCTTTTTAGTGCTGTCTATTTGGTGGATTTAAACATTACCCTTTAGAAGGATAACTTGCGTATTTGCATTACAATTAGCAATATTACAGACACAGTAAAACAGAACAAAGTTTTAATGAACCATTATTTATGGTAACAGACAAAATACCAATACAAAAATACTGAATAATAAAAATGAGAATCACTACATAGGTTTTAATGCAAGCAATACATGTGCTTATTGCAATTCATAGCTTGTATTAAAACCACTAATTTTTTTCATGTGCTTTTAATAATAATATTTAATAATATTGTAATAATTCTTTTTAATTTATTTTAAACAGCTGTTTCTAAGTTTATTTTTTGTTATTTCATTTTTGTTTTAAATATATTATATGTAATATATATTACTATATTTTCATCATTATCATGTCCAAACATTTAGACTGTCTGGAAGCTCCATGCGCTTTCCTGTTATAATGTCCAAATGTTTGCTGTTAGCATTTCATTAAAACATTGTAAGTTCTAAGCTCAAACAGACCCCCTAAAGTCTCACTGTAGGCCAAATAAAACTCTATCAAACATCAAACAAAGTTATCTGTCGTGAATCAGATTCAGAACAGGACATGGAATTTAGTAGCACAATGTACTTGAATATGAATCTTAAAATGATTTCATTAGTAGCTTACCTCCTCGTTGGGTGCCATGGTTCTGCAGGGCCTCTGGTCCGTGGTGTCGTTGCCCAGGGTCTTGTAATAGTCCCCTGTGCTAGGCTGCTTACTGAAGCTTCGTGACTTCCTGTTGGAGTCCACCCGCCGCAGTCTCTCCGGGTTTTCCCCTGCTGTCAGCTGCAGAAAAAATATACAATATTTAATGCAGGACCACAACCAACACAAAAGCTTGTGTCTTATATTTGACACCTCACACAGTACAAATCCATTTTGTACTGTTCATATCCATAACAATATCATCCTTAATGCATACAATAATATGGACATTTGAATATAGTATCCTGTTTTGTAAAGATACATAAGATCCAGGCTGATACTACTGTGAAAATTGATTTTGAACAAGTAGTCTTACTCTGAGAAACTTAATGATGCCATACTGTACATTTGGATTCTTAGAACCCATGGCACATAATGGGCAGACAGAACAGAACAGAACAACAGACTCTTTAGTTTGTCAAATGAGTCATGAGCCATGAGCTTAGGGTGAAATATGTATTATGAAATTCAATATGAAGACTGCTAAAAAATTGCCATAGATTTGATTTATTTGTTCTAGGCAGATACGTAAAATTAAAAAAAATCAGAAAAAAAGAAAAAAAAACAAATGGACCATGGAGCATGGTGTGTTTGGTCTGTTAAGTCAGACTTTAAAAAGGCTCTTTTAGGCTTGATGCTGTCAGATTAACAAGTGGGCTTGTCAAAAAGTGAAAAAAAATAATAAAAGAACAAAGAACAACCTTTTTCCTTTGTTTTGTGCTTTTAGGATCTTAAGGTGTCCAGTCAATTCAATGCCTAAATTATACAAATATATCATTCCAGATATATTTATTATTATCAATTCAAAGTGTATATGAATTCAAAGTCTACTTTAGCAATACTGACTAATACTGATATATTTTGAGAGAAAAACAATCATGTCCAAGTAACATGACTCTGTTCTCCAGTTCTTTCTAAACTTGTGGGAAGGCTTTACATGACTAGTGCAGATTTACTCAATTGAGACGGAAGGAGAAACAAAAAGACTTTTCATGGCCCATGAGCTGAACTTTAACATAGTCGTCTAAGCTTTACCATTTTAACGGAAGGTATGCAGACAGGGGCCTGGGTGAGAATCTGAGTGACCTCTTGTGGGGTGTTTCAGTAACACTGCTCTCACTTTCTTCTTCTGTCAGTCACTCAGGTGGCGCCAAGAGAGGTTTTAACTGGTCTGGGATCAGTATTTGCTTTCCGTATTAACAAGATAGTTTGACCCAAAATGCTAATGCTACTAATAATGAATGAGAGCTAGTAAGGAGCGGATAGATTTCTGCACGAGGTTGTGCTATCTAGTCCTCACTAGCTTTCATTCATTCCTAGTTATGCTAGAATTTTATATCGATAAATTAATTCAATGCTATATTTGGTGTGGACTATTTTAAACCTTGCTTTAGAAAATCTGTGTAAAAAAAAGGAAAACTGAAATGAAGGACATCGTGCCAACGTTGCATTGTAGAGACATCCTGAGAAAACCCAAAAGTCCACCTACTGGAAATTTCCATGTCTTCCACAAAAAAGCAACGCTGCTTTTCCTGATCTTGGTGGATTTTACTAATGCAAAAAACCCTTGATTTGCATTGTAATCCAACATTACGCAACCACTGCATTTTACAAAGGAAAAACCTTTATCCATTACCTACATTCTTCACATTTATTGAATCAACTGTGTGGTGTTTATGTTGAACAGTTCATCATTATTGTACAATAAAAGGGTGAAACAGGTGACAGAAGAATAGACTAGTAGGACCAGCCTGAATAATTAAAAGGTAAACCAAAGAGCAATTATGATACAGGGGACACGTTTTTCAATTACATATGAAAATAAGCCATCATCAAGAGCTGAAATGTGCCTTTAAGCACAACATCACCAAAGGATACTGGTCAAAAACAAATAAATAAAGAAAGCCTTCAGCCTCCATCACAGACTGTTCTTTAGATACTATGGCAGGAAACATGACTCACCTAATGTCTATGCCTTACCCATTAGCAAATACTGACTCTGAGGGGCAAATTAGCCTTCAGTGTTATGTTCTGTTCTTTCAGTGGCCAATTTGCATTGTTGACTTAAGCCCCTTCCTCCCTGTAGACTTGTTCCAGCGTAACGTGAGCTGGTCCAGTGCAGATGGTGTGATTGTCATACCTCAGGGAAATCGCTGCCTGAAAGGCAATGCTGACCTCTGTACAACACAGATGTGCCTCTCCAAACCCATCCCCATTCAAACCTGTTGAATTTTTCATTACTCATCATGCATACTTATTTGCTACTTTGCTCTTGCGCAACTGTGAGTTGACTCCTAGTAAAGATATACCGGTCATGCTGATTCTCTTACTTCATAAAAATAAAAGTTAGCATAGATTATCTAAATGCCAGAAAACAATTGCTCTGTAATTTACATGAAATATATATTCAAGTGTAAAACTGGACAAACATTATTACTTACTATCTCAAAAAGCACACGACACAAAAAAGTCTTCCAGTGAATAGAAAATATCCAAGCAATTAAAATGCCTTGTGCACTGCTTGAGTTTCAAGTAGGATCAAACTTCCAAACTCTTGCAAAACCCTAATCCAAATACCATCTAATCAAAGAATAAAGCCTCTATAAGCCACACTGTGTTAGACCAAGGGGCCTTACCCTGTCTCTGTGCCGGTAGTCCAGTCAGTTTCAGAGAAGCTGAGAAGTTGGTGGATGCACAGGTGTCACCAGATCCCCATTCCACTGCGGTGTGACACTCTACCTGCTGCTCGCTTTAAATTTTCCCACCCCCTGCCGCACAAGCACCAATCCTGGGCCAGCACAGTGACATCACTGCCCATGTACTGACCAACCACAAGCTGTAGCGACTGAAGCCTCTCATGCAAAGCCCGGTTACACGGCCACAGGGCATGGCCGCCCAGTATCAAATCTACAGCCAGCTTACCAATTGCGTTATGCACACTGGTGGCAACAGGAATCTGATTACAGATGAATGTGGAAAGCCATTTCATAGCGATGGTTTAAAAGGTTGACGTTGTTGATACTGGGAGGGACTAATGGGAGTGCACTAATGTTGGCTTCAGCAACCAGCTCCCAGTTAGAAAGTAGGTGAAAGACGTCTGTATATAACAATCATGTATACATATATCGACACTGTCATAACTGTCATAAAGCTCATGTGAAATGAACTTTACAAGGGCAAAAAAATGTTATTTTTAAATAAGTTATTGTGATGATTTTATTCTGGACCATTTCTATGGGGGCATTCATCATGTAATCTCCACACAACATAAAGGACAGCTGGCATTATGGAATGAAAAAAAAAAAAACGTAATATGACAGCGATGCTCTTTTGTGAATAAACTGATAAGCATACTCAGTTGAAATACTAGAATAGCTAACTGCTCATATTAAAATCAGTATAAAACTAATTTTTACTAAAATTAATGACTGAAAAGGTCATCTGTGGCATTCAAATCAATGAGATCACCCCAAACAAACTGACGTCCAGTAAGCTCCATTAGTCTAAACAGGAGCCAGTGTGTTGTGCCAGGAAGTGGTTGCCATGAGCACCTGTGTTGCTATAGTAGCCAGGGTGGATTGTTTTTCCTCGACCGTGCTTATTGTTGCTTCACTGCTTTCTCCTCCTTACCATGACAAACAATTAGTGAGTTTCAGTGAGTGTGCGTGTTTCACTGAAACACATACAGTGTCTATACGGTGCACGAGTCGTGAAGTTTGTGTGTATTTCTTCATGTGTTTGACAGCAGAACATGTGTATGTGTGTGTTTCTGCACATGCCCCCTAAAGCAGAACATAGTGATTAATACTTAATGAGGATAATGAGGGCTGACCTGGGGCTGTTCACCTGGGAGCAGGTGTGTATGAGTATGTGTGTGTGCATGGCAAGGGAGGTTTGGGGGCAGTGAGTTATGTTAAATAATTTATTATAATAATGTCACTGGCAGCACTTCACAACACATCACAAAACTGACCTAAATTATAGAACTGTAATACAGTACTGTGCAAAAATCAGAGACCACCCTTTTAATTTCCAGTCAAAACAGCCATTAAGCATACAACTAAAAGAAAATGTATATTTAACAGAACATTACCCAGAAGCCTCAAAAGCTAAATATATTATAATTTTTTTTAGTTTTTAGTCCACCCTTTATTATGGTCATACATTATTTTCGGGAGACTTGCTTTCAGTTTCTCAAAGAAATCTGCAGGGATACTTTTTCTACGCTTACAGTTTGTTAGGAGTCCCATATTTTTCTATACTTGTAATAATTTTTTAACCTTAGTTTTGGAAATGCATGTGTTTTATCTTATATGAAATCTCATCAGAAATATGCCCTGAAAATAAAAAGAGACACTGTTACATCTCCTGGTCTCTTTGACTAGATTTTCTCCCATGGTTGAAAGCCTACTGACCACACCTGATTCATTACGATAGGATTGCCCACATTACAAAAAGAAAACACACTTCTAGTAAATGATCAACCCATGAATGTGGGCTAGAAAGTGAGACGATGATTTAAGCAAACAAACTGTTTTACAGTCATGACTGTGGCATTCTTTCAAGATATAGTTATGATAGGTAACATTAATTTAGTCATTATATCGCTGCTGTCGGAACAAAACCTTGTATCTCCATTTTTGTTGTTTTTCAGTTGTTGACATAATTTTAAAGTGCCTGTTGCCCTTTACATTGTATGTACATTTCATGACAAATGGACCAAAAGAAATGGCCCAAAATCACCCTGGTTCCATTGACATATATTCAAGGTAAAGTGTGTTTTCTCCTTCTCCTGTAAAGTTACCATTTTGGAGATTTGAGGTTTTGTTCGAACAACAGCGACGAGTATTCTAGATTTTTTGACCCAAATCCATTAGTGGATATTTATGAAGTACATAAGCTGACAAAATATCTGTTAAATGACTTGCCCTTAAACATGTTTGACTCATAGTGCTTAATTAGACAGTGTAGCTAAATGGTGTGGAACCATTAGCTTGAGATTGAAATGCATCTATCAGATCATCAGACATTTCTTATTACATTGACAATGTCTTGATGATGCTACAGGTCCTCAACTTCAGCTCTATCTTGCAACTCTGCCCTGCTAGTAGTTAAAGGATGATGATATTTGAGTAGCTAAAGAGGCGCTGGGGTCATGAGAGCCACTTTGAGAAGACTCAGGAGTCAGGGTAAGGACTAGGGGTGATGGAAGGGGTCTCAGTTAGGGGTTGCATTACTGTTAGTGTTACAGACAGGGCAATGAACGCAAATGAATCATTTATCCACTCTTTTTGCACTCCAAACAATGAAGAAATATCATTGTGATTAAAGGAATTTAAGCTGAAGCTGAGCACTAATACAGTGCACACACCTAGAAATTGGCTGAATAACCGTAAAAAACCTGGCAATTTCTGGTTCATAATGTTTGACGCTATTGTAGTTGTCATTTTAATTTGAATGTATTTTCTCTTAAAATAAAACAAAGCTAAGACACAAGCAAAAATTTAATGGAAAGACTCTACATATTCTCTCACAATAAAACTGAGTAGATTGAATTGTTATTACAGCTATGTTACAGTTATTACAGCACTGATTATTACAGTATTCATGTATTGCCGTATATATGCTGCAGGTAGCAATACTACTTATACAGCTACAAAAACTGTATAGCACATTTTAATTTCCTCAGATGAACAAAGGGCTCATTTGTGGGGAGTGCTGGCAGAGTTAATTAGTTTAATTAACGTCAGGTCCATCATACAGCACATCAGTGAAGCAGTGGAAGTGTTCTGCTAATGGAAGCCCTCATTAGGACATGGACACAAAAGCAACATTATGTGTGTGCCTCCCTTTGTGCTGATTAGTGAATACAGAAGAGAGATGGGCCTTGGGTTTGATGAGTCTACAGTTTACTTGCAGCAGGGTCAGACAGGACTTCACTGACTGTCTAGAACTTTCTAATGGCCTCTGAGCACCAGAAATACACCAGTTTGTACTTGTGCCTGTTGCTTATGACTGATTTTAAGGAATCCACCGATTTGACGTTTTCTGTCTTGATACCAATTCCTAGGTTTTTCGTAGAACCATAGCTCAACCAGTCACTGATGCCTCTGTTATTAGCTTAGCGACAAAAAGGATTAGTTTGCCCTCTGCAAAAGCAGCTTGAGCTGTGCTGCAGACATCTGAATTATATGTGGAAGCTCTTGAAAATAAATTTGAAGCAGTGAAGTTCTCCACACTACATTCACTTTTCCAAAGATAGAAAGCAGCCTGCCCAATGTCACCATTTGCTCTTATGGTGACGTGCAAATGATACGTTTTTGCCCCCAAGACATTCTGGATGTTTGCTTTTTTACGCTGTAAGCCACACAATGAAATAATAAAAAAAGAATCTTATGTCTAGTGTGTATAGTTTTATTTTATTGTGAATATTCTGCATTTTCATGTAGTCAATTTTCATGTTGCACTTGGTGTGTAACAGCCTTAAGACACACTTATAGAAGTGTGTAATAAAACTTTGGGCTCACCTGTTTAAGGGGTTAATTGTGGATTGGTCACGTATGGCTGATAGTTGATCTGTTCAATAAGGTCGGTATTAGAGCTGATGACAATTCAGTACATCTCATCAGTGCCTCAATACTGATTTTTGTAGCGTTTGTGCACAAAGCCTTGTGGTTACCTAATGGCATTGTCTTACATCTACTCAAGTCATTTGAACATTAAGAGTTTCCCCATGGGTATAAATTGTGCAAAAACGCTGCTAATGGTCCAGAGGTGCACATTTCACCATTCACTACTGAGGCTATAGGATAGTATATAAGCTAAGGACAAAACCGGCTATTTCGCATTTCAGGAAAATCACAGTGCTATCCAGTTGGCTGTTGTTTGTGCTCTAAAATGCACTCAAGCATTCAACACAAAGATGTAAAAGCTATGCTACTTATAACTGAGACGTTAGTGGTGCCTAGAAGCTTCACAGATTGCTTATAGTGTCAAATGACTGGGTAAAACCTATGACTGAATTTAGCTACAAGAAACTTGTTTTCATATATGTTGAAAACCTACATGAAAAGTAATTACTAGACCTGTTTTTTCAGCGACTTCAGCGACGTTTTTTCAGAGAAAATCTACTTTTTCGAACATGGAGCAGCCAGCAAAGCTACTAGGTCAATACATGGGAAATAATATACTTATGTCAAGTGAAAACACCGCCCTGACATGCTTAACATTCAGTTATAACAGTCACACAATCACAATAAATGACCTGATTCATGTTTTCATCACACTTATCAGTATTACGCAGTCTTATTGTTACAGTGCTTGCTCATGCTTGATGTAATGCTTCATGAAGTCCACGTCTTGTATAATGAGACCAAGTGAAGCGGACATGCTACTATATATACCTCAAGGCAAGGTTTCAGTTACACATCGATGCAGGCAACAAACCTCAGGGGTTCAATTGAGCCATGTTTGATAAGAGTATTAGAACAACACATCATTCAAACCCTTGAGATTACTGAATTACACCCTAGCATATTATTGTATAGGCTTCATTATCCACTGTGCATTAAGTATAATATCTTATCTTATTCTTGAAACTTTGTCATTGCACATATTTAATGAGTGCAGATCTCATTAGCACAATGTTCATTTAGATAAAAGCTAAGAGTCTAAATTCTATATGGCATACTTTATTCTCTGTAACACCCTTTCTGTTCTCTTTGTGAGAAGTGAATGGGGATTTGCTCCCCAGATTGATGAATCAATACATAAAATACTTTCAAGAACTTCACATACGTGTTGTGAAGGTTCCTTACAAGTTCTTTTACAGTAATGAGAATTAGAAAAAACGTACCTACAAATGTTTAGCCACGGTAGAATTAAACAGGCAGGTAAAAAAAGCAGTTAAGAGTTTGAACTAGCTGACCACATAATGCAGGTTTTATGATATATTCTAACATAAATATGAACTCTCCAAAAGGGGAATCACCAAAATACAGTATAATCACTTGTCTTTATAAGGGGAACTGAAACAAACATTTGAAACCATAAATGTGTAAAAATGTTGCACAAGTTTTACAAGTTACTTAAAGTTAAGGGTTAAAGGGTTACAAGCAAATTTGACCTTTAGTTGCCTTAACTCTCTGGCACTGACATAAAAAAGGTTTGGAACCCATCATAAATTTACCATGTACTTCCTGTTTTTGACGTGACAAAAGGCATCACCTTTTAAAGCTACAATCAGGGAACCAATTTACAGGCATCAAATTGATGGCAGACTGTCACTGAATCTTGAGGATTGCTCCTACCATGTGCCTTTCTCAAAATACAACTATCATTGTCAGCCCAAATATAAGCATCATGCCCCCCAACCTACTCCTTTACTGTCTCAGAAAATTAGGATTCGGGGCTTCTATTTTGTGGTTCTGAAGTTCTTGACTGTGGCTTTAATTTTACTCATCAGTCAGATTATGTCATTCATACATGTGAATGTTGTGTTTATCAGAATAAAGCATAGTGTACCTCTTTTTTTTTCACTGTGTCATTGTCCACGCGGCGGAGGTTGCTCTTCACCTTCAGAAACTCGGCCGACCCCTGCTCCTCGGGTGGACTGGGTGCGGGGTACATAGGGGGAGGTGGAGGGACGTACGAGTTGTTAGGCGGTGGAGGAGGTGGAGGTGGGGGGAAAGTGGGAGGCGGCGGAGGTTGTGCTGCCTCTTCCTTCTTCTGGACCCCATCAGTCACATCAGGGTTCAGCATTTCCATGTAGGTCTCCATGTCACTGATTGCTGACGCTGGGCCTCCTGCCAAAACATATATTGTCAAGATTCATCTGATTGTCTGTCATTAATCTATCTAACAGGGTGTCATAATCAAAAGCAGCTTCTTTATTGATTCATTTGATCAATTTTCAGCTGTTTACTAACGAAAGATCACAATCTCATACAGTCATAGTTAACAGAACAATGTTGGAGTGAGACAGAAAGTGTCATATTCTAAGATTCTAGTAGAAGAATGCTGTTTAAGGTGTGCTTTCTGATTACCTTTCTGCCTTAAAATGATTTAGTCATGTTACTACTAAGTCAATTATGTTAGTACTGAATACTGCTGAATGTTAAGTTTGCTGTGTTATATGTTCTGTTTTGAGAATGTAACACCTGTGGTGGTTTTTGTTCAACAACACACTCATCTCACTTCACTATTTCAAAATAACTCCACAGAGAAGCTAACTGGTAGCTTCAACCCAAGGTCTACAGCAGGCATTTCAAACTGGGGACCTTCAGGGCCAAAGTGCTGCCTAGATTAGCGTTTACCCTCATTTAACGCTCTGAAAGCAGTTCATGAAGGCCTTTCTAATTAGCTGAAGAGCTGAATCAGATGTGTTTAATGAGGCAGTGTGCTGAGGTCTGCGAAGACTGGAGCCTGACACATGTGGTCTACAGAGTAGAGGGGAATTGAAAGAACTGATACATTTCTGTCTTTCCACTAGAGGGCACTGCTGGCTCGGCTCCCAGCAGGTGGCCCTGAGGACACCATGGCAACAGTTGTACTGAGTGTCTTCCAGCTCAGTGAACACAACTTTTTCCCACCATTGTTAAGACAATAGTGCACACATGCTGCATTAAGCCGCCAAGGATGTCGTGCCTGCAGGTTATGGGTTACTGGGTAGAAGGCTTTGTTCAAAACACAGAAGAATTCAATGAAATAAATACCAAGGGGTCAGATTTATGAAAGCCTATAAGAGATGGTAGAATGGACGTGCACAAAAAGTTTAGTAACATAAATAATTACAGTATAAACATATCAGGCAGGGCAAATTGTTTGGTTCCTCAGCCCATATTAAGTTTATAATGATGATACTCAGAAGCAGTTTACGAAACCATTTTTTGTCTAATAGTTAACAACTCATACTTCAGACAGCTGAAATAAGCAAAAGTATTTTATGCTGTGAGTTCTGCAGATACTCAGTTTCAAATGCACTCATTCCTCATAATGTTAGAAGCCTGAAAAATGTTTTAAAGCTGCATTCACATGAACCAGTACCAATCATTTAACTATTCAATATATATATACATATGATGTCTGTGCAATACATCATTTGTAAATCGTTATCATGATACTGGCCTTTGCGATTTTTATATACAGACAAATTACACATTTAAGCAATTCACATACTATCATTCATTCACAATTGCAATTACAACAACGCTGACTAGGTCCAGTTCAAGATCGCAAGAGGAAAAGGTCTAAGGACTTTGAAAGAGGGTTCATTATTGAGGAATGGATGGCAGGAGCTTCAGTCGCAAAGACTGCTCATGAATGACTGCCATGCTCATGCATTATTGTAATATCCAAATATACTAAATTGATATTCTCAGGTGACTTAAAATATCAATGCAGGACGAATAATGTCAGCAAGAACAATCTGTCCAAAACTACATAGAGAGGGATATAATAGTAGGGCTTCAGTGTATAAACCTCTCATTACCGAGAGGTCTACAGACATGTGGGGACAAAGGGATATGTGACGAGACGAAGACAAGGCATCCTTCACCATATTCTCCACAAGTGGGTGAGTGCATGTGTGGTGTACACCAAAAAATGATACAGGACTGAATGCTTGAACCCTACAGTGAGGGGGTCTGGTGGATATGTTATGCTGTGAGAGGTATTTTGCTGGCATGGTTTGTCCATTTCTCCCCTTGGAAGGGTGACAGCAAATGAATGTTACAATCGTTTGACTGATTACCTTCATTCTATGATGAATCATTTCTATCTTGATGGGAGTGGTCTCTTCCAGGATGACACGGTCCCCAACCACAGGGATCATGAATGGTTTCGTTAGTACTCATATGCCTCATATATCTCAGACCAAGTGAACACCAATGGGAGATTTACAAACATGACAGAATATCATTTGAAATATTCAGACTTGTAAAACCTATGCCAAAGCACACTGAAGCTGTTCTGGTGGCTTTTGACCCTCTTACTAAGAAACTTTACACTGATCAGGCATAACATTATGACCACCTCCTTGTTTCTATGCTCACTGTCCATTTTATCAGCTCCACTTACTATATAGGTGCACTTTGTAGTTCTACAATTACAGACTGTAGTCCACCTGTTTCTCTGCATACTTTGTTAGCCCCCTTTTACCCTGTTCTTCAGTGATCAGGACCCCCATGGACCCTCACAGAGCAAGTACTATTTGGGTGATGGGTCATTCTCTGCACTGCAGTAACACTGATGTGGTGGTGGTCTGTTAGTGTGCGCTGCGCTGGTCTGAGTGGATCAGCCACAGCAGTGCTGCTGGAGTTTTTAAACACCTCAGTGTCACTGCTGGACTGAGAATAGTCCACCAACGAAAAATATCCAGCCAACAGCGTCCTGTGACCACTGATGAAGGACTAGAGGATGATCTGACAAGGTAGGAGTGTCTAATAGAGTGGACAGTGAGTGGACACAGTGTTTAAAAACTCCAGCAGCACTGCTGTGTCTGATCCACTCGTACCAGCACAACACACACTAACACACCACCACCACATCAGTGTTACTGCAGTGCTCAGAATAATCCACCACCCAAATAGTACCTGCTCTGTGAGGGTCCATGGGGGTCCTAACCAACAGGGTAAAAGGGGGCCAACAAAGTATGCAGAGAAACAGATGGACTACAGTCTGTAATTGTAGAACTACAAAGTGTAACTATATAGTAAGTGGAGCAGATAAAATGGACAATGAGCGTAGAAACAAGGAGGTGGTAATAATGTTATGTCTGATCGGTGTATATTGGCTTTCCCTTTAATTTGTCATCTGTCTGTATATGCTAGTAACGGACAGTGTCTCTACTATCATCTTGACTATGTCGGCATGTCTGTGTTTGTGTATGTGCATAATTTGGTATAACTGTGTTACGCTGAAGCACTGTAAGGGTGCATGTGTAAATCCTGTTTGGGTGCGAGGGTTAGTGAGCATGACTTCCTCACCTGCTGGTACTCGTGACGGTGGGGAGCTGCTCTTCTTCTCCCCTGTGCTGGACTGGCTGGAGTTGGCCGAGTCGTAGTTGGACAGGGAACTGGAGGGGGAGCCCACGTCAAAGTGGGCTGCAGGCGGCACCACTGGGTTCAGTGTGGCGTTTGGAGAGGAAAGGCCCGAGTCAGGCTGCTTATACTCCAAATCTGCTGAGGGATCCCGGGATAGGACGCGATGTTCCACACTCTGAGAGGAAACCAGGGGAATCCAAGGAACAACACAGTATAATCCAGAAAGAAACACTGTGTAATTTTCAGTAAGCTATTACATTGTTTTTGAATTTTTGTAGTATAATTTGTTGCTTGATTGTTTGCACTTCAGTAAAATTTACAGACATATTTGCCTACTAAACTAGACACAGATCTAGATCTCTGAAATGTTTGGGGTGCTCCAGTGTTGTGTTTGTCCAGTGTTAGTTGCTGAACAAACAATATGTTTGTTACTGCCGATATACAGCTATTAGTGTTAGATTAGTGACTGTTAGTTGTTAGCAAGATAAGGAGGTTATCTTCACTTAATTTGTCATGCAGGGCTTTCAGATTAGTTGACTGAGACAGGAACAGAATGACAGAAAGCTGCCACAGAAGTATTAGTAAGTTAATTAAAAAGTATTAATTTGATTGAATGTGTGGTAACATTATTAAAGTATCTGCTCACCAAAATGTTGCAAACTGCTCTCTGTAAAGGATTCATTCATTAAGTATGCACTGGTATTTGTTACATTTTTACTACACAAATGTATTTTTACATTGTCAGTGGCACCATAAATAATGTACTACTTTTTTAAACCAGGAAGGAACATAACAGTGAAACAAACAGAATAGCTGCAACTAGCAGAGCCAGTCTGTGATACTCCTACAACAAAAAAACTTTAAATAACAATAACAAGTGTTCTCTTCAATAGGACCATGCTTCCTGTACTGGCTCTTACTAATCATTGGCATTAGAAATGATGCATATATATCATAATCATATAGGTTTAGGAATATCTTCTGTGTACTGAACGCTACTCGCTGCTGTAATGTAGCAAGTTGCATGTTTATTTGTTTCTCACCATGTTTTCGACTGTGCGGAGATACTTGGCACACTGTGAATGCCCATTATATTCAGCCAGGTCTGCTGCAGTGAAGCCATCCTGGTCTCGAATGCCCAGATCCACTCCGTTCACCACTAGAATCTGACAGCACTGTGGGAAAAAAACAGAGAAAGAGGTGGGTAGAGGCAAAGTGATACACAATTTATTCCAAATATGTCTTTGTATGCCTCATTGAGAACTTGTGTTGAGTGACGTTTGCGTTTTTAACCAATGTGCTGCTATCAGATTTCATCCTATTCAAATTTTCCAAACCACTAAAAAGGACCTTTTCTTGTGTCCTTGTTGCCTGTCTCATGTTTCAGGTAAACTGAATGAAACTGAATAAAAAAACAGAAAAACGTGATACTTGACTTTTTTCTGGTGTCCGTTCCACATTTACTGTACTCACGATTAAAAAATATCATTAAAAACTTACCACTGATAGAAATAAATTAAAGGCATCAGTGACATTTACTAATGTTAATAATAGATTTCGAATAAGTGACTACTAAATTTGATTTTATTTAATCCCTTATTCCTAGAAATAAAAAGACACAACATTTTTCTCATGCCGGTAAGAACTTGTACCATAACCAAGAACTACTATTAGTTACTACTAGGTACACTCAAAACAGGATTTCATCCAAATATGTACTAAAGTCAGCAAGGACGTCACTCTCTGCCATATGCCAGCCTTTGAAAGGGAGCTAAAGGCTGTATCAGTCAAGGGCTGAATTCAAAAGAGCTTCAAAGAACACATTCATGATGACAGCTGTCCTGCGTTAAAACTCGGGGGGAGCGAAAGAAAGACAATAACAGTCTGCCCTCTTTCTGTCTCTCTAGAACAGTCTCCTGAGATAATGTTACTGGCAAAAAGCACTGTAGTATTGTTTGGTGTGTCCTTCCCTTTCAACTGGCTGTCCACACAGCTTTGGTAACAAACACTTTTAATTTCCTAAATTCTCTTAGATAATTAACTCATTTGAGGGATACTGAAAAAACTGAAGTTTAAACAGAAGTCAGGTTTGGGGCTCCTGAGTGGCACAACCATGGAGCCCTGAACCTGACTTACCCGTAACCAGGAGTCCAAAAAAGCATCATCAGCCTTGCTTTTTCTGGGTGGATAGGATAGCCGTCCCTTTCCCATCAGTCAGAGCAATGCTAGCTAGTGTGGGCGTTGCTATGATAACAGAATGATAACAGCACTGCCTTCTGTTCATCAAATGGGGTTTCATATAAATAGAAAAGCTGAAGCTCATACAAAGAAAAGGTTATAAAAGTATTTCTAAATTTAAACTTCCATCAGTCTACAATCAGACAGTTTACAAAGGGAATGGAATTCAACAGAATCTAGATCCTTAAAATAGCAAAAGCAACACTACTCGCAGATGGCCAAGCACCTGGAGGCTCATGTACGTGATGATATCTGTTTTCATCAGTCTATTTTTCTGTCTATAATAAGAAAAACACTGAACAATAGCAGCGTTCAAAAGAAGTTTCTATGGAAGGAACCACTGCTCTCTAAATAACTACCTGAGTGCTCTGTCCGGTGGAAGATGATACAAATGACATTTTGGTAAATGAACATTGTTCTATGTTTGGATAAAAAGTGCTTAACCTCTAAAATTGTATCCCAACTAAGAATCATGGTGATGGGAGTAAAATGGCGTTGGGCTGAGGGACCACTAAATTTCAAGCTATTTTAAGTATCAGGAAAGTCTAGGAAATTCTACAGCAAAATGTCTGACCATCTGTCTGTGACCTAAAAGTGAAGAGGTTGGGTCATGCAATGTGACACCTGTCAGGTTTGACACGAAAAATCTTCTGTCAGAAGAACAGAACTAATGTCTGCTTACAGACTAACACACAGTTGTCTGTAGTTTGAAAGTATGCAAGCTAGCTAGCAAAATAGCTAATCCAGATGAAGATTTAAAGGAATGTGATCTGTAACTTACTAAAACTTAGCAAACTCAGCGCTTGCTATTTTTGCCTATTTCTTTTAAACTCTGCATTTACTGCATGTAGAGTTTCATTCTGTCCATCAGACTGAAGGCGTTTCTATAATGAAGAGCTTGTTATTTAAAGCCATATCGAACCTGACAGTGCAGAGAGCTGCGGGGAGAGTGGCATTACATGGCTGTTTATCTTTCCTAATTTCTGCCTCTAGGCTGTCACAACAGCTCAAGAGAGCTTTTCCCATAACTAGCTCCAGGGCCAGAGTGAGCGTAAATTTTCTTGCCACTCTAAAGTTATACCCATTCTTTTCCAAAATGATGAGCTGGACTGGAATGTTGGTAAAGTGCTTAATATGTATACCAGTTACTTCACTTACTAAACAAGAGTGCCAACAGAAAAAAGTCTTACGTCTTGAGTCCGAGTTGAGTCAGGAGCCAGATAAGTATGTGTCCGAGACAAATCGTGAGTTAGCTAAGCACGTCCAAGTCAAGTTTCAAGTCAGGTCACGTGCAAGTCAATCCCTAATACATGAGTCTCCTCTCTGGCTTCAGGTATGAACCTCTTCCCAAACTTCAGTTATTCCATAACTTCATTTAATTCTAACACTACCACCAATTGATCTACAAACAACAATGGCAACAATAATGCTCTGAAAATACTCATCTCTGAATATTGATAATGCCAGACAGAACAGAACCACTTCAATGCTGTATCATGACAAACAATGGCATCTAATGAAAGCTTGACCCTTACAAAATGGGTTATGAAACATTTCCCAAGGGAGCACGAACCACACACATTTCCTTTAATGGCAATCTTTGCTGAGGCTGATCGCTTACACTTTAGTGCGAGTCATGCAAATCATGGGTTTCCACTTTGCATCTGTGTTAACCAAAACCAAACCCAAGCCCACATCCCACTTTGCTGGCATGCACAAGTTCAACAACAGCTATGTGAATATACAATAAGTCTTTGTTTTGCAAAGGCACAAATGCCTCTGGCTCTGTCCCTTTCAGTGTCCACCCCTGTTCTGTGAGTTTGTCACATTAGCTCTGCCTCTTTCATGTAAACCATCTGTGTTCAGTTGATAGCTCCTCCCTGTATTCACTGTTAGGACCTTTGGTTACTTGTCTGCAGGGGTGGGAAATACAGCAAAAATAGAATATCACAACATTTAGAGATGTTTTCACTATACACAAAACGTAGCACAATATTTTAACACACAGGCACAATGCACTCGTAGTGCCACAGCTATTAAAAACTATTAACATGACTTTATTCAATAATTTACATACTGAGCTGCACTAAATCCAATTGAACATGACTAATTATGCTCTCTTTATAATGAAACATGCAGTTGGTCAGTGTTCTGTAAGTATGTACAATATCCACAATATGCTCAGAAAAAAGCTTATTGTTTATCACAATGACAAATCCAATGATGATAATGATTAAATAGTCATACTGCCCACCTTTACCTGTCTGTGTATTTATAGTACTTGTTTGTTGCACAGTGTTGTAGAGTACTTGTGTTGGTTTGCTTTGTTAGTTTCATTATGGATATCAATGTGATTTATTTCCTGCTTACTCATACGCTCCTGATGTTACTATGGACTTCAATAAATCTAACTTGCACATGCATCCTGCCTCCACATCTGTCACCTTACAGCAACATCTTGTCCAGAGAGAAAGCTTTGGTTTCAGAGCTGCCATGTAATGTGGTCTTAGGTTTCAGAGACGTCATGTAAGTCACTGTAAATCTGATACCAGCCCCATCTTAACTGCATCACATGCTATGACCGGAAAAGAGAGTACCATATAGTAAGCCCTCACATTAGATTGTGTGGACCACCCACCTCCAGCTCTCCATTCTCGGCTGCGTCGTGGAGGGGGGTCCCGCCCCAGCCATCCATCACAATCTCCCCACCATGAAGAAGGAGCCAGCTGAGGACCTTGGCATGACCACGGCTGGCGGCAAAGTGCATGGCAGTGGCACCATCGTTGTCTCGGTCAGACAAGCTGATGTCTGTGAAGCTCATCTGCACAGAGATAAAGCAGGTCCAAGTGAAGGCCATGCATGAAGCAGTAGGAGGGAGACACTTTTTATAGGACATATACAGCAGAGATGGTGAAGTGCCTGTATAGCTTTTAGTATAGAAACTACACACACTATTTGAGCTTGTCCAAGTCATGTGACAAGTGGAAAATGTTTAAGTCTATTCAGATATATGTGACAAACTCTCCCCAACCTTAATTCTAACTCTATCCCTAACCCCTTAAACCCAACACTTATTCATGAGTTATGCATTTTAAAACTACTATTTTTACTATCATAATGTTATATCTACTATTCAGTACATTAGTGTGAAACTAATCTCTATGTTACATGCTTATGAGAATAAAAAATTGAACGTTGGATCCACATACACAGGCTTTGGTTTTAAAGGGGTTAACTGCAAACAAATCTGTTTGATAACTCTAAACAAGCTGCTTAGAGAAATGGGTGAATGGGGTGATGGCCAGAAATTATCTGTTATGAAGGAATGAGTTTCATAATTGAAGAGGATATAAAAAGAATTACAAATGAGAGAAGTTCAAAGGTCACAAACAATAAATGAAATCAGGCACAGAAAAAATAGACACATTGTTCCATTTTCCTTCTGAACAGCTGAAACTTCACAGCAGCGTATTTGGTAGTAGAAGCAAAGACTTGAGGTCAGTGCTCATCTTGGCATCGGAGCTCTGAGGGCTAAAGATCAAGTCAGAAATCTGGGCATAACTGATTCATTCAGATCTGAATTTCAACAGCCATGTAAAAGCAGTGACAAAATCTGCCTTTTACCATCTCAAGAATATATTAAGTTTAAACATTTCATGTCACAAAAAGACAGAGAAAAAAAACAACTAATAAATTTAACTACAGAATTGACTTTAAAGTGCTTTTGATTGTATGTGAATTTCTGAATGGCCTTGGACCAAAGTACATCGCTGATCTGCTTGAAGTATACAAACCTATTAGGCTTCTCCGATCACTAGGGATTGGTCAGTAAGCAGTGCCCAGAATCAGAACCAAATGGTGAGAATGCATTCAGTCATTATGCTGCCAACCACTGGTACAAACTCCCAGATTAGGTCAAATGTGCTCCAAATGTAGCCATCTTTAAGTCCAGTTTAAAGACGTTCTTGTTTTCTTGTACTTCTGTTTTTAGCACTGCACTTCATTTTAACACTAATTTTGTTTCTTTTAATCGTAATTTTATTTTTTATTTTATTCTCTTTTACCTTTAGTACTGTAATCTTAATTTTTGCAACTATATTTGCGAATGCCGTTCTGAAATGATATATCTCAAATCATTATAAACTTCATTATTTAGTTTTACGTATTGTGTTTGTGTGAAGTAGATATTCACCATTTATAATTACAAATGAATATAATTTATGTGTAAAATACGTTGAATTTAAATTTTCTGGGCCCCATTTTGAGCTTCATTTTTCTTATAAACAACACTGACTATTAAATGTCATTGAGAGCTATTTATTTTTATCCATTTAAAGATCATTTTAAAATGTAACACTCAAAGCACTTTAGTTCTTGTAATACTCTTATATTCATTTAATATACATTGTGAATAAGAGTTGCATTCTACATCAAATTTATGGTAAATAAATATCGACCCCCAACGTCAGCTATCGGTGTCCTTGATTACTAAGAATTGGTATTGGCCCTAAAAAAAACATAGTGGTTGACCCCAAGTGTGAAGCACTTTGAACTGTTGCTGTGTATGAAAGGTGCTATACAAATAAACTTGCCTTGCCACAGCATGCATGAAAAGCAATATCCATACTGTGTAAAAATTTGCAAATCCCTTTAAGTTCCTGTAACCTTTGCCACTCACCAGCCAAACAATGACAGTGTTATGTCCCATCTGGGCGGCAGCATGAAGAGGTGTCATCCCATCATTGGCTCTAATACTTGGCTCTGCCCCGCAGTCCTTCACCAGGTACTGGACGACCTCCAGGTGGCCTTCCTGACATGCAAGGTAAAGAGGTGTGGCACCATTCTTGGTTTGGAAGTTGACAAGACTGGAAAAAAACAAATAAAAAAATAATCAAGGTGACATTCAGCGGAGAGTTACACTGTGCATGGGGAGTCAACTAAATTACAGAAGACAAAACATAAGTAAAACAAAATTACATTTGCCTGATTAATGTTTTCTATGTTGTGTTTAGTCTCAATATCTAGACAACTATATGCCTGCACACTGTAACTACAGGTTGGTCATTTTCCTCTAGTGAACTAAACTATCATATAAACAATTTGCTACAATTTACAGTACTATCTTCCAGTCCCAGAATTCATACCAAGTCCAGGTGTCATTGCGTAGTTCATGGTGACTGACATAACTGAGAGCATGCTATGTATGTGTACAACAGAATTGTGAATTTCATGTGTGTAAAGCAGCGATATTGTTTATCAAGTTCTGAGACATTCTCATAGCAAGGCTGCAGCACCCAGATTGCAGGATGCCACAAATCACTGCATGTAAGGACCTATGAAGACAAAGCTACCCCTCATCCTGCACTCTGTGGTGGGGAGGCAATGAAGGGGGCAAGCCCTCTGCTTGATCCTTGGGGGGTCGTCCAGTACTAATGTGGCCATCCCAGCTCCTCCCCTCTCCACAGCAGGAGGTCAGGGAGTGAGCAAGAGCCTCCCCTCTAAATCCCATAAGGAGTGGCTTTATTTGGACACAGACTGACAAGTTAGCAATGAGTGCACTAAGAGGATTAGAGGTGCTCCACTGGTTTCAGTGTTACTCACGGCTAAACAAGTGGCAGACACGAAACAAGTGGGAAGACAGAAAGGGGGGGACAAGGAGAGGAAGGAAGAGGTGGTTTTCCCTTGAGACTCACGTCCAACTTTCTCTACTCCTTCCACACACATCCACACACACACACACAAAGGCATTCTCCATCCCACTCACACATATAGAGGATTAAATGAGTAAAGCTAAAATCAGCTATCAGGTACAGCTACACAACCTAACACTGAAGAAATAACCAGTTTATATATATATATATACACACACACAATTATTTATTACAATTTCATCTGATTTTATACAAAAGTTATTACCGACCACTCAATCTGATTGGCTGAGAAGCGTTTTAACCGTACTGTTATTTGTGATAACAGTTTGTTATTTTTTTCACAATAACTGTATCTTCTGAGCAACAGTTGCTAAGCAATGACTCACTTTATGCTGCAGCTAAACATTACTCATTTTTTACCTTAGCATATACAAAACAGATAATGAATAAACTAGGTAACTTTTATAAGACAACAGTTTACCTGCAGCCCTATTAATCAGATTCTGAAGAAGAGTAAGGCAGCAGGCCTTATATACTAAATTCCAAACCTGTCATTGCCCTAGGCAAGCTTTTTGCTCGACAGCTGTGACGGTGAGAAAACTCAAAAACTGGAGTTAGAAATCAACAAAATGCAACCTGGCAAACTGGCTGGTTGACAAAACTGTCTGAAACAAACTGGCATTTAAGTCAATCTGGCAAATATTGCAAAAGCTGAGCTGAACCTGATACTGCCACAGTTTTATGGCTCTATCCATAGAACAGACGGCCTTACAGTATCAGAAGCTATTTTGACAACGTGTATCTTTACAAACCTTTACTCATTCCTGGCATTTAAAGAAAGACCCAGAAAACTACATTTTAGTCAGCAAAAATGTTCAATATTAAAAATATTTGACACAATGTTTGGGACTTGTTGGATTTATTCTTTACTTTGCAGAACTGTAGAACAATTACAGTGTATTGCTTAATTATCCACTCTGCAGACAAAGTTAAACTGATGATAAATGAATGTGGCTTATTTAAGGGTGGGTAATATGGCAAAAATATAACACCATGATTGTTGTATACTTGGATACATTTTCACAATACACAATACACATGATAATCTGTTTGTCTGAGGTTTGTGAACAAATTGACAAAAAGAACCAGCAAGACAGAAGTCCAAAAAAGATTCTGAGAAACGGCATAATCATCACAAGCTCTGCTTTTTATGATATATGTAGTTTTTCAGTTTTCTAGAAGTACCATACCCATGTTATAGTCAGAAAAATGTATACATTTAAAATTTATTTAAATTTATATAGCACCTTTCTTATAACCAAGGAAATGTATTGTGAAATAATTTATCAAGGAAAAACACTGTCATATTACTCACAACTAGATTCAAAAACAAGTTTGAATACACCACATACACATCCGGTCAGGAGTGAAGACTGTTCCAAATGAAAACAAAGAGATGTTGAATATTTCAAACAGGAAGAAGGTTTATTCAGGGGCTCCGTCATTAGGAAGTGGTCAGACGTGTGAATTATTGATGAGTGTAACCCAACAGGCTGTGTACCAGGCTAGAAGAGAAAGCAGCTCATGCCCAGAATCACTCATACACACACACACACACACACACACACACACAAAGAGATTTAAAAGAAAAGACAAATAAAGAGAATGACTGCGGAAACAGAAACCCTGTCTCGTTCGTAACGCATAGGCAGTTTAGAGTTAGATACTGTAATAATATTGCTGCCATTGAAGAGAATCACTTTCACTCTTTTTCAAAAATCCCTCATCCATGTCTAGGTAAGTTAATATGACCATTATTTCAAACAAGTTTAGTTAGGCCTGTTCCCACTGACAGTTCCCTGAGTTACCATGGTAACAGCCCACATTTATATTAAATACCACATTTTCTACCTGACATAGATGAGAGCTGTTGAGCTGTGCTGGTTAAATGCAATCTGCGCTGCAGGTAGATATCATGCCTGAACAAAAAGTGGTCTCTATGGTACGGTGTACATTTTAGGACATTCTTAGACCACAGCATCAGAACTAAAAAAAAAATAGACAAAACAGCTTCACAACTTGGGAAAAATACGAGTAAAATTATGTCTCGGCTCACGTTCATCAGGTGAAGCAAGACGTTTCAAAAGGCCTCAGACAAAATTGCCTCAGTTTCAACTTCAAGGTTATCACTGGGCCAGGGACTGTGTCGCTATTATTAGCATTTTTATTATTATTATTATTACTACTATTATTTTTTTATTCAATAAATGTATATATTTTTTTTATTATATAAAAGTCAACCCCCGGCCAAAGCACCCAACATGGTTTAACCACTTACCACAGTTAATAATAATATTATAATAATTACAACTAATTGAACAACAGGTATCTGACACCAGCACAGGCCTTGGTTTAGTGATTCTCATCGTCCTGCCTGATATGTGTCCATTTGTCTAGATGGCTCTTCCTGTGTGAATAATTTAGGCTTGGGTGAAAAAGTTTGTCTCCTCCGTAACATAAGCAGCAGCAAGAGGATGAATAGGTGAAGAAACTGAAGGTACTTTAGCCAACAAAATCCCACTTGACCTTTTGTTCAAATGTTCAGCCGCTTTTTGACTTTATAAAATGTCACCATCATGTACACAGCACAGATATGTTTGATGCCTGCAGAGAGAGGAAAAAGGTTTGTTTTTTCCAAACCGTCTGACAGCCACACTCCAAGATTTTAACAAAGCTAATAATCCATAAAAGGTTGTAGGAACCAGTCTCTATTTTGTTTGAGTCATGGTAACTAATTTCTACTAGCTTTTATCTGCTGTTAGTAAGGTTAACATTCTTTCAAAATGCCTGAAAGTTGTGATTTAGCAAAAAAAGCAAACAAACAAAAACAACTATAATTTCAGATGAATCTACAGTGGTGATTTTACTTATTATACTGCTACAGTTTTTGGCAGGTACATCTTTTGTCTGGTACATCACTTGGCTATAGGGAGAAAGGGACCCTGCCAAAGCTAACATAATGCCTCAAGTAATTTCTTAATAACTAGTATAATTTTCATTAATAAATCTGACTCAGTGGAATTAGAATTACTACATACTACATTGAACAGACTGAATATAAGGGTGTTTACTTAGATTGATGGTAAACTGTAAATGGAACTCAAAGGCTTCGAATGTTTTTGTGTCTGAAAGCCTGGCCTCCCCCTTTTGACCCATGCAGGTTCTAAACCCAGCCAAAGCCCTTAATCTGCACTAATTGATTGCATAACTCCCCAACCTCCATGTGGTGTTTTATGTCTCAGGTAAGTTTTATGGCCATCCTCCTCATGTTGTGTATATGCCATTAGCTTTATCAGTGGAGAGCCATAACATGTTGCCCACAGCAGGATACATGCAAACAATAGCCCAATCCAATCCACTCTCATAAATCGCTGGGTCACTGTCCAAGTGCTTTATCTACATCTGTCGCCAGTCTCATTGCCCCTTTCACAAAAGGACACTGATATCCTAATGAAGGACACATTCCACACCATTGAACAGTTGGCGGGAATGCTACTTGGTAATAGCCAGCATGTTTTGCCGTCCTGAACAGATAGCAAGGAAGCAAGACGGGACAAATTAGCCTTTTGACAAATTACAATTTGACGGTATAGTACTATTCATTTATCTATGTTCTGACTCAACTGGGCTAGCATTTGTTCATTTTAGCTTTACGTGTATCTGTTGCTTGCCACTCGGATAAGAAAATATTTCAGTTATACATGCGGGCTATATAAATGTAATCCATTTATGTAATAATAACTGCATCACCATTTCAGCACTGATCTGTATGAAGTTTAGGACAACATCATCAATTTGAAACAGGCAAGCTTATAGGTCTGCAAGTTATCTAAAAATAATTAGCACGATAATTTCTAGTTAAAAAATCAGAATTATCGACAATATCGCATCTGCAACCACACACCTCCCCCACCCCCCACCAACCTGCAAAAAATACATATGGTCCGCAGCAGCTTCGACCTACTTTCTATTCTATTTTAGTCTATATGCTTTATTTATATTAACTGTTTGAATGAAAATCTTTAATATTTTAATAATTTAACAAAAATACACATACATATTAAATAATACGATTCTGAGTAAACCAACAACTATTTTATTCTTCATTATAATTAACGTCACTGCAAATACATGCGTTCGTGAGTTTCTTCTGC